TAATAAAGAATTGATCAGCCTAACCACAAATTACAAACTGGGTTAGGGTTTATTTGATCAGCCTAACCACATTTTTTTCTTTATTTTATTTATCTAACATCTTAATTTTCATTTTTTTTTGTTTCATCTTCTCCTTCTTCTATTTTCTTCTTCCTTATCCTCTGGGTTTCTTCGTTTTCTCCACTCTTACGAAAGATGTAATCAAACTAAAAGTAGGATAAACAATCTTAGATGTTAATCATATTGTTCATTACTCTATTTGATCAGCGTAAAAGCAGCACAATCCCTCGTCTTTGCATCCAACTGCTTTAAAACTTCTTATCTCATCGAGCATTAAATGAATTCAGTCTTGCGACACGGGCAATATACATCTAAATGATATATCTCTCCTTAATCAGTTCAATGAGCAACAGACTGAGCACTATGGGAGAACCACGAGCTCACATCCGAAAGCTAGTTAAGAAGGACAACATGGTGGATACTAAAAGCAAGAACATATTTTGGAGGTAAAATCACATATATTATGAAGCAACAATTACCAACAGAAGCTTAGGCCTCAAGCAACAATGTCCACAAGCTCACAAACCAGTTTTGTAAACGGCAATCATAAACCAGTCTCGCTTACCAGTGACAACGATAGGTTCTACTCAACGCAACAACAGCTCAAAGGTGGAGGGAGGTAACTTGGATTCTAAGCAACAACAACAATGGTGGAACATTATTCACTCTCTCATGAAAAAATAAGGGGAGACATGGCGATGAGCGTAAAAGAGGTTAGCTTCCACTGGACGACTTTACGAACAACGGTGGTGTCTCGGAGTAGATGGGCGACGAAGACGGTGGCTTTGAAGATCGCACTCTCGCGGCTTCCTCCGGTATATTTCTCTTCTTTTTTGGTAAAAAACATTTCTGTAACAAACAAAAAAAAACATGTGATAATTTTTATACACTCGAATCGAACTGATCACATTGTATATCTCAACATTCTCAAAAGAAGCCACTTTCTTTCCCTCCAAGAACATCGGACCATGCCCTATAAATATAGTTCTCATCGAGAAGAAGGCATTGTCGTACCCATGAGCTCCACCACATTCTTTGGCTTCACTCTTCTTCTGCTCCACTTTAAAACCCTCATCGACCAATCCTATAATAGGAGGGATCCGATCATTCTCCACATAATGCAGCCTGCTATGTAAATCCTCTTTGAGATAAATTTTCAAGTACTTGCCATTCTCAACTTCCTTCACCAGAGCTTAGGGCTTCGTTCATCTTCGCCACATATCCGCTGCGTTTCCATTCGAAGGCGGTTTAATCGCTAGCAACGGAGTGTAATACTGAACCCAGCTGCTAGGGATTTCGATCCAAGAAGCTAAATCATCAAGAACAACGACTTTCTAATCACAAGTTCCAACCATTCCATGATCACCAACCATAATCATTGTCACATCATAAAAAACCTCTCTTTTCTCTTACCCATCGATGATTCTTCCTATTAACCTATCGATGTTCACTACAGCTTCTGTGATCTGAGGATCATCAGGGCCAACTTGGTGACCTTGATGATCAGGATTTTCGAAGTAAAGCGTCATGAAGCTAGGGATCTCGGCATCATTGGTTCTGTTTTTTTTTTTTTCAGACTGAAGAAATCATGAATGGATCGGATATTCCTGTGAATCTATTGTCGAACAGAGAACATATCGACTGATTATACGACTTTAACTTAAAGGTACATACGTAAGATCAAACTAAAAACGAATAACCTACATGAGAGAAGATGATATATGGATTCGAAGAAAGTATCTCACCTCTAGGTTGAAGAATTGTGGATTGTTTAGATTTTCAATATTGCTATCTATTTATATAAAACATAGTCGGTTAAGAAATCTAGGTTTTCCTTTTTTTTTCTTTCCAAATATTCTAATTTTTACATAATTGTGGCGCGTAATATGGTAGTTAGGATTATTATCATCATAAAATATTTTAAATAAAATATAAATCGTGAAAATAAAAAAGGAAATTATGAAGATTTAAAAATAGAATTTTCATTAAGGGTAACCGAGTAATCAACCAGCTGAGAGTTAACGTGGTGGCTGGAAACGAAATAATCACTTCGCAAATAATATATTAGATAGTACTCACATTTGATTTAGTAGAAACTCTATAAATTAATAATGTCGGGACTTTGATATTTTATTAATTTATAGAGTTATTAATATATAGATTTTGACTAAAAATATTTTCAAAAAAATCAATATTAAATCAGAAGTTTCCTTTATACATTATATTTTCTTAATTTTTCAAATGTTTCTATATTTACTTTATTGTTCACATTTTCTCATACTTGCCATATTATTAAAATTCTTTTTTTTTGCTTTTAATTTCCATATATGTTTGGTGTATGTGAGAGATTCATATTTTAGTAGTTAGATATTTTAGGTGTATATATAATAAATAAAAATAATTATTAATTTATGATATTATTGGGACCATATTTTACATAAGTTCAAAAAAAGTTATTATCTTATTATCTTATCGAATTGTGTCATATTTTACACCGGCCCAACTCGGGACCAGAGAAATTTATTAATTTATCGTGTTTATTAATTTATCGAGTATTAATTATAGAGTTTCTATTGTATGTTTAAAATTAATATTGAATCATGTTGGATTACATAGTTATACTTGGATGGTTCCGGACCAAAATTCAGACTAATTATCCACAATAATCAACTTTAGCTAAAGTCGCATTAAAATAACTGAAATTTTGTTTTCCGAATTTATAGAATGAATCGTTCAAGTTCAACTATGTTTTCTGTATCTCCACCATAAATTTGTTGAGAGTTTATAGTAATTCTAATCTTACATAGGATATTAGGATCTATGATTTGGTTGAAACTTGATACCATATTGAATTTTATCGGTTATAGCTCTTGTTTTTCTAATTAACCATCACGTAAATTCTCGCGTTTACTTAAATTAGGAAAGCATTCAAGTAAAACATCAATTCTCATTTCGGGAAGGCTAATATTTGTTTTCTTTTAACAGGCTACATATTTCATTTAAAATTCAATGTTTTCAAGATTTACGTGAAGTAATCATGAATGGGTTTTTCTCAACAAAAAAAAAAAAAAAAAAAATCATGAAAGGTTATTTCTGCACCTTGTGTTAAAAAGTGAGATGAAGATGATGAAACAGCGAACACATGGCGGGGGAAAGGTCTATATATTCGACATTAGATACAGCAGTTTTCTTTTTGGCTTCCCTACACTCACAAAATAAAACTAAAAAGAATATAATCTCCAATGGAATCTCGTATCGAAATCTCCTGTTGACTTGTCGTGACGAGAACATATTACCACGTAAACACACCAATGACTATTTTATATTTGTCGTCGCTGTGCATGCAACAATAGTCACACTTGTACATCTCAGTACATGCATCGTCTGTATTATTGCATATCTGTGATTAAATACATGTCACGTTGCTGAACTCTGGAAAGAAAATAGTCAAAATATCTTTAAATTAAACAAATTAATAAACATCAAAATGTATCTTATAAACTAAATTTTAATTCGAAAAACAAAAAAAAAATATTATAAACATAGGATTATTAAAAAAAAAATTGACAACACATAGGATTTTTTGGGACAAAACAACACATATTATTAATTATATTTAGAAATATCATCCAATATAATTCTCCATTTTGAAAAAAAAACATCCACCTATTTTATATCTTATATGTAACAATATTTTAACTGTAAATATCTAATTTACGAAACGGAAAAACATAATATTACTGAAATAACACATTGTACTCTGCTACGACAAGTCTTCGGAAGATAAAATTTAACATATATATATATATATATATATATATATATATATATATATATATATATATATAGGGTTATTAATCCCTAACCTATGTCACTGAACTTTATAATACCAAGATTATAAATCTTGTTATTATGAAATTTCATATATGACAGGTTACGTACCTAAAATATTATTTTATAGTGATTACTTCTCCTCCTCTCCGGCAGGATTAACTCCATCCTCAATTATACACTCACGACGGCGACGATCTCTTACTGTTCCCCACTCATGCATCGACAGATGAAGCTTTTTTCCAGCGAGCAAGAAATCCGCCCCTTGTATCGGCGTTAGAATCTCGACAATCTTCGCTAAAGTGTCTACCCTCAGCTTATCGGCCTCGGCCAACAAATTGGCCATAGCCTCTTCTTGCTTGTCGAGAGCCTGATCCACCGCCCTGTTGGGCTCTCCAACGTGCTCCTCTGCATAAGCCACCGTTGCGATGGGAATATCCGCAGCATCCTCTTGCAGGCTTGAGACTTTCTTGGTCATCTTTTCTTCTTCATCTATGATTTTCACATGCAACACGTTGATCTTCGCCAGTTGCTCCGCCGTTAGATCGCTAAGTGATGCCCCGCCGGTACCTGTTAGACCAAGCTAAATTATTAAACCGGAAAAAAACAATTATTAAAGAGAAATTGCAAAACCAAACCAAAGCTAAACAAAGATGTGTGTAAATCTATCGGTTTACTTTAACAAAAAAAAATCTATCGGTTTAATCATTTTGATGTAGTTGACAAAAAGATCATTATGATGTAAATAAATAAATTAAAACAAACCAAATATGTTGATTATATAGGGGCTGAACATATTGTGTATGTATATATATATATATATATATATATACACTATAAATCCAAATCAAATTCTTAAAATGAAACCGAAAGGAGATTTGATATAAACCCGTAGATTCTATTATTTTTATATCGAACAAAATTGAATCAAAACAAATCAAACTGAATGAAACTCTAAAATATATTATTATATTATTTATTCATATGTTATAGTATAAGTTCTAAAATCTAATATCCTTTTACAAAAAAAAAAAACTTCTAAAATCTAATGCTAAGAAAACAAAAATACTTCCAACTCTTTTTTTGTTAAAGATCTTCATTAAATACTTCCAACTCGGTCACCAATTCTTAAAAAACGAATAATCGAAAAAACTGAGAAATCGGTTCAAAGCAACCAATCGTTTTTTTCTTTTCTAAAAGGACCAACTGAAAAAACTAGTTATTGTTATAATTATTATTATTTTGTAAAAGGATATGAAAAAACATTAGTTATTTGATTTTTTAAATTTAAAACCAAATACATAGGAAACGGATCCAAACCAATCAATTTTTTTGCAAAATCGATCGAACTAAATAATTTAAAAAACTCATCCATAGGCTCTGAAAACCGAAAACGTCCAAACACTTACCTGAAGAATCGTAACCGTCGACGTTACGAAGAAACTGAGTCACACGAATCTCAGTTTGGGACCCACACAAAGCATAAACAAGCCTAAAGAAAGAAGATGGTCTGCAACCACCCATCCAAATCAGAGCGTTCTCTAAAGGAGTGTTCCACGACGGTGCGTAGTAGTTTGAGCTACATCGGTGAGATAGATCAGCTCTTTTTCCGGCGTAGTTTTTGAAATCTCCGATGATCTTTTGTGTTAATTCACGGAGTTTGTCATCATCGGCGTCAGCGTCGGCGTTTTCGTGAGTTCGTCGGTGAGCTAAGGCTTGTTTGAGCTCGGGGATCCGTTCAGATTGTAAATTCATCCACTCGTGATAACAACTTTCTTGAACTTGTTCGATGTTCTTCCCCGATGATCCTTTGTTTTCCATTTTATTTTACTTTCCAATATATTTATTAATATTATTGGTTCAATTTTTTTTTTTGGGGTGCGTTTTTGTTTTGTGTGTTTCTGTATCCATTTCATCGGGTTTATATATAGCTAAAGTTAATGAACCAGAACCATCTTTTTCATTAATTAATGATTATCGCTACAAAAATATATACAATATAATATTAATGAGGTAAAATATCCAATCCGGTTAAACGGTGCTTAACCGAAATATTGATCTATCAAACGAACCAAAGAACATAAAAACGGATTTTTATATGTATCCAAATAAAATGATTTAAAGAACAATCAATTAAATTTTTTTCTAGTAATTTTTTTTCTAATAAGAGATAAATTTAGCTAAAAGCTATTGTGCAAATTTTTTTAGCTTAAAGCTCTCTATTCAACAATTTATATTAGTTTAATCCAAGTTATATTAAACCAAACCGAATAGTCATCGTTTTATATTTATAAATGAAAAACATGGACAAACAGTGAAAACTGAACTTAGACAAAAATAGTTAAATGGACACCTTTTTATTAACGAGTAATAGATTGGAAGTTGGAAGATAATACGTGCTTTGCGGGAAGAAAAAACGAAAGAATGCATGCATGCATTACGTGTAGGACTAACAGAGAGTGCGACTTGTCGTTCGCAAATAGTTAACTTTGCTATTATTTTTGAGTAAATTTTGTTGTATATTCTTCTTCATTATCGGGAAAAAGAAAAGTGAAATCCCTTTATCTAAGTTAAGGAAGCTTTGTTTATGCGAGAAGAAATAATAAAAATTCACATTGACCCGAAAGATAACAAAAACAAGATTTTACATGAATATAAATAAAAAGATAGACAGTTCTTCCAAGTTCTAATTATGAAACTCACAAGAGACAAGATGTTGTAAAATTTCATGGATCAGAAATTTAGAATGGTGTCAAATGTTCCATATGGAAACTTTACCTCTTTAAAGAGGAAAGAAGTTAACCATATACGTATCTTTTTCATTTAAATTAAAATATGGCAAATATTCTCCCATATTATTATTATCATAAAATATTAAGGAGCATATCTGATTTATTTTTGTCAGTTACTCGATACCATGCTGCCTAAGTTAGTAGTAGTGGCCAAAAAGAAAAGAGTTTGTAAATAATACCATATACTAAAGAAAACTGTTCACAAGCATGAAGCATCAATATAAAGCTAGCGGCCTAAGAAAAATTGAACATGAAAGAAGGGTTTCATTTTCGAAATAAAATTTAATAGCGGTTTTTTTTGACAACCACAACAAATCGAAATCTTTTTTCTCGAAGAAAAATAATGAAAAAACCAAAGATTAATATCATTCTGAAGGATATAATTGGTTCTATTTATAGTAGTGAATCCAGAGTTCCAGACACGTATGGGAAAGTTTGACACCTGCCAGGCGTGACTCCTTTTCGTGTAATGTGTTTGTACAAAAAGAGTACGTTACACTTGTCGTTTTCTATCTGTATTCGCTTTGCAAGCTCAGGTTATGAACATGTATGACTAATAAGTTAAAAACGACTACATAAATAGACTATTGGATATTTGATTTTAGTGAAAGTATTTATAATAAAAGTAAATATCGCCGACACTATCACAGATATATTGCCATGCCACGGTGACTCGGTAGTATGCCACCGAAGTTCGACTCCGTGTACCTTCAAAAGATTAAAAGTTGGCGCTTTGAGAAGAAAGAAGTAAATATCAGATTTTTTTTATGAAAAAGATGACTAATGAGAGAAGTTTGTAACTTGTTTAAAGATACACTTTGCCTTTAAAACCGAACAAGGTGACGGATGTAGAAACAATTTAGTTAGACTGCGGCGCAAAATGGATATAGTACAATCTAGGGGTCTATATAATTTTGAGTTTTCCATTGCCTGAACAAACTATTTCAAAATTTTCATTTGTTCCAATGACAAGAAGAAAAAAAACTTTACATTCAAATGATAAATATATAGGGAAATTAAAATGAATAATCATATTGAGATAAAAAAATTTAACAATCTAATTTTTGTTTGGCTAGAAATCAAGTTGTAATTTTTACAATAATACATATTTTAGTCTTTGTTATTTTTGGTGAAAATCAGTATTGTACTATTTTATGTATATGTGTTATAGAACGAAATATTTTCTTAAATTAGGTTTTAAATTTTTGCATTTAGAGTTTAGATTTTAGGATTTATATTTTTGGATTTAGGGTTTAGTTTTTTGGGTTTATGGTTTAAATTTTGGATTTAGGGTTTATATTTTGGCTTTAGAATTTATTGTTTAGTCATATTCTAATAGGGAAGTATTTTCATAAGCTCAACTTCCTCACTGTCCCTATCACATCTTCCACCTCGCATGGCTGGCGAGGAATTCTAATCGGAAGAAACCTCATCAAGAACCAGTTAGGTAGAGCCATCGGAGATGAAAACGCTACATCCCTCTATAATGACCTTTGGCTCTCGCTTGAGCAACCAACACAACCCACATGGTCACCAAACCTACAGGACATAGAGCTCAAAGTTTCAACTATACTCAGCAAACACAACCGAGACTGGGATATATACCATATCAAATAAATTTTACTCCATTATCTAGAGAAAACCCTTGCAATCCGACATAGCAAAAAAGGTGCTCTGGACACCTATATCTGGCTCCCCACCAAATCGGGAGTCTACTCAGCAAGATCGGGATACTACACAGCCATGGCCATGAAAAAAGCTCCAACTAGCTGCCCAAACCACATATCCATCAACTGAATTACAGATATCTGGCAAGCTAAATGTTCCCCAAAAATGAAGGTATTCTTATGAAAAATAATATAATAGGCCATACCTTTAGCCGAAAATCTTCTCAACAGAGGAATCATGGAAAATCCATGTTGTGTTCACTGTGGCGACTTGGAAACAACGGAACATCTGTTTTTCCATTGCGCCTATCCCTCTGACATATGGAAAATAGCTCCTTTCTCTACCACCATTAACCCAAGCCAATTTCAAACCTTCTCAGCCACTCTAACCACCTCCAAAGACTGGATTTGCTTGCCACCAACTGGTTTAGGAGCGGGATCACTATTCCCCTAGATCTGATGGTCCATCTGGAAAGCAAGGAACTACCTTATATTCGAAGATCGCCTTTTCTCCCCTGCAGAGACAATGACGAAAGCTTTGAGAAAGGCAAATGAATGGCAATCGGCACAACAAGTGAAACAACTGGAGGATCGGAGACCCAAACTGGCTAGGAGAACAACCAATCAGGAAAATGCCATTACCTACTAAACTGAAGGAGCCTGGTGCAAGGAAACCGGAATTGGAGGATCAAGATGGATCTTCGTTGATAGCGAAGGCGTTGAAGTGACCCGAGGCCTCTCAGCTGAATGTTTTGTCTCCTCTCCTCTGATGACGGAAGCTCTAACAATTCGATCGGTGCTCAATCAAGCCTTGGAGGAAGGCTTCACCACTCTCCACCTCAAATCAGATGTTCAGGATCTCATCCGAACTTTGAACTCGCAAGAGCAAATTAAGAAAATCTATGGTCTCCTCTTTGATATTCACTCTTTTTTAGCTACATTCATAGATCTGGTAATGCTTTGGCCGATTCCATCGTTAAGCTAGCCAAAAGTCGCTTAGTTTCTCATTCCCCCAACTGGAAGTTGTGTTCTAAAACTCGTTAGGCGTACTCGGGCGCTCCGTCTCCTTCTAGCGATTTTTTCGAATATCGAAAAAAATCGGAGAGTACTTGAAGATTAATTTTAAGTACATTTTTATATATTTCCAACATTATTAATTTTTTTATATATAATACATCAATATAAAAATCATATACTACATTATTACCAAATAACATTAATTTCTTATATATAATACATCAATATAAAAGTTATATACTACATTTTTAAGGTTTTATGTTGAATGAAAAGTGTCTTTGCACACTTTGGGCGAATTGGAGCTAATTGTGAATAAAAATCAAACTTTAGTCTACCAGATTTTAACACTTACTTGTTGATTTTTATAATAATGTGAATGTCAAAGTATGGCCAACGGTTAACCATATATTTACTCGGTTTTTGAAAAATCGTAACGGCAACCTCCTTCTAACGGTTTTAGGACCAAGTACTCGGCAACTCGGCCGACTTTTAGAACACAGACTGGAACCCACTGTTGTTGAGAGTTTAATGGAAAATTTAAGTCATTCAAAAAAAAAAATTGTTTAGTTTTTTGGGTTTAGGGTTTAAACTTTTGAGTTTAAGATTTTGTTTTTTTTTTGTTTTAGGGTTAAGGTTTAGTCCTTTAGGTTTAGAGTTTAGATTTTGAGTTTAGGGTTTAGATTTTAAATTAATGAGTTTTTTAAAAAAAAATTAGATTTTGTGTTTAGGATTTATATTTTTAGATTTAGGGTTTAGTTTATGGATTTAGTGTTTGTATTTGTATATTTTGGGTTTTTGGTTTAAAATACAATGAACTATACTATTTTTTATATAAAATTGTTTTAAGCGTTAATTTGGTCTAGCAAATTGGAGTATAGTTTAGTTTCTTTATTTAATATTTGCTATAGCTATATTTTTAATTTTTGTTGTCAATATGATTATTAAGCAAATTAACCAAAAAATATATATCACATAATGTGTTAAAAAGGCGAAGTTAATAGTTACAAATACAACTTTTCACCACAAAATACGTACAAACATACGTAATAGGAATATGTATGATAGTATACAATTATACAGACACAATGTTACATTATCTGGATCCAAATACACTATCAAAACCAACCAAGAAACAAATTTAATAGGAAGAATAAAAAATTCATGACTCTTTAACATTTATAACATACGACGTATACCGTAAACAGAGAGAGAGAGAGAGCGTGTGAACCTCTGACACGTGTGATAACTCGAAGAGAGAGAGAGGAAGAGGGAGAGAGAGGAGGAGAGAGAATCGTTCTTCTGGTTTAAGTAGCCTCAGAGGATAAGATCTCAAGCTCTGCCCACCAAAGAGGAGAGAGTCTCGGTGTTGCTTGTTCTGGAGAAATGTTGATTACTTCTCTCAGCTGCTCAACCACATCTTTCATTGTTGGTCGTTGACTTTGATCAATCCTCAGACAATGTCGTGCCACGTCACATATCACTTCAAGGTCCTCTTCTTTAAACGTTTTTAACGTAGGATCAATCATATCTCCCAATTTATCTGTCTCAAGATACTTTGATGCCTGTCAAAAAAAAAACATTAGTATTAATGTAAAAATCAGAAACTTGATTTTGACTTTTGGCTTTTGAGCTTTACCCATTTTAGAATTGATCCTTCTTCATCTGAATCTGAGAGCTTTCCAGAGATGATCTCAAGCATTAATACTCCAAAGCTATAGACATTAGTCTCCGGTTCAGATATTAACGGCAATGAAGATTGGTCTAAATCACCACTCATCGGTTTTTTGGATTTAAGTCCGGTTTGTGAGTTGAAAGGAACATCTCCGACCTGCAAAAACAATATCTTTCCTTAAGTGGGTTGATCAAGAATCAATTTACACCTTTTAAACAGCTTTATTGTTAAGCAAGAAACGCAAGAACTATTGAAACAGCTCTTTCTTGTTAAGCAAGAAAAGCAAGAACTATTGAAACAGCTTTTTTCTTGTTAAGCAAGAAAGCAAGAACCTTTGCTGCGTAATCATCGGTTAAGTAGATTCCTGAAGAGCCAAGCTTAGAATGCGCGATTGGTGGATTAAGCTCGTGCATATGTTGTAGACAATAAGCAGTTCCCATTATTATCCTCATCCTCGCGCTCCAATCAAGATGTTCCATTTCCTTATCTGAACAAGAAGTTGAGGATTGGGTTAATGATGATGCTAAGCCAACAAGATCTTCATACAGAAACAGAATTTAGATCCTTACCGTGCAAATGTTCGAAAAGAGTTCCATTTGGCGCATATTCGAAAACCATCATCCTATTAAAAGGTTCATCTTCTTCGCAGTATCCAATTAGATTCACAAAGTTCTTATGGTTGATTTTTGACATTGTATCAATCTGAAAATTTGATCTCTCCAAATATCAATCAAGATTCTAAAAAAAGGCGAAGAAACAGTTGTAGAAGTTATAAAGAGATTCACCTTTCTGCGGTAAGTCATTTCCATAGCTCTTGTCCATTCTCTAGTCTCCAAAATCGCTGTTGAAGCAACCGCAATCTCAACGCCACTTGACAAAGTTCCTTTATAGACAGTGTAACCATTAAATGCACAAATGATATTACTGAAATCTTCACAAGCTGTTTCCAATTCAGACCGGTTTAGCTTCGGTACACCTGAAAACATTTTACACACATTATGTTAAAACCTAAAACAGAGCAAAAAACAGAGTTTGTTTTCAAGAACATTTTCTTTACCGGTAACAAAAGCTTTTTGCAACTGTCCACTTAAACCAGTCTTCCATGGACCTATACTCTTCACAGCTCTCTTCCGGCAGAAGAATATAACCCCGATTATTATCAGCACCGCAACGAAAGCAGCGACGCCGATCACAACATACAACCAAACGTCCTTAAACCCTTTTGGTTTCTCTTCAAATTTCCTTGGGGGATCAGAGTCTGTCTTGTTATTGTTCTCAGCGATTGGAGGAGGGGAGATCAATGGAGGCATTCTCTTCTTTGCAGTAGCTACCGCAGGAAAAGACCCGCTGCTTCGAGGAAACACTGTGGTTGTAATCTCTGGAGATGGACTACGAGCATTAGGAGCAGGCATTGCCTCTAAGTTACTTGTACCTTCGAGTAACTCACGCCTTTTGAAGATACTAGTTTCATTCTCTAATGAGCCTGCAAATATAGAACTTTAGTTTTGAATCTTTTTTCATTTGCAGAAGTTTTCAGTCATCTTTTGGTCTTACTTGGATGATAATTCGCAGCATAGTTCTTCCCTTGAGATTTCTCTGGCAGCCTGAAGAGAGACATAAACATAGCAAATCAGTAACACTGAGGATGAAACATACATACCACACAAAAAATGATTGAGAGACTGGAGATGGAAATGCTTTCATGTAATGTCTTGAAGTTGATTTAATCCGCACTATGATAGCTTGTGCTTTGTTTAGTCTTATCAAGCTTCTCCTTAAAACACTGTCAAATAAAGAAAAATATTTTAAATAAAGGAACTGTCAAAGATTTCTCTACAAAAAAGGTTCAGGTTTTGTGGAAATTTGTTCATAAAGGTTTATATTTTGAATTACCAGTATCCAAGTTTTCTGTTTACACAGTCGAAGGCAGCTTTTGAAGCAAAAGACAGCTTTTGATTCTTGTTCATCTGGACTTTATACAGCGACTGAAGTCTCATGAACTTTATCTTCAGAAAACCCGCAAGTTTGTTACCAGAGAGCAACCTGGATCCACCAAGATGTCAAATGTCAACACAATGATTTGGTTTAACTTAAAAAAAAAGCATCATAATCTCCATGAAACTCACAAGTTTTCTGGTGACAACGCTTTGTTTAGCTCTTGTGGAACTACTCCGCTTAACATGTTATCTCTCAAATCCAAGAACTTCAATTTAGCGAATGTCCCAAATTCCTTTGGAATGTTCCCAGAGAGCTTGTTCTTGGATAGTATTCTACAAAAACAAGAATTGGTTTTTCTAGTTCTTGTGCTTTCAAGAAACAGAGCAAAAAGATTAGTAAAAAAAAAAACTCTTACAGAGAGCTTAATTCACTCAATTGACTAAGCTCAGGAGCTAAAGTTCCTCCCAAAGAACATCCACTAAGATTCCTACAAAACCAAAACCAAAAAATTTCTTCAGAAAATCAGACAGATTTTTGCAAGACATGAATCAAAAGATATTATTAGCTTACAGCATTTTCACTTTATTGTCGACACACGTTACACCAAACCAAGAACACAAATGATCATGATCAGAAACATTCCAATTAGCAAGAGTTCCATGTGGATCAGAGTCAACTCTTTCCCGGAATTTCAACAGTACAAATCCTACAACATTCAAAAATCCTTTCAATCAAAAGAAGACAAAATTTGTGGAAGGGTTGAGACCAAAAAAAAAGTTATTAATTACCTTCAGAATTGAGGGATAATGAGGAACAAGATTGTAGGTTAAGGATCAAGAACATGAAGCAAGAGAACTGAAATCCAATTGGATTCCATCGACAGCCCATTTTAGGTTTACACCAATGCTATACAAAATCGCCAGATTTTGTTTACTAAAAAGAAAATAAAAAATCCCAAATGTTACAGAATCCTCGGTAGGAGAACGACGAGGTTGATGATTGTTGAATAATCAGGGTCTCTCATTGTTTGCAGAATTAATTTGCACAAAACCCTAATCATCAAATAAAAATTAATTTCCTAAGAGTCAACAACTCGTGAATTCTCTTCTTCTCGTTAATACCTGAAAAAGCCAACAAGAACAAAGAAAAAACAAAACTTTAAAACCAATATGAAACAATAATTTAAAACAAAAAGAGAGAGAATACGAATAACCCTCTTGAAGAAGCAATGTGAAGAAAACATGGAACCCACACACAAAAAATCAATCTTTTTCTCTCGTAAATGAAGAACTTTGCAAATTACGTATACAAAAATAAAACAGATAATAACACCATAAAAGTGGGAGAAAATTACCTTAAAGAAGAAACTTCTTAACCAAGAATTGGGTAGGGTTTGAGAATCACAAACTAAAAAAAAATCCCCAGAAAGCGAAAAAAATGATTAAAAAAACTAGAAAATAGGCACACTTTTATGTAAAACGAATATTATATTTATATTTTCTGTTTTCTCCTTGAACTTGCCCTTGATTTTGCAGGATGATAACGATGATGATGATCTCAGAGTTTTCTCTCTTCGACCATCTTTGGTCTCTCCAGGGCCAAAGGGTGGTGGGTTCTCTCTCCTTCCTCTCTCTTTCCTTTTTCTTCTTCTTCTCTCTTTCCCTCTCTCTCTTTGCGAATCTTTTTTCCTATTTTTTAATTCTTTTTTTTTAACAATTTTCCCCCACAAAACTGTCTCTGTTTTTTTCTTTTTTTTTTTTGAAATTCCCAGTCAATGTGTAAAGGTCCTATTAACTTGCTTTAGATTTTCCACAATTATAGAAATGTGTATATATGTATTAAAAAAGAAGATCCAACTTATTTCATGAAATCATATTTTCAATAAATTAAAAAGTAACCGAGAAAATTATTTTATATTTCTCCCGTTGATCAATAAGTCAAATAACATACCGGACATATATATGGCGCGAAAGATTAGTACTAAAATCAGAGTTAAGATTTGATGTGGGTCTCTTATTGAGTTGACTTGAGGGCTACGTGACAGCTTGCTCGTAGGGTTTTGGGTCGTCAATAAATTGGTACCGTTAGATATTACCTTAATGTATTTGATCAACGGTTCGAAGTGTAGTGACATGTCTTGAAAAGCGCAGTTCATGGAATTAATTTTCGACTGATGTACTTAATAGTACATCCCACCCACTACTTATAGTTCTTGATTAGTTTTATATTTTATATTTTTCAAGTCAACCTTAATTATTTTCTTAATAGAGTAATTTACCACTATTTTATGGGTATATATTCGTTGGAATCGCCGAGTGATTGTGATGATTTATTCATGCATTTAGGCCTCAGTTCCTTCATTTAGATATTTTATTCTTGATGAAAAATTGTTGGGAGTTGTTGGGCTTAATTAACAAGACTCTTATTTTATGCAGTTGGGTTTAAACCTAAACAGAGGCCTAAATTATTCATGAATCCCCACTTGATGTCAATGCTACTAGGGTCTGTGAGTGAAGAAACATTGGAGTAAGATCATCCTAATGATTAGCTCATCAGAATTTGATTCAATAGTTGCGCTGACTTGGATTTTAGAAGGAGATACCTCAATGCATGAAGGAACTGAGGTAGTATTAGCTTGAGCAGAATTTGGGGGCAGAGTTGGATGCACTAGCCATGATCACAAATTCACAATGCCTACATTCTCAGTTGCCTCTTGGACAACAACCTGGGAATCACATACAATTTGTAAGCAGCACTTGACTTTGTATCCAAGCTTGTAACATCTATTGCATTTAAAGACAACAAAGTGTAATCTACATCAACCATGAAGATAATTAATCTATCTTCATCATTGGTAGCAATTCTGGTAGGAAAAGCTTTACTCAACTCAACCTCTACTAAAGTCTTCGTTGACTCTTGAGAATGAGATCTAACTTCGGTTTATGAGTGGCCACATAAGCTCCTATGCTTTATGTTGGGAATTTTCTTTAGACTTACCTAAAGCGGAATGGTTTTAATCTCATGGATAGCTAAAGATGTTTTTGAAGTACCAAAAACAACAATAAAGTATATTTTCTGATAGATATAATCAAATAATATGAAAATTATCGTTTAAAAAAATAATAATTCCAAATGTTTAATCAACACAATTCCTTAAGTAGGAGTAATATATATGCCATACAATGTTGATAATGATGAAAATAATGAGGCTATTTTTAACTTAACCCAATCCGGTCCGACACGGAATTGGGATTTTATCGGACATCATTATTACATGTACTGATGTACATAAACAAACGACAATCGTAACAGTAGAAGGTAGAATTTAATACCACAAATGAATATCACTAAGATTTACTGTACCGGAAAAAGAAATCCCGGTCTGGTGAAAAGAAAATTCCGGTTTTAGGATTTTTGTTGACAAGAAAGATGAACAATAAGCTCCTGCATATATCATTCAAAAAGCCACAATAAAAAAAACTGAGAATCAAATATAAAAAGTACAATAAAAAAAGAAGAATATTATTTTGAACATATTAATGTGTATTCATTCATACCTCTGAGTAGCGCACATGATCATGATTATACGATTTTTTCACTATCGTCTCCCATTTTACAGACTGAGAATGAGTCTTCTTCTCCATCTTCTTGAAACCAGCGACTTGACCGGAGGTGACGACGGTGGCGTCGGCCGAGCTTCTCGGAAGTGTCCGGCAAAGCCATGACTCTGAAGGAGTTTTAGGCAATGGAGGTTGAGAAACAGAGAGATTCTCTGACCTAATTTTGTTTCTTTTGCTCCTTCTCTTTACTTCCTCCACAAGAAACCTCGTGTCTTGTCTCTGAATCTCATCTGACGAAGCTGTTCGTTGCAACCTCGAAGTATTTCTCGGGATTCGGACTACTTGGCTGGTTTTCGAGATCGAGAGAGAGGTTTTGGAAATCTCGGTTGAAAATCTTGGTGTTGGATAGGATTCTTGAGACTTGCTCATAATCTTGTTTGATCTCAAGATTCTTGGCGATGCTGATTTTACTCCAACATTCTGACATGTCTTGACACGAGATAGAACCGGATTAAGAACATCCATTGTATTCTTGGAACAGAGTCGTGGCAAGAACCCAATCATAGCTTTCTTGGAATCAGTTGAGTCAACAGTTTCACCAACATGGTTATGATCGTAATCATAATCATTATTTTTCAAATTTTGGTTAATTGCCATGGAGACTCTCTGTAGAGTAATGCTTTGTATCTTCTTCTTCTTCAACATCTTCTCTTCTTGGTCTAGAGTAGACTCTTTCTTCTGTTTCATTGCCATTGCTTTCGCAGCTGGTAAGAATCTCGACATGATGAGGTCACGATTTTCAAGAATGACGTCATCTTCGGATACATTACTCGCTATGTCTTCATTCTTCTCGAACTCATCGTCAGTTACTCCATTGGTACTGCAATTAGCAGAGAAGCTTGCGGTAGAAGAAACCATTTCCAGAGCTTTGATCAGATCTGATTCTTCCGTTAGTTTAGCAGCCATGTGATGGTGATGTGTCTTTGGCTTTCCAGGTGTTTGTTCCCATAGAAATGGAACTAAAGATGGTTCCACTACATGATCGAAGCTCTGGTCATGCTCTTTTTCTTGACAAGAATCTTTGACTTTTCTTCTCCTCGTCTTCCGGTTCGTGTTCTTCTTGGTGTTATCTGATTCGCTTGAAATATCTGGTGTAGTCGAAGTTCGTCTCACGGATAGGAATGGAGCATCTAAATTCAGCTTCCTCTCCTCCATTGTTGCTTCAGACAAAAAAAAAACCTTTGATGATAGCTTTAAAGAACTCTCAAGAATCAAGAATGTGTAAGAAAAAAAAACTATAAAGAAATATAAAGATAAAGAATCAAGAGAGCTTGCGCAAAAAAAAAAAGAATCAAGAGAGCTAGCTAGTGATGCTTTCTTTTATTTGACAAAGAGAGTTAGTGATGTTTCTGCTCTTCTATTCATTCATTATCAAAGAAATAACATCATTTATTGATAAAACATTATTTATAGATAAATAGCTCAATATTTCTGTTAGTATTTATTATACTACGACCACTTCTCCTACCAGTCTACCACCATTTCTTCTCAACCAAACACTAAACCATCATTCCTACATGCATTACTGCTATATTTTGTCAGAGTCACCATGTATTACTACGTATATTATATCGTCATTTTCTTACCGTCATCATTAGAGAGTAAGTGGACTTACAGAGATTATATTAGCTGCGAATGAAGGCTAGTTTAGCGAGTAAGTGGACTTTCATGTTCTAGAACAATACGCGGAACTGATTCGCACTAGCTAGATATACAAATTTCATTATTATTAAACTCATATAGTATTCGATAGGATCAATTCAAAATTTGTTCTTGGATTATTTTGTGGTTGTGATATATATATATATATATATATATATATATATATTTTTTTTTTTATATAAAAGATTATGTGGTTGTAATTCTCTTGAATAACTTCATTGACGAATATTAATGTTTTTTTTGGGTTTATATAACTAACAAGATTTTCAGTACGAAATTAATAGCGTTAATTGATATCTAATTAATCGAAATTTGAAACCATTGGAAATGAAGTTTCGTTTTATAGTAAACGACATTGTTGCTCGTATTCCAAAACAAATCGTGTTTTGTCCGTAACGTAATCATCCGTTAGAACGTGAGGAGTGGTTTTGCATATGTTCCTCCATAGTCGATGCTTCTGTTTTTGCTAATTCGAAATACAGCTTTTACTACATATTAAAATGTGTATTTTTTTTTTCTTTCTGTTAATCAATTTTCTTTTGCATGTTATATCATTTTGAAGATAATTTTAAATTATTTTTATTAGAATTGATGGTATTTGAACGGATCTAATTTTATGTAGCAATTGAAGACACTGCAAATAACTTCACACTAGGGTTTGACCCGCGCCCTGCACGGGGTGATGGTTTCTGAATTTATATTTTATTAAAAGATGTTTTTTTTGGTAATTTATTAAAAGATGTCTATTTAAATATCCAAAATTTTATGTGACGGGTTTTTAATCTTTGTTAGATTATTGCCCTCGTTTATTCGTTTATAATATGAAAATTAAGCATTTTAAACTATTTTTTAAAAAGGTAAATATATTAAAGTCTTGAACGTAGCCATATATTAAATATGATAGATTTAAGCAAGATACATGAAACTCAAATGACTGCAGTATAATAAGTTAGTTTAAAGAACAAAAAAGTGAAAATAAAACATTATTCTTTACAAAAATGTATACTGTATTTCATAAGATAAGAAGTCTTAGCTGTGTGCACACAGATTATAATTATTATTATTTTCTTTCTTTTAAAACTAAAACACGGATTAAAATCAATTTTTTTTTCTTTTTTCAAAACTAAAACATGGATTAGAACTATTTTTTTCTTTCAAAACTAAAACATGCTTTATTATAATTTCAAAACAAATCAACCAATAAGAAGACAATCTGCATGATCTAAATTGTTAAAATAACAAAAATATAATTAACTTTATATTGAAAGTTGAAATAGATGGAATAATTGTTACACTAAATGAGGTTATATACTAAACAATTTACATTATTTTGTTTTAAAAAATTCAAATCATAGCATATACAGAAAAAAAATTAGATTTTCTTTATTAGTTTTTTTATATTGTGATTCATATTATTTCATAAAATAAAGTTGAACAAAGATGATAGGGGATATATAATGATTTTTAAAAAAATATTATGATAGAATTCAATTGAATTTCATAACTTCCTTATTTACTTATTTTCGTAATTGTCAATTAAGGAAAGAAAATAATAATAAATGGATGGTAAGCATAATATGCAATGGCACAATTTGTAATTTCTCTAGTAAAGCTTGTCTTAATTAGAAATTAGGCTGAGAGTGAACCTGGTGATGACACATCAGCAATGGCACTCTTGTTAATAACACAATGGACAAATGTTATTTAGTTAGTGTTTTCTCTTTTAATATATTAGGGATTCTTCTCCACAACATATAATTCTATTTACACTATAAGAGCATTTCCAACCCAGCCCCATATTTCACCTTTATTGTCATTTTGGAGCCAATTTTGCTTCAACCCAACCCCATTTTCAATCTCAAAATGGCAAAATGCCATATTTTTTTTCAAAATGAGATTGATCCCATTTTCATCCCCATTTTGGAGTTGAAGTTTTTAATTTATATAACAGTCCTTGAAGTTTTAAATTAATTCAGTTTAAGATATATAATTAATTATTTTGATCTTTATTTTTACTCTAAAATACAAATAACACATATTTAATAAGAAACTAGGGTTTGACCCGTGCCCAGCACGGGATGATAATTTCTTAATTTAATTTTATTAAAAGATATCTACTTACATATCATTCTTGAAATATAGGGTGTTAGAAAATAAGAAAATGTCAGTTTACATTTGACAAATTTTTGAGTGATGCATATTTTTTAGCCTGATTTGGAACATGATGAACTTTGAGTGACGACGGTTTCTCCCTTTCCGAACTCACATATATGTCAAATTTTAATAAGTTTAATATAATTTTATAATTTGATAAATATAAATTAGCATATATATTTTATGTTTTTGATCAATTTTAAATAATTAAAATAATTTAACTTATATGATAAGTTATTAGATTTTATTATGTTTAATTTTTGATCAAAATAAAATATTAAAAAAATTATAAACCATTTAATTATTTAATTCAAATAAAGAACCAAATTAAATTTAAAAAAAAAAACTAAGTTTGGAAACCTAATGAATCAGTTTTCTTATTTATGGTTGATCAATTGAATACTTTTTTATAATAGGTTTTTGTACTATTATCCCAAAATATAATCGATGTGAGACTTTTAATAATTTCAGAGATTTACTTCATTTAAAAAAATTCAAACCATAGCATATGCAGAAAAAAAGTAATTCTTTTTAATTAAATATTTTGATGTGATGATATAATTTATTTTTGAAAAGTAAAGTTAAGAAAAAATGATAGGAGAAGAAATTCATTTTAAACAATTAATATAATACAATTGAATTAAACTTTCCATATTTTATTGATTGATTGACTAATAAATACTTGCTCGATTTAGAGAGATTAAAGATAAAAATGTTTATTTCTCTCTTCGAAATGGTTTAGTTGATTATTTATGGGAAATATATTAAAAAGGTTCTAATTAAAAACAAAATCCATTTTATGTTGTTATTTTTAGTCTTGTAATAATGTATTATTAATATTTTCATAATTAATTTAAATAATTATAATTAATTGTGAAAAATTTAAAGAAAAAAAATATATGGACCAATTTGTGATAGATATAAATATACAACGTAAATTTAGTAATTAATAAAAAGTTTTTAAAAATGAAAATTCTATGAAGCAAAAAATGAAGCAATACATTGGAGCAAAACCCAATCCCATTTTGAGATTTCTTCATTTTGGAGCAAAATATGAGGCAATACATTGAAGATGCCCTAAAGACTCACTATACACAGTTTTACAAGCAGCCAAGCACCATATTTATGATGGAGAGTTTTGTTCTTAACATATATGACCACGACGAACCATTTACTTGTATTAATTTTGTCGGACCCAAAACTTAGCATTAGTTACTACTTGGGTGACGACTGAAAATGATCTACGACCCATAAAACTTGAGTTTACAAAGTTGCACTTGGAATCTACATTTCAAGATATGAGTGACAAATTCAAATAACATAAAATTACAGGATATCTAATCCATTTGCAATCTTGATTAGTAGACCAAGTCATAATTAAATAATGTAACACATGCTCTTGTTATTTTCGGAAACACTCAATGATTTTATGATTCTTTTAGCCCATAGCATAATGTCACACCATGCTATAGCATAACGGTTAGAGTATACTTAATTAATGTCAAATCATTAACTTTGTTGCTACTTTTTAATTTTCAGTCATTTATTTGTCACTCTATTATTTCTTGTAGGTTTCTAAACTAACATAGCGTATACGGTATACTACTACTACTATACAATAAAATCGATCATTGACCAAATAACATGCATTTTCATGTTATAAATAAATCGTTATCTCTTTTTTTTCCCGTAAGATATTGTATTTGCTAGAGTATAATATATTATCTGCTGAAATTAAGTTAAGGAACAGAAAACAGTTCCTTATGGTCTATTTTTATAATACGAATTTTTACAAGAGAGAAAAGAAAAATTCATCAATAATTTACGCTATTCTCAAACAATTTCCAAAAATAAGCAAGGCGTACCTTGGCGTAGTCAATAATGTGGACCTTAGATGCATCGAAACGAGGTGCAGGGGATAACAAAATATTAATATTGTCATTTATTAACTACCAAACTCCTTAAAATTGTCTGTAAATGTTCATTGAATTCACCAGCGGCATTTTTGTTCCTTGCGACAAAAAAGGACGAAGGTTTAAATGGTTTCATATCTACAAAAATATAAATGGTTTATGATTATACACAGAAAAGAGGGAAGGTTTGTCTATATACACATTTTCATGTTTTTACCTATTTTTACCATTAATACCCTTTATATATTTAAAAATATGAAATAGTTTATGTAAAAAATCCAAAATATTTGTAAAAATCAGATAAATGATCTTCAGACTTGTTATAATTTTTCACAATTTTTTTTCAAAAATATGATTTTTAAAAAATATATTGAAGTTCTCTTCTACCAGCTTTGAAATTCAAAGTAGAATATGTATCCTACACGTTTCTATTACATCTACTGGAGATAGAATTCGATATCTACCATTTATACACATATCTTCCACCCGTAGAACACGAGTTCTATAATCTATATATACCTCTACTATTAGTAGCATATCACTTCTACTTGTTACTCTATGTTCTGCGATTTTGTAAATTTGGTAGAAGATATGTTCTACCAAAAACAAAGTTTTCTACATGTTCTAGAATTTGTTGTCTACGAGAAACACAGCCTTCTACGCAGGCGTAGATTTCGTATTCTGTTACACACATTATCTCTTACCATCCGTAGAGTTCAGTTTCTACTAAAAACCACTTTTCTACCATGTTGGTAGAGGTCGTGTTCTTCTAGAAATCAGTCTTCTACCAAATGTAGAAATCGTCTTCTGCCGGAAATCTTAGAGAATATTAACAAATATTTTTTTGAATATTTTGTTTCCTTTTTCTTCTCCAACCTTCTCCCACGACGCAATTGGCGGAGAAGAGGAAAACACAGAGGAGTAGTTTGAAGGAGAAGAACAGACAGCAACGGAAGAGGCGACGGAGGATTATGTGACGGAGAAGAGAGGAGAGAAAAGAGATGATTATGTGACGGAGAAGAGCGGAGAAGAAGAATGTCGCAGAAGAAAAGAAATGTCGGGAAGAAGAAAAGAGGAGAGATGTCTTGGGGAAGAAAGGAAATATTTTCACTTTTATGTTTAATTAAAAATATCCCAATTAAAGGATTAATTACTTTAATCAATTTTAAGGGTAAAAAGGGATTATAAGTTTAGAAAATGTGTAGTGGGACAAAAATCTCTCCAAATTGTGTATTGGGACAAAGACTCTCCCAAAGCTGTGTATTTTGCCAATTTTCTCAAAATATAAAGCAAGAAATTACTTTCCGATTATATTAGTGAGTCCATAATAAATTAAAAATGATACTAACAGGAGTATCAAATTAACCATTAAATAATGTGATTATCAAAATATTTTATTCAACGCTTCTACAATCATTATAAAAAGTAAAAGAGATGGAACGCTTCTAGATGGGAATACAGATCCATTGATTCATGTTAACAAATCCTGATTTCCGGGTGCAATAGTTTAAAACTCCTTCAATATATATGTGCGAAATGTGTTTTAATAAAAATATATTTTACCCCAAAAAAAAGGAAAACAAAAATAATGTTATAGTTCATTTTTTGTAGTCATCATGAGAAAGACGAAAAACAAAATATCACGGAAAATCGTGCAAAGCACCGAAAAAATGGCAAGAATGAATTCAAAAATCAGTTACGAAGGTAAAAGACTCATCATATCCAAAGAATTGGACGAAATGAGGAAAAATTGCAGATGAAATCGAAGATACAATGCCAAAAAACAGTGAGAAAGCTCAAGAAAGCTCGTATACATGTTATTCTCATTAAAGTGTAAATGTATGTACAAGGTTCATATCTATACACACAGTTAAACGAAAAGAAACTTACACCGGTAATCAAATTAACTAAACTAATGTTAACCAATCTAAACATCCTAATACAAGGGAATAATTTGTGTAACCTCTATCTTGGTGAAAGTAAAACTTAGTTGTGGCTCTGGTTATGATTGGTTTTGAATACTTTATTTTGATGTTAAAAACTCTGCCCTTTGCGTGCTACAAATATCTAAATCTTAAGGTTACAACTTACAACAACTTACAAATGTGTGCAAGCAGAATGAAAAATACAAAAATTAAGAAGAGGACATGTAACTAGGCCCACGAAGATAAGGCCCATTTATCTTTTTGCTGACGCCTGTAAACATCAATAGTTGTCTTCAAAATAATAGATCCTCATGTATTTGAGTTTCGAATGTGTGTATATTGATAACAATATCCTAAAAACACATGATACTGTAAATCATAAATGTAACAGAACTTATTTAAAAGTTTACTACAAGTCTACGACTAGTCCGAATTTTATTCAACTCGAACCTTTCAACATGAACACTATAGTCTATAGACAAAAAAAAGTAGAATTTATATTATTATAGAATACATATATATTGCTTATTTGTTGGTAAAGCAATCTAAAGTCCTAAACCTTCACTAAACAAGGGTTTTAACTCTTAAAGCTTTAAAACTCTTAACGCTCTTAACTAAGGATTTTAAAATCTAAACATTACAACTTTAGGTGAGCCACCATCTTCTCTGTGAGCTTAGCCAATGACTTAAGATTAAACCCAACGATGGTGTCAGCAAACGACGTCGTTTCCTCCTCACTGTTCCCTTCCGGCACATCTACCACATAACTCTCCACCACCACCGTCTTCTCGTCCTCCTCGGCTGCAACAAACGCCTTGGTTTTCGACCGGTAATTAACGAGACGGTGGTCACCGCCAATAATGCTAATCGCCATCATATGAGACTCATCGTCTAGCTCATCTAACCTCTCTCGACTAAAAATCGCCGGAAGGCCGGAAACTATCGTCACTTCACGGATAGAGCCTTCTCCTCCGTCACCGGAGCTTAGATCGCACGTCTTCACAAATTGTTTATAGGCTTGTGGGTTGTCAAAACGACGTATTATTGACCACACCAGAGGCAATGGAGCATCGATGGTTTGTACGAGTGTCGAACCACAACGATGATGTTGTTGAGATGTTTTCATTTGTTTATGTTTTTTTATGTTATCGACCGTTGTGTCTCGTTTTTCTTTTGTTCTCTTACTCCTGGGTATTTATATGAGAAATATCTTTAAGTCGACAAGAAAAGATGAGAAATATCTATAGAACAACAATGCCGACTGAGTTTATATATTAAGTTAATTGTTTTTTTTTGATGAAATGATGCAACGAAGCTTATATATATATCTATAAAATCGAGCATTTCAAAACTAAAGATTTGGTAAGTACATTGTAGTCTATACATAAAAACAAAAGGGAAATTTGTGATTATACACAGAAAAGAGGGAAGGTTTGTCCATATACACATTTTCATATTTTTACCTATTTTTGCCATTAATACCCTTTATATATTTAAAAATATGAAATAGTTTATGTAAGAAACCCAAAATATTTCTAAAAATCAGATAAATGATCTTCAGACTTGTTATAATTTTTTCACAATTTTTTTTCACAAATATGATTTTTAAAAAATATATTGAAGTTTTCTTCTACCAGCTCTGAAATTCAAAGTAGAATATGTATCCTACACGTTTTTATTACATCTACTGGAGATAGAATTCGATATCTACCATTTATACACACATCTTCCACTTGTAGAACACGAGTTCTATAATCTATATATACCTCTACTATTAGTAGCATATCACTTCTACCTGTTACTCTATGTTCTGCGATTTTGTAAATTTGGTAGAAGATATGTTCTACCAAAAACAAAGTTTTCTACATGTTCTAGAATTTGTTGTCTACGAGAAACACAGCCTTCTACGCAGGCGTAGATTTCGTATTCTGTTACACACATTATCTCTTACCATCCGTAGAGTTCAGTTTCTACTAAAAACCACTTTTCTACCATGTTGGTAGAGGTCGTGTTCTTCGAGAAATCAGTCTTCTACCAAATGTAGAAATCGTCTTCTGCCGGAAATCTTAGAGAATATTAACAAATATTTTTTTGAATATTTTGTTTCCTTTTTCTTCTCCAACCTTCTCCCACGACACAATTGTGGCAACTTCTTCTCCATTCCCATCTTCTTAGCCGTCATCTTTTCGAAATTATTTGGCGGAGAAGAGGAAAACACAGAGGAGTAGTTTGAAGGAGAAGAACAGACGGCAGCAGAAGAGGCGACGGAGGATTATGTGACGGAGAAAGAGGAGAGAAAAGAGATGATTATGTAACGGAGAAGAGCGGAGAAGAAGAATGTCGCAGAAGAAAAGAAATGTCGGGAAGAAGAAGAGAGGAGAGATGTCGGGGAAGAAAGGAAATATTTCGATTTTATGTTTAATTAAAAATATCCAATTAAAGGGTTAATTATTTAATCAATTTTAAGGATAAAAAGGATTATAAGTTGGCAAAATGTGTAGTGAGACAAAAATCTCTCCAAATTGTGTATTGGGACAAAGATTCCCAATGTGTATTTTGCAATTTTCTCAAAACAAAATACTTAAGACAATACTGATTAATGATCAAGTAGTGGAAACAAATAGTGAATATGAAATTATGAATAAATTATACTTATTCATATGGTTGTTTTACAAAAATATAATGAACAATTTCTCTTTGTAACGTCATTGTAATGAATAATCTGTCGCGGTTAAATTTGGAAGGTTATGTGGTAACACTAGCGGCAAATGAAGTATCCACGTTGTCGATTTTTGTTCATACGAAGAGCACTTACGATTCACATATTTATATTGTATTCTAATAAACAAATAGTTGATAAAACAAAGGAAATAATTAGTTCACAGAAAAATAAAATCAAAACAGATACGAGAAGAAAAAGAGTAATCTAAGAGGGCAGGTCTATATAAGCCCAATTAGGTCAGAACTAACACCCATATTTAGCCCAATATAAGTTACTGTTTTCTAACTTGGTAACAAAATATAAAAATACCTCAACTAAATTTCAAAAATTTAATAAAAATACATCAATTAAAATTTAAAATATTTTAATACTCCAACAATGAGACTTCAAATATAGTAGCTATTTTTTATTAACTGAAATTCCCAAAACTAAGAAAACCAAACCAAAACTGAACCGATATCCGGATTAAACAATAAACACCCATGAATAAGAGTGAAGACAACATATAAAAAAGGGACATGAGAATCCATGAACAATGTGTCGAGCGTTACAAAACTTTAACTGTAACAAAATATATACCGGCCGTCGAACAAAAGTGAAGTCCACATATCGAAAAAGGATATGAGAATCCATGAACGATGGGGTCGGGGCGTTACAAAACTTTAATTAAAACAACATACTCCTTTTTTTCTTGAATGAAATTTTTTCAAAATAAACAATATTTTATCATCAATTTTAAAAATTCAACTGATTAAAAATAATTTGCAGAATTCAAACTGTGAAAACAACAAAAATACAATTAATTTTTGATTATTTTATGAGAACATCACTTAACTGTGAATAATTTTTTTCCTTAAACATCATTAGAGAACGAAGGAAATAGTGTTAGCTTTATGGCACATTGTAATATATACTTCGACAATGAATAAGCAATGTCTTATAAAATTTATTTCCCACACCATTAGAGATATTTGATTCTATAGTGTCATGTGACAAACAATACACTCGTGTCTTCGATTAAGTATAAGACAAAACTGAATCTGATTAAACTTTTCTTTTTATAGTGTAGTAACAGAGAACAATTAGTATTAGTTTCTCCTATTCAACAATTGGAATCTTTGTTTCAGTCATTTGGTTTGAATTTGGTGTTCCTAGTTTTGATTGACAAAATGTATACTGTTTTGACATTTATGATATGTATAAAGGAATTATGGATAAAAAGACTACAAGATCGTCCTACGTTGGCTAACAGCTAGTATCAATACATTTAAAAAGAGTTTAGACACAGACTTAAATTAAAATGATTTAACTGGCCGGGAATGCTTACTTCATGGCTAAAAACATGTGTCCAAGAAATGGTAGGCTGTGGATACTGATCGAGTATCTCGTTTCCATTGTGTAGTCATCTTGATACTATCTTGCATATCTGCAACAAAACGAAAAATTACAAGGGCAACTGAAAATTTATTAAAAAATGAACAGAGATGTACTATTTACTGAATTTCAAAGCTTTTATTGACATGATGATGACCAAGCTCTACAACTATGGTAAAGCTGTTGGAAATAGCAAAATCTACCTTTCATCGATCAACCCAAACCTATATACATACAATCCACGGCCTAATTAAGAAACATGCGGATAACTATATATGGTTATAATATAATTAAGTAAAAGTTAAGCTCTATACACACATCATGAAGGAACTAAACTTAATTTTTATGTCTTGTGTTGAGATTAAGATTAATTAACACGTTTGAAAACATCATCTGAATAGTTACAAGTCTATAAACAAGAAATCCTCCCGAGATTATATTAAAGATTAGGAATACAAATAAGATAATTTAAATTATTAACCAATCATATCCTAGTAACTTTACCAAACCCAAACACCAAAAAGAATTTGTGAAATATAATGGAGGAGCAACATAATTTCTCATATTAGGGTTTTTTTCTTTCAAGAATTTACCTGTCACAATTAGGCTTTTAACTAACGGGTCGAAGTAATTAAAGACTGCACTCTAAATATGGAGCAATAATGTAATTTAAAGAAGAAGAAATAAAAAAAAGAGAGTACCTAAATATGCATGATCGATCGAGATCAAGTGGATTAATGATTATGACCCTGAAGTGTTCGAAATTTTTTTCTTGACGGCAACGACGTCGTTTTTGGTTTTCTTCCGTTTGTTTTTCTTCCTAAACGGGATTCCACGAGCCTTACCTTGAGACTCTCTCACTTTCTTTAAATGAATCCGGATCGACTCGTTTCCAAACGGGTTACGATCGGATGATCCACCACCGTGTTCTTCGTAAGCAGCTCTCAACCGTCCGATCAAAGCATCTAAGCTTCCCCAAGCTTGCTTGAGAGGACACGTGCAAGGAGATGGTGGATCGGGTTGTCCGAAGAAGACACAAGCTTGGTGATGGACTTTGGTTTTACCGAACTGGTCTAAGTAGTTGAGGAAGCTTAGCGCATGTGTGTCGTCAAACTGCGAGAATTTAACGGGTGGATTTAGGGTTCTAAGGTATTGTAGAAACGTGTTCCAGTCGCGGCGTTTCTGCGATTCGTAGCGGTTAAGTTGCGGTGGTGACTTGTTGTGGCCGGCGTTGGAGGAGGAAGAAGGGTGGTCCGGTTGATTGTTAGACGACATGGTGGTGAGGGAAATTTTGGTTAGATGAGAAAAAGAAACATAATATTTAGAGAAAATGAAAAAAGAGAGAGAGAGAGAGATCTTGAAAAAGTAGAAGAGAATATATGAGTAGATCAAGAAGAGACTGACAAGTTTATATTTTGAAAGAAAAAACAAACGATTCACCAGGTTTCAATCATATCAAGCGATTATATTAAATTTGTATTTTATGTTGATTGCTTGATTTCGAAACCGACATAATTACCTAGGTCCAGTATATCTATACCCGAATGTCTCCTTGAAAGTTCCTTTTAAGGTCACTAGCCACCGTAGTCATAATAGTTTAACTATCGACGTTTAAAATGTACACATAATATTTTTACTATACAAATTCAAACAAAACTAAGAGAATATATTTCATTTGGGTGGGGCTACAACATTGAATGATTGAGGTGACCTGACCCACGAGATGGTGCTTTCTTTCTTTAATTTCTTTCTATTTCTTCATATTTGCTAAGGTTTCTTTAACAATTTTATTAATTTGTTTTATTTGACATTCGTTGTTTTTTTTTTGGTCGTGTTTTGACATTCGTTGTTGATGTACCTATTTACGCACTTAATTACTATGTTCCACTTGTAATTTAAAATTAGTTTAGACCTGATAAGTGGATAAAAACACATAGAACAAATTAATGTTATAAATATTTAAAATTTAGAATTAATAAAACTTTATATAATTATAAGTTTATAACCTGTGCAATTAAATTGTAGATTAAAATTTCCACCAAAAAAAAAATTGTAGATTAAAATGCGTGTTTTTTTTTTTTTGACAAGATTAAAATGCGTGTTTAAATACACTGAAACTGAGTTGCAAAACATAACTAAAAAATCAAAATTGACTCAAACTGATATTTTGATTTGATGAGATAGGGAAACATTTTTTAAAATGGCTTATTTGGCTTTCTTTACGAAAAACCAAAGTGTTTTAAAAAAAAAAAATTCTTTAACAAATTTATGAGTTATTTTGAAAATTTTGTTCAATTTTATATAGTAAGATATTATTTCAACGCAAATTATACTGGTATACTGGAGGAGTAATAATAATTATTTTTAGCTATCTATTGCACGAATAGTAACGCAAAATTATGCTGGTATTTTAAAGTTCTTATTTTCCTATATAGTGACTTGTTTATTAAATCATCAACTTGCTTGTAAGAGTGGCTATTGTTGAATAAATACCCACATAGTATATAATTATAATTACAATAATGGTCGACGTTGTCATGGGCATCGCCACCATTGCAGCAATATTAATAACGATAACCCGGTGGAATTTATTCCATTCATAGGAATATTTTAACATTATCACTTTTCACTCATTTGACTCATGATATACTAAACTGCATATCAGATAAGAATCTTATGTTTCTTATGGAAGAAGGTCGGTAATAAACCAAAAAGGTTAAGAGAAAACAAGGTGATCGATGTTTCGAGAGAGGAGCGAACCAATTATGGAATGAAGCAAATGTTAAAACATGTTTGAAGAATGTATGAATTTGTCCCATAAATAAATAAAACGAATATAATTGTACTAATATATTATATATGGGACAAATTTAGGGGTGTCAAAATGGGTAACCCAACCCATCCAACCCATTATCCAAGTGGATTTAGTGCTAATGGATCATGGATTAATCCAATCCATTTAGGAAATGGGTTGGTTTGATCCATTATCCATTTAATTAGATGGTTTTAATGGGTTAATGGATGAATGGGTTAATGGATGATCCACAAACAAATATAACTAAAAATTTATATATATTAAAATAAAGATAACTAAACAAAATCTATAAACATCACAAAAATCTATAACCCATTAAATCTGTAAAATCGTAAAATCATGTCTTTCCGCCAAAATCGTAAATCACATCTTTCCGCCGAAACCGTAAAATCGCAAAACACGATTTTTCATCAAAACCGTAGAACCACGTTTCCGTCAAAAACATAAACTCACTGTTTTTTGCAACGTAAAATTGTGATTTATGCACAAAACAGTAAAATCACGTCTTTCTCCCTAAACTGTAAAATCACGTTTTTCAACCAAAACCGTAAAAATCAGTTTTTCCATCAAAACATAAAATCACAACTTTCCCCAAAAACCATGTTTTGCGGTTATGGCGGAAAACCTTGATTTTGCGGTTTTGGAAAACCGTGATTTTGCGGTTTTGGCGGGAAACCGTGATTTTGCGGTTTTGGCGGGAAACCCGTGATTTTGCGGTTTTGGCGGGAAAACCGTGATTTTGCGGTTTTGGCGGGAAACCGTGATTTTGCGGTTTTGGCGGGAAACATGATTTTGCAATTTTGGCGGGAAACCGTGATTTTGCGATTTTGGCGGGAAATTCGTGATTTTGCGGTTTTGGCGGGAAACTCGTGATTTTGCGGTTTTGGCGGGAAACATGATTTTGCGATTTTGGCGGGAAACTCGTGATTTTGCGATTTTGGCGGGAAACTCGTGATTTTGCGATTTTGGCGGGAAACTCGTGATTTTGCGATTTTGGCGGGAAACTCGTGATTTTGCGGTTTTGGCGGGAAACTCGTGATTTTGCGGTTTTGGCGGGAAACTTGATTTTGCGGTTTTGGCGGGAAACTCGTGATTTTGCGGTTTTGGCGGGAAACCGTGATTTTGCGGTTTTGGCGGGAAACTCATGATTTTGCGATTTTGGCGGGAAACCGTGATATTGCGATTTTGGCGGGAAACTCGTGATTTTGCGGTTTTGGTGGGAAACTTGGCGGAAAACTGTGATTTTGCGATTTATACCAAAATTGTAAAATCGTTTTTTTTTGTCAAATTTGTAAGATCATTCTTTTATGGTATTGTATTCAAATCCAACCAAATACAATTTTGGATTTATTATGTGGGAAAAAACATTTGATGTATAATTGTTTTTTTTTTTTTAATAAAGTGGGTTAACCATTGATCCAACCCATTATAAACCAAACCATTTCAATCCAATCCAATTAATCCATCACCCATGTGAACCATTAACCCATTTGGATCCAAATTTTTAATCCATTTGGATTAATGGATAAGATGGATTGGGTCAACCCATGGATTTGGATCCATTTGACACCCCTAGACAAATTCATACATTCTTCAAACATGTTTTAACATTTGCTTCATTCCATAATTGAAGTCAATAATAGTGATATTGGCACAAGAATTAAGAAGCTAGCCATAAGGTTAAGGTTGGTTTGGCTAGAATACAATATATCGTTTATGTAATAACCCTTATATATTGACTATGTAACTTGGGGGTCAAAACTTTGTACTTCCGATTGCATATATATATATGTAAAAGAGATCTTCTTTATTTTTCAGGATAAATGTTTACAATATTAATATTTGGACTTATTAAACAATAAAAAGAAAAACTGTTGCATGATTGCATCAACTCGTACACTTATTAAACAGAACCATTTACTCACTAACTACAACTATTCGGAGCAAACCCGACCCGCCCGCTTTATCGTACACAACTTGAAATGTCTTCTGTTGATAGTTCCCAAAGATAGCGATATCATTGTCGTCTTTATTCCCTATAAACGCCAAACAAACCTGCGACATCTTGATCGTATACAACAACCCTTTCGGACCAAGCTCCACGACGGTGTCGCCACCGAAGGTGAACGCAATCTTCGGAACTGCCACCGTCTTCAAGCCGGTGAAGTCGTAGCACGTGTCAAAGAGCAAGTACGGCGACGTAGTGGTATAATTTAAGGCCGACATTTGTTTTTTAAAAACGGTCCGCATCACCTCATAGGCTTTTGGAGGGAGGCGAGTGATGACGGTACCGGAGTCGATTATAGCGCCGGGAGTCGAGAACACGGTTAAAGGAATATCCAGCTTCTGATTGCCGACAGTGATGCCTAAGATATCGAGGCCATAAGCGGATGCGTGTCTTAGAAAAGACGAGAAGGGCGTGTATTTTACGGAGCTAGAGATTCCGGCGGACCCGAAGGTGAGATGGCCGGTGTATCTCGCGGAAGAAGGGAGGCAGTAGGAGAAGATATCACGGTAGGTGTTGGCCGTCTGCTACGGGAATGAGATGTTACCGTTGCGGCCAAGGCCGAGAAGTCCAGCAACGGTGCCGAAAGTTCCTTGGTTGTTCACACCGCAACCAAAATGAATGCCGTCGAAGACATCAGAGCTCGTTAGGGTAAATTTCTCCTTGGCGAAAAATCCCGAGGTGAAAGATCGATCGCCGTATTGGACTGTGTAACCACATTTGGACGCCGAACAAACTCCAGCGTAATCTAACGGGAAGGTTATGAAAGTTGGAAGCTGTTATTCAATTATGTATTTGAAATTAATTCTATAGGTTTTATAATTTTTAGATTTAAAATTTGAGAAATTTTAAGAAATACACCTCAAGAGGTGTAGTTTTGAATTTTCCCTCAAATTTGAAAATTTTTAATATTGTTTTAAAAATCCACATTAGTTGATTATAAAATCTCTGTGGTATTAGATTCTGTTTTTAATAATTTACTCGTAGAACTTCATTGTAATTCATTTCAAATGACTTAGTTACCAAAGATTTTAAAAGTCATGTAATTTGAAATAACACTAGATTTTACAACTGTATTTAAAATCTTGATTGAATAACGCTGGATTTAAAACTCTATTAATGATAGATTACAAATCAGATATCGAATAACACTAAATTTCAAAGCCGGATTTGAAATCTTGATTGAATAACACTGAATTGTAATTCAATTCCAGTTCATTTACGTGAATTAAAGATTCAGTTTAAAATTACAAGAGGCAATAAAAACCGAAAAAATCAAAATGGCAATATTCTTCAAGATCAAGGGGGTTTATTGAAGATCAAGGGGGTGTTATTGGATGTTGAATTTGAAATGAAATGAAATTGAATTATAATTTAGTGTTATTCGATATCTGATTTGTAATCTATCATTAATAGAGTTTTAAACCCAGTGTTATTCAATGAAGATTTCAAATCCGGTTTTAAAATCCAGTGTTATTCAAAAGTAATTGACTTTTAAAATATTTGTTAATTGAGTCATTTGAAATGAATTCGAATGGAGTTCTATGAGTAAGTTATTAAAAATAAAATCCATGAGATACTGTAGCGATTTTTGAATCAAATGATATGGATTCTTAAAATAAGACAAATATTTTAAATCTAAAGGATTATAAAACCTATAGATTGTGAAATGAATAACAAATCATTCTAAATAACAAATCATTTTAAAAATCTGATGTATTTCAAATCTATTTGAGTTGATTTTAATATATAAAACCAATAACACCCGCTAAGTGATTTCTAAATCCATATAAGATTTCGAATTTCTGAACCAAGGTTACCTTTGGATTTGATTCTTTATATTTTTAACTTAAAAACACATCCATTGAAATCTCAGGTAGATTTTGAATAAAGTAAACTGATATTTGTAAAGTAAAATATATGAATAAATATATAAACATAATATTAAGATGATACCAAGAATAAGAATTTAGGAAAAAACAGATTTGCAGAGGCAAGATTTTCTTGAACCTCTCGGGCTTTGATGTAAACCAAGACAATAGCTATAACACAGCTTCATTTTCTCACAGAATACTCTTGATGATTTTACAATTTGATCTCATGACACACCTTTAATTGGATCCTAGGTTGTCATTCAAGTAGACACATAATCTATTAAGATTATTCCATTTGAGATCAATTGTGTAACCGTTTTAGGCAGTAGCATTGCAACTTTTGCTATACACCCCCACACTTTTAAGTATTTGTACAAATGTACTTAATTTTTTCAAAACTTATTTGACATTTTGTCAACTTTATGTGGTAAACAATGTTTTTCCCCCACATTTCTTGAGATAATTCAAAAATCATGCACTTTGCATTTTCACATTTTAAGTTTAAACAATGGCTAGAAAGCTCAATATCTTTTGTAACCAATTTTAAACTCCTTTCCACAGAATTTGTCTAGTCTTGTGTTTACAACACTAAGCACTAATATGAAGATATGAAAAATATCATAACTTGGTACAATCACAAGTGGAAGACCATTACCATAATAAATTTGGTATGTCAACTCACTAAACTTGTTACCAATAACATTTTCACCACTAATGGTGTGAGACAAAATCATAAATGATAGATCACTCCCAACATGGGGTATCAACTCATTTGATTTTTCACTATTAGAAACATTATAAATGTTCTAATTGTTGGTAACACTTTTAAATTCAATTTTCACACATCCAAACCTGAATCATTATACCAAAAATATTAGAACTATATCAAATATATATTAATCCAAAATATAATAAGCAATTTAAATCAATAGAATAAATTGCATATATAATAATTTAATACAGTCAACTTAAATTATCAAGTCAAACATATGCATTTATTGAATGCGATCAAAGATATTGAATACACTAACGTAATTCAGATCAAACTAAACCAAGAAATAAAAACCGGTTCAATGAGATCAAAACCAAAGAACATGTTCTTGTCTTTGACCAAATAAATCAAGCAGTTACGATTTTATAAAATCCAACATTCAACTTTCTCTTTGACCAAACAAATAACCAATGCAACATAAATAATATTGCTGAAAAAATAACCAATCATCAATAATTCATTTTTGACCTGCAAAAAATTATCAATTAGATATATTGCAAAATAAAATTAATCTGAATAACTTTCAGATAATACTTGAAAAAAGTTTCTCCAAAATTCGTGCAAAATAATCAAAGAATTAATCCAATTTTCAGAACCTTAGTTCTTCCATGAACACCTGTTCATATCAAATTTTAACTAATATAAGAATTATTAATGCACAGTACAAATATTTTTCAGATATAAACACATAAAAATATTCTGAAAAATATGCAAAAAATAATTAAAATAAATTGCAAGAAAAATAGAAGAATTAATCATATTTTCTTCCATTGATAACCTGCCAAAAATCATCAAATTAATTTCTGAAACACCAGAAAATTTAATCCATAAAATCCTGATAATCTGCAAAAACAAATTAGAACAAATTTGCAGAAATTTGGAAATATTATTCCAATTAATCCAGAATTTCCAGTTCCTGTTTACATAACAAAAACACTTCACAAAAATCAGTTTTTCGTTAGTGCAATAAGCAAAAACGAAAAGTTACAGAATTAAGATTGTAAGAACACAAATTTTACAATAGGGCAAACTGATATTTGTAAAGTAAAATATATGAATAAATATATAAATATAATATTAAGATGATACCAAGAATAAGAATTTAGGAAAAAACAGATTTGCAGAGGCAAGATATTATCTTTTTCCTTAATTCTGTAAACGCCCCGTAGTGTGACGGTTGCATGGCGTTCCGAATCCCAAGATATAACTGCATACTTCTTATGATTTGCATCACTCAAATCATAAGCTTGCGAACCATGTTTTATGTGTTATACTCTCATAGGAAAAAACAAGAGGAAAATAAAAGAAAAAAGAGAGATGAAGGGGATGTGGAATTGTTGTCTCTATGAATGAATGAGACCACGAGACATTAGTCTCACTTTTATACAAGCCAAAAACGTTTTTGGTCATAGTGGAGTTTAGTTATTGTATTAATTATGGCATTAACCATGAAATTAATCACAAAACTTTAAGAGAGATCTTTTCAACTTCTTGACCAAAACTTATTCTTTAGGAGAATTATTTATTTGTTGACCAAGATTCATTCTTTATTAATTATGAGAATTGTTCACTTTTTTATCAAATTTTAATTTATGTAGTGATCAGTTACACAAATAAAAAACTTAATACAAAAAGATGGATTACTGGACCGAGGCCCGTTTATCCCCGAACCCACACCTAAACCCAAACCCGAGCCCAAGTCTATTCCGACTCTTCTCGGTGTGCGCACATGTGGTTTAGTGTGGTTCACATTTCTCTCTAATTTTCCCAAGGTTTCTAACCTTGTTACCACTTTTCCATAATATCCACTAGTCCATTTTGTGCATTTCTAGCAACAAACTTTGGACAAGCATTTCTCATTCAAACGAACTTCAATTTCGACAATTGAGTTCCAACATGGCCTGCATTGGATCCACGTCAAATCGCTGCCGGTGTCGAATATCAGCGACAGATCTTGTTTAGGTGTCCCGATTCCGATCCTGACGATGTAGTTGTCCGAACCGAACGGGCTCCCCAGGTTAGCCGGTAGATCTGTGGACAGGCTCGGTTTGATTGGGTCTATAAAATCCTTTGACAGTTTGGACTGGATGGAAACCACACGTGCTTCATCGTGTCTGAAGATGTCGTCGTGGTCGGGATGACTCTCGGCTTTGTCGCTGCCTAGACGCGAGCACGCGCCATGTCTGTGTAGCACGTGGAGCGACGACTTGGTATTAGATACTGAAAAGAAAAACTCAAAAGTATCAAAAATATTCTCCTCTACACACAGTGAGTTTGGTTAACATAATCACCTTGTGAAGAACGAAGACAAGATGAGGTTGAAGCGAAGAGAGACGTGAGTTGAATAGTGTGAGAATAAACCTCTACGCTCTCTCTTTCTTGAGCTCCCTTAGTACATACCCAATTTAGACAAACACAAAGGATTATTATTATGGTATTCTATACATTCCTCTTTAGACTCATCTTTATCATTTCCTTCTCCCTCACGGGAACGAAAATGTTACTCAGTTTTATAACCAAAATATCTTTGCTTGAAGATATTGAGTCTTTAGCTAGTGGGTGTTGTTAAACTCTAGGCTGGCCACATATGAGATAGGTAGGGACTCTACTTAATTAATTGGTGTTTAATGCTATGTCTCTCGACCCCAATACCTTACCCCATTTGGTCGTTTGTGGTTAATGCTGTTTCTCTCGACTCCAAAATATAGCGCCCTATAGGACAAAAAAGAACTCATAAACGGGATCATTACGCCCCTTAGCCTAGTGGTTAAAGGGATTTAATACTTCTACAGGAGGTCTGGGTTTCGAATCCCAGCGAATGCGATAATTTATGTAGATTATTGGAGACAAGCTTACAAAAGATCTACAGAATGGTGCACGTGGAGCCGTTGGCCGGGGAGCCTTTGAAAACGGTAGAATCGTCCGTTGTAGAATTGTCTTGTTACAGTTCTCATATTTGTGTATTAGATTAGTCAATCCAGTGTTAAACAAAAAAAAGATCATTACGCCGCACCAAAGAAATCCCCAATCATAAACGAAAAAAGAAGAACTCCAAATCACATCTCCTGACTCCTATACATAAATACTAGGGAAAACCCCGGTATGTGATTTTATTAGTTTACTATAAATTTATTTCTTATTATTACTAGTTTATGCAGCGTAAATGATATATTTTTAGTTTAATATGTTGTGCCTGCTAATTTTTGTGATGCATTATATTGTTTTAACTAAGTTTTAATTTGATATGCTTCATTGAATATTATATGTCAACTAGGTCAGCCTGCGCCAATATTTCTCATTTTCTGTTTTTTTTTCCATCTTTGTAAAATGTGTTTTAAAAAAAAAATTATTATGATAGACTCTTTGACCCAATGTTTCTTTAGTTTCTCGTTTTTTTTTTCCACCACTGATGTAATGTGATGACTTTATTATGGGATTCATTTCCTCTCTTTTGTAGCTTATGAGCCACAATTCCGACATCATGTATAGATTTGGCAGAACTATATGCATAACATTGAGTCTCAGATAAATGAAACTCCGGCCAATTGAGTTTACAAATCAGTTATTGTAGACTTTGAGCTGATTTTGCCAAAATGAAAGCCATACAACCAGGAACTTTGAATACATCAACATTTTTAATTATACGTTTTTCTCTATTTTAATGAAGCTAAGTTTTCAACTCGGTTTAAAAAAAACATATATCTCAATAACTTTATAAGATGCAATTGCCTATATGATGCAATAATTTTCACATAGAACACAATTTTTGTGTGTGAGAATTACAAACACAATTCATTTGCCCTCAAAAGATGATATACTTGTCTTTTATAGCTTTCTTTTCTTCCCAAGTAATTATTAGTTTTATGCTCTTTTGTCATTTTAGAAGCCACTATAACATTTGATATATAATTGGAAGAGAAAATAAAATATGGTATAAAATCTGAAAAACTTGTCTTTTATCTCATTCACATATACGTAAGACAACCACTTATATGGTAATCCATATGAACAGATGAACCGTTTGTAATCCATAACTTTTCCTAATAGTAGGTGACTGTTCGTAATTCTGTAATTATCCAAATTTTAGTTATTTACACCTTTCAATATAACACAATGATATTATCAATATTTAATCTCTAATAGTAATTGCATTGGTTGTAAGAATAAATATTCTACTGTTATAAAAGAAAACTTGGAAGATAATTTTTGGAGATACATGTCTTTTGTAAATAAACTTGACATGCTCAGATGTTGTGTGAAGTTGTTCCTAATTTTTAAAATTCAAATAATCAAACATCAGTCGAATCAGAAGTGTAATAAGATTGTAAAAATTGTGAGTCAAGTAACAAAATATACATGTAAAAAACATATTTTGGTTCTTTTAACAAAAGAAAAAGATATAAGATTAGAGGCTGAATGATTCTATTAGTTAACATGATTACAATATATATAGGACTCTTAGAGAGTGATTAGGGATTTGATAATTACTAAACTAACCTTTACATTTCTATATACTCTATACGCCCCCTCAAGATGGAAGAAACTCTTTTACTCCAATCTTGCTAAAGAGTTCCAAGAATCTTGGTCGTGGTAGTGCCTTTGTGAGAGCGTCGGCCAATTGGTCTTTGGTGGAGAGATGCGTCACTCGTAAGGCACCTGACTGGACATTGTCGCGAATAAAGTGATAGTTTAATGCCAAGTGCTTCATCCGTGAATGGAAAACAGGATTTGCACAGAGGTATGTAACGCCAACGTTATCGCAATAGATGACCAGTACTGATGGTAACGTGATGCCGAGTTCCGTCAGTAGTGAGCAGATCCATCTGATCTCAGCAGCGGTGTTGGCGACTCCACGATACTCGGACTCAGTAGATGAACGAGCAACACCTTTTTGCTTCTTAGAAGACCAGGCAATTGGTGTGCTTCCGAGAAACAGAATGTATGCATTGGTGGAGACATAATCATGAGTGTCGGGATCAGCATCAGCATAGGCATGGAGAGTGACAGGACTGAGACGCGTAGTGCCATGAAGGAGTCCCTGCAAGATACCGGAGACACGTTTGGCGGCTGCCAATGTATCCGGTCGGCCTATGCATGAACTGAGAGAGTTTGTTGACAACGAACGCAATATCTGGGCGTGTGAAGGCCAAATATTGCAAGCTACCAACCACCATTCGATACTCGCGAGGTTCAAGTAGTGGTGTACCAGAGGCGAGTGTGAGCTTTGGAGTCGGAGGCATTGGTGTAGTCACTGGTTTGGCGTCGAGCATCTTGGTTTTAGTAAGCAGGTCGAGGATGTACTTCTTCTGCATCAGGTTGAGTCCGTGGGGACTACGAATCGCTTCAATACCAAGAAAATAGCTCAGGTCGGTAGGCTCTTTGAGTGAAAATCTATCAGAGAGTGTATGGATCACCGTCTGTATGAGCGTTTGACTGCTTCCTGTGACAATTATATCATCCACATATACGAGAATATAGACTTTCGTACCATTGTGGATTTGGGTGAACACGGAGGTATCAGCAAGGGAGTTGCGAAAGCCAATGGAGAGAAGAAAGCTTTTGAGCTCCTCATACCATGCACGAGGCGCCTGTTGGAGTCCGTATAGGGCCTTACGGAGACGACAAACGTGATCCGGTCGATCTTTGTCCACAAAACCAGGTGGTTGAGCGACGTACACTTCATCTGTGAGTGTGCCTTGCAAAAATGCATTATCAACATCGAGTTGCTTGATTGGCCAGGCATTGCTAACCGCAAGTTGTAGGACCACACGAATTGTATCGGATTTCACCACTGGACTAAATGTCTCCGCGTAATCGATCCCGTGTTATTGTGTGAATCCTCTTGCAACAAATTTGGCCTTATACCTGTCCAAAACACCACTAGGAAGATATTTTAGTGTGTAAATCCACTTTGTATCAATCACATGTTGACTTGGGTCTGGTGGGACCAAATCAAACGTGCGATTCCGAACTTGAGCATTGAACTCGTCGCCTATAGCATTTCTCCATCGAGGATCTCTCAAAGCCTGGTTCACAGTGGTCGGGATAAAGGGTGTGGTGGTTCTTTTTGTGAGTAGGCTAAATTTTTGGTTGGGTTTAGTTATGTTGTTCTTAGCTCGAGTGGTCATATGATGGGCATTCTCGATCGGAAGTGGTGGTGGCTCCGATGCGGCGGAGGAAGACGAATAAGTCGGGGATGGATTTGGGGAAAGACTGGGCTCAGAATTTTCGTGAGTTGTGAATGATGGTATTGGGCTTTGGTTATTTTCGTTGGTGTGTGTAGGAATTGTGCTATTTGGAGGTGTGGGCCCGGAAGTTGGGCTTTGAGATTCATCAGGGCCCGTTTCAGAATTGGGAATGTTACCTAGTTAAGGTGGAGCGTCCGACGACGAAGACAGGTGAGAACCGGAGCTTGAGGACGACGACTCCGGCGAGATCTGCGGGTGAGCTGGAGCGAGTGGTGGTGGTCGGTGAGGTATGATTGTGGCTGGGGCGTGAGTAATCGGAGAGTCAGAGAGCGATGTCGGAATGGGATTGGAAGTGGTGGAGAAGGGAAAAGTGGTTTCATCAAAAGTCACATGACGAGATGTGTAGATGCGTCCGGTGGCTCTGTCGAGGCATAAGTATGCACTTTGGGTTAAGGAGTAGCCGATGAACACACAGTTGATGGAACGATCCTCCAGTTTATGTTTAGTGTATGGTCTCAACCATGGAAAACAAGAGCACCCAAACACGCGAAGCTTCAGGTAGTTGGGTTGTTGTTGAAACAGCTTATGGTACGGAGATTCGTTGCCGAGAACTGCGGTGGGCAAGCGATTGATTAAGTAGACCCCCGTGGAGAACGCAAACGGCCAGTAGCTTTTCGGCATGGTGGATTTGCTGAGAAGAGTCAACCATGTTTCAACGATGCGGCGGTGTTTCCTCTCGGAGATGCCATTGTGTTCTGGAGTATGCGGTGGAGAGGTGAGATGTGAAATGCCGTTTGCTGTCAGGAATTGTCGCAAGCCGATGAATTCGCCACCGTTGTCAGAGTTAAAAGTGCGGATCTTGGTCTGAAACTTGTTCTAGACGAGAGCCTTGAACGCGATGAACACCTCACGGACTTGTGACTTCTGCTTCAACGGATAAAGCCAGGTATATCGGGTATAGTGGTCGACATTTACAAGATAATATTTGTAATTGTCAACTGAAAGTAGGGGAGAAGACCAGACATCGCTATAGAGATATTCAAGTGGATGGTTTGAGGTTATAGTGTTTGTGGAAAAAGGGAGTTTATGAGTTTTATTGATTAGGCAATCGGAACAAGCAAATTGTTTTTGTAACAAAGAAAGAGGCAGATGAAACTGAGCAACAAGAGTTTGTAAAATTAAAGGAGAAGGGTGGCCAAGTCTTGAATGCCACGAACTGAGATCTGTTTTAGGTGTAGGTGAGGCCGCAAGAGAGAAGATGGGTTTGGGTGTAACCGGCCACTCGTACAGCTCATCTTTAGTCTTGCCTTGGAGCAATCGGGCCCCCGTGCTGAGGTCCTTCACCTGAAACGAAGCCGGGAAGAATTCCACAGACACACGGTTAGCATTACACAAACGATAAACGGAAATTAGGTTCTTTTTGAGGTCGGGAACATAGAGAACATCAGTAAGTGTTAAAGGTTTAGATAGAGTAGGAAGTTGGCTTGAACCAGTATGCGAGATATGGAGATTTGTACCGTCGGCTATGGTGACCTCCTCGCCACCAAGATACGGCTGATGGAGCGATAAGTTGCTCAGGTCCGTGGTCAAGTGGTGAGTGGCACCACTGTCCATCACCCAATTGTTGGCGTTGTATGTCGGGGTAGATGCCAAGTTCGCTCGCGGCTGCCATGGAGCAGAGGTTGGTTGTTGTGGGCGTGGCTGAGTTCCAAGAAATCCACCGGAGAGGTTAATTTGGGAGCAACGCCTTGCACTGTGGCCGTGTACGCCACAAATCTGACACCTTCCTTGGTATCCCCGTGGAGGATAGTTGTCTTGGTGAGGTTGAAACTGCTGCTGTTGTTGCCAAGTTTGGTTCCCACGGTTGTTGTTGGAATGGTTCTGCCTGCGGAAGTTATTGTTGTTGTTGGAGCCACGGTGAGTCGCAACGTTGGCCGAGACTGGAGTAGAGGATGATGGCATAAGTGCGGTTTGTAACTTGGCTTCGTGATTGATCAGCTTCTCGTGAGCTCAGTAAGAGACGGTGGAGAATCACGTCCCTCGATTTGATCGACCACGGTTTTGTACTCTTCCGGAAGACCTTCGAGGACGTGCTCAACTTGATCTTCCAGATCCATGGCTTTGCCAAGGAGAGCGAGCTGGTCGAAGCGACTTGTGAGGCCCTGAAAGTAGTCGTTGATGGACTTGTTGCCTTTAGTCCATTGTTTGATCTGAAGTTTCAATTGTTTGAAGTGACCTCGGCTTGGTTTTGCGTAGGTCGCGGTCAGAGTGGTCCAGATCTCCGCAGCAGTGGTGGTGGTGGAGAGTATGGACTGGACAGACGGTGTGATGGCACCGAGAAGAGCGCTGTAGATCAAGCGATCTTGGCGTTTTCACGCTGTGTAGTTTGGATTGACCGAGACGATGTTGTCTGCGGTGAGAGTAGCGGACGGAGTCTCAGTGGATCCGTCGAGATATCCAGAGAGCTCATAGCCATCAAAGAGAACTTGGACCTGGCGGCTCCACATGAGGAAGTTGGAGGCTGTCAGCTTGGTTACGTTGGTCATATTGACATGAACAAGCGCAACAGAGTCAGAGACTGCAATGGTTTCACTAGCCGCTGAAGTTGACATGGTGACAAAAAATGAAGAATGAGAGGTGAAGAAATTTGAAAAAGAGAAGAGGCGGCTGTATTTTAGAATTAGGTATCGCTAAGCTCTGATACCATATAAGATTAGAGGCTGAATGATTCTATTAGTTAACATGATTACAATATATATAGGACTCTTAGAGAGTGATTAGGGATTTGATAATTACTAAACTAGCCTTTACATTTCTATATACTCTACAAAAGATCCATTCTGCTTTCTTGTACTTGCTCTTAAAAACCATTGAAACTATTTTCTTTGTAAATGATATAGTCTAGTAGTTATTTCCTACAATGAGACCAACAATGAAAAGAACAGCATCAAACTCTGATTATTGGTAAAATACTTTTGTATTTTAATTCCAAATTATCTTTTATCTATAGTACTCTGGTCCAAGTCTTGAAAAACACGTTCTGCCCACTGAAAATGTTATTAAATGTTAGAGAATCTACACAGGTCATATAGCCCCATGTGAAAAGAATGAATACATATGGTTCGAATATATAAAATATATAAACAGAAAATTGAAAATATTTAGAGGTTAATGTGGTGATCAAGACTGACTAGTGTTAGTGGTGAGCTATAGCAAGTGAAGTCCTTGCCCTTAAATCTGGCAAAATATTATTGTATACAAAAGGCACTGATATCTCTACAATCAGTAAGATCTTACAATAGAACCTCTATAAAATAATATTCGATAAAATAATAAACACTATAAGATAATAAATTTTTTTGTCCCAATTCGGGCCAATATAAGAAATAGCAAAATGCAATAAAATGATAAGATAATAATATTTTTGAAATTTCTATGTAAAAATATAGTCCCAAAAATAAGTTAAAATAATAATTATAAACTTAGGCATATATATCTAAGGCAATTTAGTAAAATATGACTTCAATGTAGTTTATCTTTTCTGAAAGTTGGATTCTCGTTGGAGCTCTCGAATTTTTCTTATTGCATTAAAGAAAAATGAAAAATTACATATTATGAAATATGTTAATAACAAAGTATAAGAAAAATTTGAATTAAAAAAACTGAAAAAAAATTATATTTCTATAAAATTTCTTGTTTTTATGAAATATTTCTATAAAATAATAATTATTACTTTATCAATAAAATAATAATTCTATAAGATAATAAATTTTCAAAATCCCAACATTATTATTTTATAGAGGTTTTACTGTATATACTATGAGTTTTTTTGTAATCCTCACAAGTGAACATATTAACACCTTTTTAGACAGTGCCGCTTTAAGTTTACCATTTTTTGTGTATCTCATACCGAAAGACTTACTATTTTGGTAACTGCATACTATTTTTTAAAACTTCTATGATTTCATTGAACTAATAATTTTAATATACGGGACATTACCGCATTTAGCTTGATGATACTGGGTCAATTCCAAATTTAGCCATCTCTAACAGTTTCTATTAGGAAGATTAAACTATACAAAAATATTAATTTTGGAACACACGTATGTTTGAATTTGTTTCGTACGTCATCTCCTGCGTTTGAATCTGTGCCACATAAAACTACCTTGCTGGCACGAAGCATAGAGAAAAAAAAAACGAACTGAGAACATACTTAATGAAATGATCTTACTAAAACGTAAAGACTTTTTGCTTAACAAAAGAAATATTAGAGTTGGGATAAGAAAGGAAAGGGAAAATGTCAAAAGTCCTAATCTTATAATCTTATGAAACCATCTTATAGAATTCAGTGGTATGAAACTGAATTAGCTAGAGAATGATTGTCGGCTACGAATTTCATCAGGTTAAGATACACAAACATGGCCGAACAGAAGAGAATTACAGAGATACATTGAAAAGGCGTGAAATTAACATACCCCTGACTTTAATCATAAGACAGATGCTCAATTCGATGAAAAGCTCATGTGAATACAGTTTTTCTTCTTTGAACCTAATAGCAAACCATATTGCTGCACAAACGGAACCATTCTTCCACCGTCTATGGATCCACGAAGTGAAAATTAGTTTTAATGCAGGTCTAAAAACTGCCTCCTGATGTCAACATCTCCGCGATTACGCCTCCTCAGAGCTGCCAGATTAGAGGTAAAATCAATCCGGATACAAATGTGGCCCTCTTGTTCGAGCCAGTTCCCTGATCCGAGCGGTTTTCCTTTAAACCGGACTGCATTTTCCAGGTGGCAAGTGGTCTGCAACATGACTCAACCACCTACTCCTCAATGATGTGTCTCCTTCTCTTCTTACTTGAACGTCTCCATCATCCCGTGTAATACCTGCGCTTGCGGAGGCTGCTCCAGCGACAGAGTGGCTTGCATCTGCAGCACAACTTCTACACATTTGAAATCTGCATTGATCAGGTTTCTGCTTATCCCTAAACGAACAATCCTATAGAGAGAGAGAGAGAAAAATGACTGAAGCACATACCTTGAGGAATTCACAAGCTTCACCGGAATAACATTTTAGACCATCGAACCGATCGGGTCAGAGCTCTCCGCACCACTTCCGGTAAAGCAGTTGCATCGGAAGACCAGAAAACGTATTGGCCTGCTTATTATACAAAATCTTTGATACAGGAAGACAAAGCAATGATAAAATTTCATCAAGTAGACTCTAATTCAAAGTATTTGTAATGTACGCAAACCACAAACTCAACCCCAAAGGTGTATTTGTTTTTCTTTCATCAGAACTTATGAATAAAACAAAAGTTGGGTGGCAACAAAGGCGTCCAAGGAAAATAAAACGAGGCTTAATAGAGAGGTTTTGCAATGTATTACACATTATTGAAAGCATGAGCTGACACACAATTGCTCAGTTAAAATATTATCTAGCCATGTAACGAGAACCAGAAGGTTCTATAGATTACTTCAATACCAAGCCAATATCAGGACCGTAAGGGAGGCTACATATTAACCACGGCCAGAACGTATTTGGACGACACCGAAGACCACAGAACATCCCACAGCCGACCATAGATAGATCCGGCCGGGAAGAAAACCTCGGCCAGAAAAATTTATGGCCGAGAAACGACCACTCGATCGAGCGGACAAAAAGTTGGCCGAGAAGTCACTTTTTGACAAGTGTCGCGAGAAGACAAAAAGTGCTTTTTGGATCAACACTTGTTACAAAGGAGTTGGATGCTCCAAACTCCTATGACAAATGGAACCTTCCATTTTACAAGTGTAAGAAGAACCAACAAGTGTCACAAACATTCCTTACTCCCTAAGTAAAGTCACAACAAGTGTCAAGAGACTCTCTACATGTTCGAAAGGTGCTACACGATAATGGAAGACTTCAACCACCACACTTGTCTCCTCCGCCACTATAAATACCCCTCCCTCACCATTGTAAACTATTTTCTTCATTTTCTCTCTTCCTAAGTTTAGTAAAAAGGTGAGAGGAGGAATAGTACGGTGAGCGGTTCGTAGAAGTAGAACGAGAGCTTAGGAGCGACGGTCTAGAGTTTGGAGTGTCAAGCGTCTACACCATCGTTAAATCTGTGAGTCTCGGTAGTATAGTTTAGTTTAGTGAGTTGTTTTTATGAGAATCGATCTCGGTATGAACATGCGATCCAAAGGTGTTTCATCCGATTATATCTCATAAAACTTAGATGTTTTTATAATTTCTAGGTTTGCATGTATAATCGAACTCATGGAACATGCGATCCAAAGGTGTTCTCATGACTAGACTACATGACTAGAAATTTAGGTGTTACTTGTGGGTATGAGTCCCAAAGTAACTTTTATTTATTTTCTTTGGTTTTCTTTCTTTTTTTGGTAGGATTATAATTCAGAATTATAATCTGAGTGCATATGAGACATAGTATTAAACTATGGGTTCATATGGGTGGAACATAGCAAGGGCTATAGGTTTCATGGGACATAACGAGAGGTTATGATCCATTGTTGAAGAAATATAGCAAGGGCTATAGATCTTTTGCATTTAGAGTCTTGGTGACTCTTAGGATAGATAGATCATTTGATTTTTGGCGTAAATCATGATCTTAGGGCATGTCTTGGTACTCCTCATACCCTGCGGTGCGGGAAGGCTCGGATATACTTGGGTAGCTCCCTTGGCCGAGGGTAGTACGACGGTATGAGTTAAGCTTGTGTTCTTGTCAGGTGACTTGAGCACAAGTACCGTGAGTTCCGTGATTGTAACGGATAACGGTGGCGAGATTTCCGGTAATAGACTTCTGTGTGATTTCTAGAACGGATATCGCGTGAGGGGAGTATCAGCATGCATTAGAGGCCTAAAAATGCATATTAGGATGCATTCATAACATGGGATGTTATTGCATGCATATAGGGTCATTAGAGCATAATTGCTTGTTGTGTGTTGTTTGCTTCCGCTTTCTCATCTCGTTGGTTGACTATGTGTGTTACCAATTAGATGAGTTATGCGTACTTTGGTAGTACTTTTTTTAATTTTAGTGGGGGAAAAACTTATTGTATAGAGGGTCCTAGACTCACTAAGTAACATTAGGTTACTTATGATGACTATTTGTTTTACAGGAAACCCTAGATCAACCTGGAGTAGCGTGGAACGTTAGGCACTGGAGTAGATTTCCCTTGGCTTTTGTAAAATTTTAATTTGTAAGATTAATGACTTTAAAACCCCCACACCTAGTTTATTTTGATTTATTTGGGCATTAGGTCATGGCTAAAACCTTTTGGTTGTATACAATAGAACCTCTATAAAATAATACTCGATAAAATAATAAACACTATAAGATAATAAATTTCTTCGGTCCCAATTCGGGCCAATGTAAAAAATAGCAAAATGCAATAAAATGATAAGATAATAATATTTTTGAAACTTCTATGTAAAAATATAGTCCCAACAATAAGTTAAAATAATAATTATAAACTTAGGCATATATATCTAAGGCAATTTAGTAAAATATGACTTCAATGTAGTTTGTCTTTTCTGAAAGTTGGATTCTCGAATTTTTCTTATTGCATTAAAGAAAAATGGAAAATTACATAATATGAAATATGTTAATTACAAAGTATAAGAAAAATTTGAATTAAAAAAACTGAAAAAAAATTATATTTCTATAAAATTTCTTGTTTTTGATGAAATATTTCTATAAAATAATAATTATTAATTTATCGATAAAATAATAATTCTATAAGATAATAAATTTTCAAAATCCCAACATTATTATTTTATAGAGGTTTTACTGTATTTTTGAAAACCTTATCTTTAATGATATATAAATGGGAATAAAATTATGTTTTATTTAAAGATGGCTTGTTCGGATGATATTTGTTTTGTCCGAACAAACACAACTCAATATTCATAATACAAGTTGCAAAGTCTTAACATATTGAATACTGAGGTAAGAGAATTAGATAAGACCGGATTTGATTTATGTATAGATCGAGTCGGGGGTATTACAAATGGTGGTATCAAAGCATGGTTCATGATCATGCTCGCGGACAAGCCAGTTTTCAAATGTTTTATCGAGTCAAAACTAGAGTCGCAAAAGCCAAGTTAGGATAATCCAGTACGTTCCACGGTTTAGGATTAGTTAATAGGACTTACCCCTTTTTATTTTCTTTTTAGATGTCAAACCAGGGTGAGAATCGGTCGCGGGGTTCGAAATTGAGTCAGGATGTGTCTCAACCGGAAAATGCGAGTAACTCTTTTGATACGTACATGCCATCTGAGGAGGAAGGGTCCTGGTACGGATTCATGCACGGATATATGCCGGAATCAGCCAGCGACTCGAATAGTGGAAATTATTGGCATTATGGACCTTGGGAAGTGCCAATGCAACCATACTACTCTTCTTCAGAAAGTACCGAAGCACCAAACGGACACGAGTATCACAACTCGTCATCAGGACAACCACCAAATGACATCCCTAACGGTCATCAACAACCACCTCCACCACCCGGTTAACAACCAAATGGGTCAAACAATTCTCAAGGAAGCCGATCCTGGACAACCAAGTCCAAACGAGCAACAATCTCTTGATCCAACACTTACAATGGTCCACAACCTCTTGTCTCAAGTTTTACATCAGGGAGCAAGCAATGGAACGCCTCCTCCCCCGGACTTTCTCAAATACGTGATGATGATGAAGACTTTGGGAACTTATCGATTTGAAGGAAACCACGATCCAGACGAAGCCGACGCATGGATGCAATGCTTGGATAAGAATTTTGCAGTGACAAGATGTCCAACCAAATTCAAGAAGGATGTAGCAGTCTACTACTTAGAGAAGGAAGCACTAGGATGGTGGAACAGTGTTGATAGACAGACCAACCATACTATCATCACATGGGAAGCTTTCCAGAGAGAAATCAGAAGGAAATACTTTCCTTTAGAAGCAAGAGATCGCATGGAGCAAGCTTTCGTCACCCTAACTCAAGGAAATAAGAGTGTACGAGAGTATGAAGCAGAATTTATACGGCTACAGAAGTATGTCATCTATGGAAACGGCGACGATGGAGTCATGGTCAGAAAATTCTTACAAGGCCTATCACCGGAGACCGGCGGAAGACTTCAAGCGGTAACCTATACGCACCTCTACGATTTAATTGAGAAGGCGGTCAATGTGGAGAGCTTTATAAAGAGAGAGAAAGCAATAGCAAATCGAAACAAGGACAACCCGAACCGAGGAGAAAGCTCAAACTCAAAGAACATCACAACTGCAAAGAAGACCTACCCATCCAACCAGGGAGAAAGACCAAGAATGGAGAATATGAGCAGAGGAGATGGAGCATGCTTTGTTTGTGGAAGTAAAGGACACTTTGCAAGATCTTGTCCGGAGAAAAGAGAAAATGGAATGGCTGTAACTACTCAATACCAACCAACGTGCTATTATTGCGGAGTCAAGGGACATTTCTCGAACAACTGTCCCGTCAAAACAAGCAAGACGCATAGACCAGCGGATAGACAGCCGGCAATGACCCGATCAGCGAATGAAGCCCCAAACAAGCGCCGAGCCCCTGCAGAGTGTGTTTACGCTATGGGCGCTGAGATTGGTGAAAACCGAGACCAATCTGGCGGTCCCATTACAGGTTTACATACGTACTAACCTTCTTTGATTGATTGATTGATTGAATAGTAGTTTAGGATGCATCATGGTAGCTGCATTGAGGAAATAATACATAGTGATTGGAACCTCACTTATGTATTATTTAGATTGCACTAGGTTGGTACCCGCTCTTCGCCGCGCTAGAATTTTGTCTGAATATCACTTCTCTAACTTTATTACTTGTAAAAACTCTTCTTACACCCGAGATGGGGTAAGATTCTAATATATTCTATATATGGAGATTTTACTTCAATTTCATAACTAAATCCAAAATGTTGTAGTTCTTTAAATATCATTCTACTATTTTTTAAAAGTTAAATGTACCATCATGTTTTATTACGTGAATTCGATCTATATAACATATAAGCCACGGTCATTTTGAAAAATTGTAAATATTCTCGACTTCCCTCCCTCAACTGGAGTTTAGGACAAATCAAGCTTTTGTCTTTTGAGTTCTCCATGAACTGAATTAACCACCAGTTTGTTTTGTTATACTAAATTGCTATTGTACTATATTTATTATCTATTTAAAATTTATTATCAATTTCAAATGAAAGAAGTTAAAATTTTGAAGAATTTATATTTTCACCTTTTTGTTTACCGGTAAGACTGAGGTAATTCATTAGCTAATTAAGATACATCTATTTTTGATTTACCATCCTCTTATGAAGCAGATCCAAACTTTTCATCAGCTTGTAAATCATTTAATCTCTAAGCCTGATAAATCTCTTGAACGACCAAAATCTTTTCTTTTATAGACCCTATTATTTTTAATAAAAATATTATGCTGTTTGCTTTTTTTTATAATAGTAATAATAATATTAGCTCTAAAATATATAATCATATTTTTTTTTTTATAAATTCCTTTTGAGAATGAATAATAATCTAAGTAGATGCAATGCAAAAAATATATCCAAATTAATGTTAAAAAAATAGAAGGAAAAAGAAGCACATATTATTTTTTTTTATAAAGAAAAAAATTGTTGGAAACAGAAGCACACATTATAGAATGCTAAAGTCTCTGCTTTTGATCAATCTTGCACTGCAACTACACTTGGAGCTGCTTTACTTGCCATAATATTAGCATATTTATTTGGTGTTGTTGGAATGTGGTTTCTTCTGCTCGGATTTAGCAGTCACGGAAGAAGTCTATTCTTCCTCTCCTCTTTTCTGTCTTTTTTTCTCATTCTCTTCCGGTTTTGCAGACATGGAATAAGTCTTATGACCCTTTGTTATTTTCTCTGCTTTTCTTTCTTTCAGTCTTTTCTTTAGTTTCAACAGCCTTAAGCTGCAACTGGATTTATGTAGTGTAGATGATTATGAGTCTTTTTGGTTTTTCCACACGAAGACCAGTTGTACCGTTGCTACTGTTTTTACGTCCTAGCTTTGGAGATTTAATACGAGTAATTGGTATCTTGACATTTTCATAGACCACAACAACGGATATAACAACAATAAATTAGGACTACATAGGGAAGAATCAAACCTGTTCCAATTCAACCTTAGACAGAGACTCATTTTAAAAACTGGGCATAGGACCAGCCTTGCAAGTCAAGCTCTTCATCAACCTTTTGATCTCTTCTTCTTAACTCGCATACAAAATACAATCTAAGATACGAACAAAAATCAGACATATAAAAAGCCATCGAGTTCTTCGTTAAGGAGCAAAACCTTCAACTGAACCGAGATTCACATGTAATAATCAACAAAAAAAATCATAATTATCATGGAAAATACCTAAATAGATTCATATTACAAAAAGATGTAGCTTTTCTATTTGTTAAGTGAGCAGGCTTTGAACTGATCTCTCGTGGGTCTTTTCTTCTTGAAAAAATGCAGTTTTCTTTACAAACGTGCTCCTAAGTGAGTCGTTCAGCCTGCAAAAAAAGCCTATAAACTTAAATTCAGCAACTTAAACCAAATCCTGATCCTCATATAAAATCATGTGGACCAGTGGGAGATATGGAGATGCTTGAGATTTGTGTAACTCAGATCTCACATAAAGAACAGATTCGGAGATTCCACAGAACATCTTACCTTCTTTCTTAGTTGCCCCTAGGCGGAAATAATCAGTGGTTGTGAGCTCGTAGAATTCATCACACTCCTCTTCTGTCAAATTTCATAAACAACAATCACAAAAAACACGTCTACTTGGAATTAAGAGCAAAGACAAATGCAGTATCAGCCGTAATAAGAATCCACTAGTTGCTAAATGTAGATCCAGCATTCATGATGGGGCATGTGTTGGGTCTGCAGAACTCTGACACTAGCGCACAAAATATTGATTTGATTTTAGAAATCTATAGCTAAAAGAAACCAAACACACAAGAAAACATGGTACAAAGTTTAAATTAAGAAGATATAATAAAGTATGGATAGACTGATTAACAACAGTATATTATGTATGTGTCTTAAGTGTTAACGGTCAACCACTCGTTAATGTCTTCACCAGGAGATAGTTTCACGGCTTCTTTGAGGTTGCCTCAAGAATCTCTTGAGAGTAGTTGTGGTGAGCCTTTCAAGCTCAGAACCATAAAATATTATTAGAATCTTAAAACTTTAGATAACAGAGTTACAGAGCCAATATATTATTAGACCACATAATCTATATTATTAGACCACATAATCCAAAATCTGTAACCATGTTATCTAAAGTTTTAAGATTCTAATAAAATTTTAGGGTTCTGAGCTTGAAAGGCTCACCACAGCAACTCTCAAGAGAGGCAACCTCAAAGAAGCCGTGAAACTACCTCCTGGTGAAGACATCAACGAGTGGTTGGCCGTTAACAGTTAAGACACGTACATAATAAACTCTTGTTAATCACTTTATCCATACTTTTATTATCTCTTCTTTTAGTTTAAACTTTATATCATGTCTTCTTGTGTGTTTGGTTTCTTTTAGCCTTAGATTTCTACAATCATATCAACGTTTTGTACTAGTACACTAGTGTGTGTTTGGTTTCTTTTAGCCTTAGATTTCTACAATCATATCAACGTTTTGTACTAGTACACTAGTGTCAGAGAATTCTGCACACCCAACACTTGCCTATGATGAATGTTGTATCTAGGTAAAAGAATTTAGCTAAATGTATTATCATGTATTTAATTAAGAAAATGTTATTCACCCTATTTCAATTTAATTGTCGTTTAATGTTATTGTAGACAAATTAAGAAAACATTGAAATTCTATGTTTTATCCTGACTACTTTACTAATTTGCTTGATATGAATAATTAATAAACTGAAAAGGTAGGGATAAAACTCGAAAAAAATCACTTGAAAAAGTAAAGATAAAACTCAATAAAACTCTATTGAAATTATAAAACGACAATTATTATGAAACAAAACTTTAACTCTAAAACGACAAAGAATAGAAAACCGATATAGTATTTTTTTTAAAGTAAATTTCAGTTTATTCAGTTGGATTCAGTTTGGTTCCCTTTATTCGGGTATTAACAGTTACCGTTTAGGACCTTTAGGTTATCATGAAATTTAGTTCGTTTGTTTTAATGTCCACTCCTAAGGACTGAGATTCTCTAACACACAAAAAAAGCAGGAACAAAAAGGTTTCGAAACAAGAACCTGAGAATTTCGAAAACGGGTAATCGAAATAGTAGGTGCAATGTCGTCCCGCCGGATCAGAGTAAGGAGGACCAAGAACATCAAGAACGAGTATAGAAGTTTCACAAGGTGCCGTAAACTCTGAATCCACTTTCACTTCCGCCAAACGAGTGTCCGAACTCGGCTCTACATTGATCCCAAAACAACAACAACAAAAATTAATCAAACACATTAATCCTAAACAAAACACAAGTCTTGGTGTAATGAATGAGAATACACTTACGAGGAGAATCAGTAACCCAATCATATGACTTGATGTGCATTGTGAAAAGGGATCACACCAGATGGTGGTAAACAGAAAATGCCAATCTTGTAACACACACACACACACAGACACAATATGATAAGAACATTAAAAAACAAAAAACAATTCGAGATTATTAAATGAAGGTTGAAACAAAAAGAGAATAGTACCGAGAATCTATGACATTCATAGAGGTGAAGATACGTCACCACCGGAGATTGTCCCATCGGTTGAGATCCAAAAGACGACATTTCAGGACTCACATAAACATCTTCAGGCTTCATTTCATCTGATCCAAAAAAAAATAAAACAAACAAAACATTAACTCAAAAATTTACCACAAAATTCGAAGAACAATTTGCGAGTTTCATGTTTCAAGTTTCAAACATTAAATTTTTGGGATTGGAATTATGGAATTTACCTAGAACGGATCGAAGCATCTGAATGTTTTCAGGGGAAGGGACGGCTCCGGAATTGCCATTAGCGAACACTATTTTGCAAGTTTCGTATAGCTTCTGCACCGGAGAGATCACAGCTTACGTGAGTTTGGACGATTCTCCTGAGCGGCGGAGATCGGTTTCGCCACCGGAATATTCCCATTTGGATTCGGTTCGTTTGATATCTCAGACAGATCTTTCCTCACTCGTCCGCTCACAGCTGTACCAGTTCCCATTACTAAACAAACCTGCGATTAAAAAAAAACTTATCGAGATCGACGAAAAACACAAACTTTCAATCTGGGTTTATCGAGAATCTGATAATGGATAAGAGATGAAAACAATTACTGTTCGATTTGGTTCAGTAAAACTCCAGAGAAGAAGACGAAAGCGTAAAGAACAGTGTTGGGATTAACGAGGAGATGGGCAAGAGAGATAAAAACGAAAAGGTGTTTGGAAAAGGGAGAGATTGGAGAAAAGTGGATTTGAGGAAGAAGAAGATTGAGAGGAGAGAAACATCTTCAGGCTTCATTTCATCTTTTTTATGCTAAGTAAGAGAGATTTTTTTCTTTCTATGGGCGGGGGTTTGTCACATATTCAACTTTTTTATTTTATTTTTATTAGTCTTCCTTATTCTTCTTTTTTGGGTTTCCTTATTTTATTTTTTAAATAAAAGACTTACCTTTCATCACATTTAAAACTAATTTACAGAGAAAAATATTAGATATCTTTCCAAATATCAAAGATTATTAAACAGTTCTCTCATATATATACAACATTTTTGACTAACATAATATGCATAGATAAACTCTCAATAATCTCTTAACGTACTATTAATTTTCATAGACGAAAAAAATTCTGAATTGATATTTGTATATTCTTAAAAATTTTTAATAATTTTTTTGGTTCACATTTTCCATACACTGTGGTAAAATATATACAATAGAGACATGTTAAAATTATCAAAAACTTTGTAAAATTTAAAGATGTACACATTTTTCTTAATATTTTTAAGAATTTTCAAAATATTTATGTTTGTAACAAGTAATATAAATTTTAAATTTTTAACGTAAGGTATGTCAAATTAACAAATATGATGATGAACCAAATATGTCATATGGATATAAATTATCTTATCATCGATTTATTAGTTTGCTTTTTATTTAATTACTTTGCAACAAAATTTAGTCATGTAAATATAACAACCTTGTCTTTTAAGTTTGATACTTCCTACTTTGATTCTTATCAACCTTGTCTCCATTTGCTGAGATTTCTTCTTCTTAAGTTTTTGTACACTGAAGTACTTAATGATTTGAAATTGTATTGGAAAATAGTCTTATAAGAATATGCAAATAGGAAAAAACCTTTTAAACCTTCGAGTTCTGTTTTTTTTAACCTGTATACAAATGCGGAACTGCAAAATTACTTACATCAAAAGAACAACAGACCGGCAACATCGGCAACATGAAAGAACAATAACTGTTATCCAACAGGAGGTTTGGGGTTAAGGAGGATTGCTGACTCCGTTCAGGTTTATGGCTTAAAGCTTATTTGGCTCATCTTTGCTGGAAATGGCTCCCTATGGGTTGCTTGGGTGCGAAAGAATATTATTGGAGAAAGGTTGATATGGACGGCAGACTTTAGACAATCTGGATCCTGGCTATGGAGGAGAGTGATGAAGCTTCGAGCCTTGGCCAGACCATATCTTGCTTGTCTCCGGATCCAATGCTCTCTTTTGGCATGATGATTGGACAGGTTTGGGTCCCTTAGTGGATATTACGGGTGCAAATGGACCAAGAGTTTGTGGGATTCGCTCTATGGCGGTGGTGGCTAATGCCATAACTCAAGGTCATTGGCGGCTGCCTCGTGGAAGACATCCGATCTTAATCCTGCTGCGTGATTGCCTTCCTCAGGAGGTTCCTGATTTGAATTCTTCATTACCGGATTTTTTCTTATGGAGAAATTCTCCAGATTCACCTCCAGGAATTTTCTCTACTTCTCAGACTTGGGATTCCTTACATCCGCCTTCTCCATCCTTACCTTGGACGGAAACGGTTTGGTTCAAGCAGAGAGTTCCTAAACACGCTTTTATCTTATGGGTGACCCTAAGGGATCGACTAACAACAAGAGACAAGCTGAGGAGTTGGGGGATAAATGTACCAGCTAGTTGCTTGTTATGTGGATCGAACCCTGAGACGAGGGATCATCTTTTCTTCCAATGTAATTTTGCTGCTGTCATTTGGAATAGCTTTTTCACGCACAGAACACTTTCCCCGCCGACATTCTGCTATGGACCCAGTCAGCTTCTTCAAATAGGAAGGTGAAAGTTATATGTCACCTGGTGTTGCAAGCGCAGTTTACATCATTTGGAAGGAAAGAAACTCCCGTTTACATTCAACCGTGGTCAAGCCGGCAAGGATCTTGGTTAAGGAAATTCAGACTATTTTGAGAGCAAAGCTTTTTTCTCTTGATAGAACGATCGTTAAAAGCAACGCCGATATTACTTCAACTCTGGCCGAAGAATCTTACCTTCACACTTGGTTTAACTTCTTCCAACCGTAATGCCTCTGAGTTCTTGTTTCACCTCACATGTGTTTTTTGTCTTTTGATTATCTATTCAGGGTAATTCCCTTTCTTGTATCGCCTTGTAAAGATAAATAAAAATCAGTACTTATGAAAAAAAAAAAAACAACAACAACAAATGTTTGTGGATCCAAATTCTCATTTTTTCCTATATCCTATTTCCCTAAAGAAAAGTCAATTATCTATAGTTACTCATTTGCGAAAGATTGTTTGCGAAAGTCAATTATCTATAGTTACTCATTTACCTATTTCCCTCCACCCTCTACCTCACTTGTTTATAGCAGAATTCCATCCTCTTTGGAAAATGAAAAAGTTGTCCACTCATATTTGCTTTGCAAAAGCATTACTCCGTTCTCTCTACAGAACTTTTCAGAATAAAAGATAAGTATAAACAAAAATTGTGAGATTATATTTACCCAATCCAATAGCTTCGCAGGTTCGTCGTCATTGGTAAGGGGTTTCAAACTTGTTTGATTTCTCCTGTAAGAGCTGAATACACTCGATATAACCTGTATGAAGTTTCAAAAATAGTGTTTTCGAGATTAGAAAAAAGATGAGACTGAATTAACTGATACAGAAAATTTGGTGAGGGAAAAAATAACTGTTATACCTCTAGTAAGAAGGAGGTGTTGTCCCGGTTTGGTCGCTGTCAGGTATTAGTTGTCTCAACTCAACGTTTAAAGTCTGCAGAGAGGCACATTAACAACGTTTGAGTAATCACTCCTCTCCGTTATACTCTATAACAAATTCTGGATTTTCCTATCCTACATATCAGATCTCAATGAATACACATATTTCTTAAGTACCTATCATTGATCTTGCTTCTCCTCGGTTGTTTTATAGCAGAATGTTTAGACCTTGGCGTGTTCAGCCTGTGATCGTTATCAGAGCCTATAGCGTCTCCTCCTACTCTCAAATCAACTGTAACGAACAGAGTCTATCAAATCTTAAGCTGTGGTTAGAAAACGTAAACCTGAAATCTCAGTAAATACAAACCTCTGTGGCTCTGGGTAGTGGAGGAATTGTCTTTCTTCATGATGAAAATCTCCTTCTTCATCTAAGTCATCGTTATGTGAACTTCCTTTAGTCCCGACCCTCTGCAACCTAAGCAAAACCTATTTTGTTCAGTCTTTTAAGTCCATAAACCGAGTAATAGAGAAAGAGAAGAGGCAAGTCTAAATAAGAAGAAGAGCGAGAACTGAAACCTCTCATATGGTTATTGTCAATCCACCAGCAGCCATTGTCCTATAGTTGGTTGCAACATCAGCTATACATTTAAAAATACTTCTTTCATCATTTCATGTGGACACTCTACACAATTATTCAGAAATACAGATAAGTATGGACGACAACATTGTGCAGAAAAGACAGAGAAACACAATCTCAAAATGTAGAGTGATCGACATAAAGCAAACCAGCAACATTGAGAGTTTCATTCTTTCTAAGTTCTGAAGCTAACCATCCTACTCATCAGAGTCAATTACACAATGTACAGAGTATATAGTGATATTATATTGTGATAAGGCGGCTAAGTGCGTAACCATAGTCTCCTAAACTATGGGTCCGATTGGTGACGTTGTGAATAGTGGTGTGTTACAGAAATTTCAGTGGTACGAAAGATTGTTGTAAGAAAAACAGTGGTACGAAATATACCAATACAAATAGAAATAGTACAAAATAATAGTACATAACTGAATTCCGATTGGTAACATTGTAGCAGTACAAATAGTATGTTTTATAATAAAAAATAGAAATCTATTATAATTTTTAAATTAGTTGGCAAAAAAACTTAAATATTAAAAATTAAAATAGTTTCTAAAAATATAACACTAAATATGTATATTTTTTTAAAAATGGATCATCACATGTACTTAGTAAAATAAAAAAGTATATATGGTTTACAAAAAAATTATTTCAAAAAAGTTTGATAATTCACTTTATTTGGAAATCACCAAAACTAATCCATATGTAATAAATATATTTTTATTCAAAGTTAATTCAATAAAAATAAAATATATAAAACACAGTATAAATTAACTAAAATATATGAAACAAAATACTGTCTAAAATTTTAACATATCAAATTTTATTTTCAATAAAATAAATTACCAACAGATTACAAAATATACTTTTTTTTGGAATTGAGAGTGTATAAGCAATTTTTCTAGTATATTTGTTTTCATAATTTTCAGTTTTGTTATGATACTTCTTTGTACCAAAACTTAAAAAGGTTACTTTCATAACAAGAACAAAAATAATTATTAGATGTATGCTTTCTTCTTATACTTTTTGCATTTATACATAAACAAAAATACTTATTGTTAGGTCTAGTGTGAGTTTTTGTTTTGTTTTCTCATTTATTTATTTGGATGCTTTATATAAAATTTGATTAACTAAGTAGATTTTAAGGGAATTTGATTAAAACAAATACAGCCAAAATTAGTTTCCTATGATATATTTTCTTTATTTATATGCAAAAGTTTCAATAATTTATTATTATTAACTTTCGTCACTTATTGAGCAACATTTTTTAGCCACAAAAATCATAACAGTTTTACAAATTTAGTTAAAAAATAAAGAAAAATACTTTGTACTATCACTTCCTTTTTGTACCACTCTATCAAAGTAGCATTACACTTAGAACAATGTTACAACCCTTGTACCATCATATATTCTTGTAATGCTGTCTTATTTTGTAATATCACTTTTGTATTATCATGTGTAATACTTCTATGATTGGTTACACCATAGACATTACAATTTGTAATGCTCTATATTAAGGTTACCAATCGAAGCCTATATATATACAACTATTATCCAGAAAGTAAATATCATAGTGTATTTTTTAATTTATCGTGGGAAGAGAGTAAAAACCAAGAAAATAAAAAAATGCTCTTGCGCGCCGTATAAGTTCTAGTAAACTTAGATGACAACATTGTTTATAAATAAGAACATGTATTCCCCACCAAGTCAGCGAAAAACAAAATTAGCGAAATATAATTCAGAAGATTTTTCGAAAACATATGATTAGATGATATAAATTTGAATGGCTAAGCACATACCTCAGTTTTTCCCTTTGTTATATATGGCTTGAGACGAACATATCACCTCCCGTCCCTTGTTCCAAATGAGCATTTTGCTGCTTGGAAAGCCATCCAAAACATGCAGTTTTTTTATCCTCCCGCCAAGAGCTATATCAATTAAAAGTCATAGAAGTGACCATGAAATCAAATTGCATAAGAAATTTAAACAAACGATCAGGACTGTGACAGAATATTGAAGTGTAGTATAATACTATTGAGTAAACTGGAAGCAGATATAGTGAAATCAGCACAATGGTTTGAATCAACTTACATGTTCTTCCCAAGGAGGCTGAGACATCATTTTCATTCATGCCTTCAGGCTTCAGCTCATACAAATCCTGTATTAGTCTTAAATGACGTTAGAGACTTATAATTTAGTATCCAAATAACCAACGTTCATACATAAGACCATTACGATAAAACGGAAACACACTTAAATCAAAATTCCTGGTGGGGTTGTTAGATAACTTGATGTATCAAATCAATTTCTCATTTGTTGCAATAGACATGATAAAAGCAAGAAAATAACAGTAAACAAATTTCATTTTTCACATCCAGAATATGTATTCATAAGAAAATAGAAGCGAACCAACACCTCGTCGTTGGAGACTGCCCTTCAATTTTGTCGAGGATTTGGAAAGTCATCGGTTTGACAGAAGAAGAAGGAGCTTTAGATGCCATCGCAAAATTTCGGATTTGTTTTAGGGGGCAGATGAGTTACAAAGTGAAAATGCCTTTTATAGGATAGGAAAGAGAGGATTCCGATTGGAGGTGCCATTAATTTGATAGAGAGAGTGGACATTGAAGAGGAGTGACCGATAAGAGATCAATTCAAGCTGGAAGAAGAAGAGTTGGAAGAAGAAGACGACGCTGAGAAGATGAATCGATTCAAGGAATTCAGTCGGAAGAAGAAGACAACGCCGTGAAAATGAATCGATTCAAGGGATTCAATTTGTGGGCTAAGAGATGGGCTCCCAAGAGATGGGCTCGCAACAAATGACAGATGCCCGTATTTTTTCTAAGCTGGTGATGTGGCAGTCTGGAAAGGAAAGGAAGCAAAAAAAACTGAGCTGGGTGCTCTGAGAGGCCCCAAACAGCTGCTTTAAATTAGTAAAGATTTTACTATTTTCTCTGCGAACTTACTGATAAGTAGGATTTTTGTATCAACTAATCTCAATCCATACCACTCATGTCATTGTAGTATTTGAGATGTCAATCCAAGTGGAGATTTAAACTATCGAAATAAAGAAAAGGCAAAGATCAAGTTTTGATAAAAGATTGGGTTTTGTTTTGTAAAGATCTATGCTTTAAGCTAACAAGATGAAATAAAGATTTAAACTTTAACAATATAAGATAAAGGAGGCGTCTTGGGTGAGATTAGTTGGGATCAAACGAGCTCAACCTTCCTTTCTCAACACACCAAGACTCAAGCTTTGTGCTTAGACTTTGGGTAAATCCGCCACTCTCGTGGTCAGATCGCTTTGCAAGCTGAGAATCCAAAGCTAGCTCTCGCTAGTGGACTCAAAGTTACAAGCTTTCACAAGATCTAGTCTAAAAGTGCACAAGATACATCCCAACAACCAATCTCTTAGGTTGGGAATGTTTCTCTCTATCGCTAGCTCTCTTAGGCATTAACGCAAACACCTTCTAGGTGTACTAGCCTAGATTCGCGACTTCAAGTGATCAAGAAGAAGCCGAGATATAAAGCTCTAGCTAAAGAAAAGCTGGTCAAGGGAGATTAAGGAAGAGGTTAACAGGAAGCTAAAGCTCTGACCTTTCCTAATCTCACCCTCGAAACCTCTAAAGAACTACTCGCTACTCATACTCGAACCGAAAGCAAAGAGGTAAAGAAAGCTAGAAATCATCATTAAGACAAGATTAGCAAACTAAGTACTTCTTAAACTTAAAAGATTCAAAGTAAAAGCTTACAAAAGATCTCCAAGAACAAACTGTTTTTCTTGGAGAGAAACTGGTTACAAGATAAAGATTGCCTAAAAATTAGGTCTTAAAGGTTTATATAGAGAAGGGAAAAGTGTATCCTTTGGTCAACGTTTTTGCTTTGACTTCACAGATGCGCGCAGCTTGAGCAACTTCCTCAAGCACTCTGTTTCCTTTTGCTCAAGGCTCTGTTCCGTCTTGCTTGTTTTGCCATCCGATTACTCCGATCTCCTTCTGGTCCATCTCCGATCATCACCTCCGGTCCCTCCTTCGCCATAAGCTCCGAATACCTGATAAATGCACCCCAAATGCAATGGAAATGCAAAATGCTATCCTAAAGGCTAAATGATCCTAAGTAGACTAAAGCTACACTAAATGTTATGAAATGGACTCAATTATACACAGAACTATGCAGTATGAGAGGCTAAATGTATGCAAATGTTGAGTACATCACTTACCAGAAGCAGGAGCTCGACTTTGCTTGTGAGACATACTCGAAGCCTCGAAAACACGAATCTCTCGCCCAATCATTCTCCCATATCCGCAATTTTAGCCTGGTTTTAGAAAATTAATCAAACAAAAATCGAATTTGACACAAACAAAGGCAAAAAAAGTCTCTAAAGAAATTCTCATGAACTCAAAAGGGAGTATGAAAATTCGAGACCCAGAAAAATCAAATATATTGATAAGGGAGATGAAGCAAGCCACACCTGGGCTGAAGAATTTTCCATTGAATTGATGCTCGAGAGTCGTCTATGCTTCAAGGTTAGTAGCGTTGGGTCATCTACAAACAACAGATCAAAAGAAGTAAGACGGTGAGATTTCTTCAGATGAATTGCCGATCTACGTCCGAGCGGAAACAAAGAGATCTCGTAAGGCGAGTGGGTCTGATTTCGTGGAAGAAGCAGAGTGAGAGGGAGATTTTTCCGTCAGTGGCGTTGAAAACGAAGAACGTAACCAAACCCGGTCGGTGGTAATAGGAAAATGAACTAAACCGGACTAAAAACGTGTCAAGTAAACCAAGTAAAGTGCTGACTGGTAGTAATCGAAATGTTTCCATTGGTTGCTTGTTTTTACTAATGTGTCACATTCAGAAACCTTAAAAAAGCTGAGCTGTCAACACCTGGAGAGGCACAAGGGTTTTTGCTGCGTTGATTAGAGAGCATGCATTTATTCAAGATATTCGTTATTTCGAATCATGTAGGGAAATGACGGATATTCTTATTTTTATTTTGTTAGGAACATTACATGTTGGTGGCAATCCCACACATGTCTTGTTCGATTCCGGAGCAACACAAAGTTTTGTGACTCCTGAAGTGATAAGAAAGTTTGAGTCTGATTATGCGACTGAGAGAGTTTTGTGTTTCTGTAATAACTCCAGGAAACCAAATTCTCAAAGCTTCGAAACGTCCCTGTAGAGATCTTGGGAAAGATCTTCATGGTGAATCTATTGGTGGTACCTATGGTAGGTTATGAAGTAATTTTAGGAATGGATTGGCTATCCATCCATATGGCTCATTTAGACTGTAGGAGAGGAAGAGTTATCCTGGAGGAGGGCCATGGTAATTCTACAATATACCAAGGGATACGTCCAAGCAACGACGTGTCTTTGGTATCGGCAATGAGTGTGAGACAGCACTTGATAGAGGGGTGTGCCTATCTTGTTGCTATAAGTGTGCTTGAAGAGAAGACTTCAAGCGAGGAGAAGATCGAGGAGATATCAGTCGTCAACGGATTTGAAGACGTGTTTAAGTCGTTAACGGAGTTACCACCACCTCAGAGTAACCCGTTCACAATCAACTTAATACCAGGAGCAGCACCAATCGCAAAAACCCCATACCGGATGGCACCAGCAGAACTAGCAGAACTGAAGGCTCAACTGGAAGATTTACTAGACAAGGGATTTGTCCGTGCAAGTTCATCACCTTGGGGAGCACCTGTACTATTCGTCAAGAAGAGAGATGGAAGCATGCGGCTTTGCATCGAATACAGAGGAATCAACAATATCACCATCAATGATAAATATCCTCTACCAAGGATTGATGAATTGTTGGATCAACTAAGAGGAGCGAGTTGGTTTTCCAAAATCGACTTAGCTTCAGGATATCATCAAATCCCCATTAAAGACCAAGACGTAATGAAGACGGCGTTCAACACTCGCTATCGACAATATGAGTTCATAGATCGAGTCGGGGGTGTGAAAACTAGATTTTTGGTAGATCCAAACCCTCAAATCTCTGCTCATATCATTGCAGTATAGTTTAAGGTATCAATCCAAATCTCAGGGAAGATTGGGTTCTAGAGATTGAACAAGAAAACTTCAAGCCAAGAACAAGATTTGGTTTTTATGAAATCCGAACGTTAAACAGTAAAATATAAACTTAGAACAGTGAAATAACGGTCCAAATCAAATTCAAAGAGGAAAGAAATCGACTTTGAGCTAAAAGACTTGAACTTTGATAAGAAAATGAAGAAAGGCGATGGCTTTAGGTGATTTCGGATGGAAATCGAGCTAAAGGAAGAAGCTTTAAGACTTAGAAGATAAAACCGAGTTTCTAGGCTAAGGAAAACGAAAGCAAGAGCTTATCACTATCGTGAATGAGCTCGAATGCAAGGTCCAAACTCAAGAACTCACTATCGTGAGTGAGCTTGTACACAAGCAAGCTTTAAACGCAGATCCCATCACCAAAAAGCCCTCTAAACAAATCGCTATCGCGAGCTAGAGAAGCGGATCCCTTGTCTTAGATTATCTAGCTCTCAAACACACTTTTGATGTGTTGAGAGCTTGAGATCTGAGCCAAGATGATCAGAAATGACTCAGCCTTAAGGGCACTAAGCAAGGAGAAACTCTAAAGGTTCTAGCTTTAAGCCCAAACTCTCCTTTAAAGCTCTCAAAACCGAATCACCTAAAACAATCTAAAGACTACTCACTCATCCTGTTTGACAACCCGATTCTCATAAGAGGAAGGTTGTTTCACAAGTAAAATGAGATGGAAACTAAAATGCAAATAGACAAGTACGTGATTTGATTAAGAGAAAGAGACCAAAGCTTACAAAGTCTTAGATCTCGAACTAGAGTATTTCTTGGTGGCAAAATGAAAGACAAATTACAAGGTGCCTAAAAACTTAGGACTTTTTAGTTTATATAGTGGAGACTTCTAAAACCCTTCTTCTTTCCTTCCCCAAGATTTAAGCTCCAGAACGCCGCGTTTCATTAAGGCATGGTCAACTCTCTTCTTGGTCAAGAAAGCTTGTAAGGCGACAAACGGGTTTCTGATCCTGGTTCGCATCCCGGTTGCTCTTTGTCTTGACGTCTCCGACACTCCTTCTCCCAAATGGCTCCAAAAGCTCCATTAAGCACCTGATTCAGACTCAAAATGCAATGTATATGCAATGCAAGTCCTAATGAAGATGCATGTGAATAGATAGAGATATATGGATGTAAATGTATGAGAATGATGCCAGTAATGGTGGAAATATGCATGTAAATGTATGCTAATGTATGTTAATATATGTGTATATCAGGGTGTTACAGATGGGGTAGCGAAAAGGCCTCTACAATGGTAAGAACTTGACTGAAATCACTCATTAAAATCCAGGGAGAGTTCCTTACAAGTGATGTCGATGCCAGCTCTTTGATTAAATTCCATAAAGGAATTCTTTCTTCCCTTGTATTCCTCGCATAAATGAAAGCTGCAATGAAATCTTCTCTAGTTTGGGGATTGAAAACTCCACAGAAGACCAGCTGGGAGACTTGAAATATGTAACAACAGATAAAAGAGGATCCCAAACTACCACAATTCTTTCATTATCCGCTTCATCTGAATAATTTGCTTCAAAATTCCAATCGGGAAGGATTATGTTCATAATGCTTGCTAAATTGTTTTGCTTCACAAGTGTTTCAAAAAAACCGCCTAACAAAGAACGGTTGGTGGTAGTACATATCTTTACTAACAAATGCCTTGTATCGCCGTTAAGGCCCCTTAGATTATAAAAACAAACACTTAATTAAGAAGTCAAAAGAAGGACAGTGCTAAGCACTAAGCTAAAGCAGACTGGACAGAGCGCACATGCGCTAATCCAGCTGTAGCTGATCCAATATTTGATTCACAAGCAAAACGAGACTTTTGATAGTTTCCAACATCAACTTCTTCACCCTCAGATCCAGAGAGTGATAGCAAAAGAAGTTTATGTGTTTGACGCTTCCTAGCATGTCTCCTAGCAGCAGCCGACTTAGGAGGTTGATGATCCATCTCAAGACTTACAATCATGTTCCTCAAGATTTTTTGAGCTGCTTTGATTAGTTCCTCCTCTTCAGTGAATTGGGAAGAAGTCACCGGAAGCTTGAAATTATTTAAGAGCGAATTTGAAGCAGATGAAGTCGAAGGTCTGACTTTTGATATTTTCCCTCCACGGAGCCAACCTCCCGAAGACGGATCAACACTCTTCCTGACTTGGGGTGATGACAAGGTTTTACTTTGCTGAAGAGCAACACGAACAATAAGCGTAGAAGAAGCAGCATCACCCTCAGATAAAACCTTTTCCACAAATGGACCCTGAATCGGAGAGGTAGGATCTACTACACGACTCAAAACTGGACTCTCAACGACAGCAGGTTCCACAAATTCTCCTGCCTTAGCCACATCTGCGGACTCCTGTCTAGGAAAAGAAGCAGGGCATTGGTGAACCAGATGTCCGAACTCACAACAACGGCCGCATTTTGGAGGAAGTCTCGGAAATTCAGCAGAAACCTGAACCATATTACCAAACTTATCTGTGATTTTCACCGTATCAGGCCTGTTTTTCTCCAAGTCAATTACCACCTTTAGCTTAATTATTCCATTAGAATAAGGCTTCAAGGACGAGAGCTCCGAATGAACAGAGATCCCTCCAGAGGCTATGGTACTAAATCCTTCTATAGACCACAACTCTCGTGGAACCTTGCGAAAAAGAACCCAAAAGGGAGCATGAACCAGCTTCATAGGAGACAGATCCAGAGAAGGTTTCCAAAGTGATAGGATGAAAGAACAATTCTCTGAATGCCCGAACGCAACATCCAAAACCCATTGTCTAATGACCGGACAAGGAATATAGATCATATAGATTCTTGTGGAATGATGCTTTACCCTTATTTGGCCATTCTTTCCCATATTAGGTTAAGATCTTGAAAGATTTTCGCAATTGAAGGATGGGTTCCGTGAAAGAAGGCAACAAGATGATCCTTCAATAAAATAGAAGTACCAAGAGTAATTGAATCGGGTGCGACCACTGAAGGAGTTCTGTCGGCCTCGAAAGTTGGAGAGAGGCTGAAAGGACGCTTTAACTTTTGCTACCCACAGATCTGTGGGAGAAGAGCTGGGAATTACAGTCCTCTCTACTGAGCTCTCCAGAGGAGCATTGATTGGAGACGAAGAAGATAGAGATGAGTTGAAATGAACTGCTTGAGCACTGATTCGAGCACACGGAGCCGACTTCGAGAGGATGAAGGAAAAGTATATCTGGGGAACCACCGGCGGAGGAAGCGGAGCACGCGGAACTGGAACTGACGCCATGGAGGAGAAGGAAATGGAAAGATTCTTGTCGAAGAGCATGAGGCTTCTCCGGCGGTGGCGATAGGCGGAAACCTAATCCCCTAAAAATCGCATTTGATTTACTGTTTCAAGTGTTGTTGCTCAAGTTGTTTGTGTGTTGCAAAAAATGCTCGCTTGCAAGGTAATTTGACTTAAATAATAATAATAATAATAATAATAATAATAATAATAATAAATCAAATCTATAAGAGGAAGAAAATTACGATTGGGAGCAAAATGATTATACATAAGAAGAAGGTACAGTAAAACCTCTATAAAATAATAATGTTGGGACTTTGAAAATTTATTATCTTAGATTTATTATTTTCTCGATAAAGTAATAATTATTATTTTATAGAAATATTATGTCAAAAACAAAAATCTTTCTAGAAATATATTTTTTCAGTTTTTTATTCAAATTTTCCTTATACTTTGTAGTTTTGGAGTAATATTTTACTAAATTTTATTCAAATAGCTCCAACGAGAATCCAACTTTCAGAAAAGACAAACTATATTGGAATCATATTTTACTAAATTTCCTTAGATATATATGCCTAAGTTTTATAATTATTACTTTAACTTATTGTTGAGACTATATTTTTACATAGGAGTTTCAAAAATATTATTATCTTATCATCTTATCATATTTTGCTATTTTTTACATTAGCACAAGTTGGGACCGGATAAATTTATTATCTTATACTCCCTCCATTTCAAATTAGTTGTCATTTTGACAAAATGTATCTGCAATTATTTGGACGTATCTGCTATGCAAAACACGTCCAAATATGTCCAAATATTTGCAGATACATTTTGCCAAAACGACAATTAATTTGAAACAGAGGGAGTAGTATTTATTATTTTATCGAGTATTACTTTATAGAGATTCTACTGTAATACGTGATTTGTTATGTTTTTTCTCTTTTTGGTTTTAGTATAGTTAATATCAATGTTGCATCACCATCTGAATTCACATTTACATTGTTGTTGGTAAAAAAATAATAATTCATCTGTTATTTTTAGTATATTTTTCCACTATTTTGTTTCAGATCTGAAAGTCCGTTTATTCATTTATGATTTTGTAATATTATATAATTACCTCAGAAATCTATAGCAATATTTTGTTTTTTGTAACCGATTTATGTATAGCAAACTTACATCTTTTTACTGTAGGACAATCAATTAAATAAGGCTCACAATTCAAATTAAAACAAAACAAAAAGCAAAAATTAGTATTGATAATTAATGATGATATTCATAATAATAAACTTGACGAAAACCCTTCAAAGATGAAGCATATTGAAAAATAAATCTCGTCATAAATTTTCTTTCTCCGCTTAGAAGATGACGTCAGGGACGATACCGAGCTCCTTGAAAGCAGCGGGACATTCAGCTAACGGCGTGTGAACCATGAAGCCGAGAGGGTTAACGATACGTGTCTCGTGGGAGACGATTCCGTCATTGGCCGTTAAACTGATTCTAGCGGCGTTACGTAAGTATTCATCTTTGCTGACGTCACTGCAACCACTGTCTGGTGACTCGACCAACACGAGCTCGCAAACTTCTTCTTCGTGGTCACCGGTTACTTCCATCCTGTAGCTTCCTGATTTGTCGGTAACGGCTTCTTTGGTCATCGTTACGGTTCCGTTCGTTCTGCTCTTGCACTCCAACTTCACTTTCGCACCTTCACAAACATAAGAAAAATGTTAAGACCAATAATATAATTTCAATTTCAAGATTCTCTCTTTTTTTTTTTCGTTTCCGAACCGATTTTGTGCGTGACCTATAATCGACTTCTGCTCTTGGATGAGCGAGTCACTAGCACTAATTAAAGTATAAAACTTAGAAAACAATTTTTTTGTTTAACGTATATAAAGTTAATCTAGTTCTAAAGATTTTTAAACCGATAAGTTATATTACGACGTTGCATGCATTCCTTTAACATGCAAGTTAGTTCGCGCGTATATTTAATATGTTTTACGTTTTTTTTTAAATGAAAGGCTCTAGTTTATATACATAAATTCAGAATTTATTTTACAGTGTTTTCACTGAAATTGACACAAGTTTTAAAACGACTAGGCATGCACTACATATATGTGAATATGTGATTATGGTGTGTGGATATATATACCTTCGAGGAATTTGCTGAGACGGGTAATGAATTGGACACGGCAAGTGTCACAGTAAACTGATCCCTGAATCTGGAAAAGGTCGAAGTCGTCAGCATCGGCGGCGGCAATACCGCCGAGAGTGGAGAAACATAGGGCGGAGACGACAAAGAAAGAAAAGAAGATGGCTTTGGACACCATTTTGTTAAAGATTTGATTTTTTTTTTTTTTAGTTTTTTTTTGCTTTTGTTTTGTGGTCTTCTCTTCTTTTTGATATTCTCTTAAGATTTAAATAATAAGTTGAGATATGTCTGAGAAGAGGACAACTATTCTCGTGGAGCACCGAGTTTGGTTTTATATTAGAAACCAAATTGTTATTTTTAGACTGAAACTAAAATGTATATCGTTTATTTGTTAGTTTAAAATTAGTTTCGATAGGTTTTGAAAATGAGTATGTTTAGTTTATTACAGCTTAATTATAGCATTGGTTTCTAAATTTGTTTTTTTGACCACCCTTTTTTCTCTCTTTCGTTGAAAGAAACCGTAGCTATTAATGTATAAGGTCAAATCAAGGTAAAATAGGAACATATTTCTAAATATTCTTTGAGAAAAAACCCTAAAAATAACAGTTACTTAAACCATCCTTCTTTACCTTTAATTTTTTAGCTTTCAAGAACTCAAATCAATCTTTCTAATGTTGTGACCACATACTCATGACCTATCTACTGCTCAGCAACCTCACGTACCAATACTTAGAGCATGTGTCCAGCAGTAATACTATAGTCTCAGTATGTAATACATATTATATTAATATAATTTTTAAAAATTAACTAAATTTAAATAAGAAATAAAACTAACCAATTATGTGATGCCACTTCATATTAGAGTCTCTTCTTTTGCTGATACGATATCGTGAGTAATTGGAGGTGTTTCTAAAACTAAGAAAAGTTACTCCAACATCTCTTATATAACAGACTTTGAGAGTGCTTTTCTAATTTATAAAAGACTCTTAATTCAATAATAATATTTTTGTGTGTGTTCACACTTCAAACATTAACTATTAATATAAACTAGAGATAAGAGACTTTATATCATAACACCAATAAACATGCTCTAAGGTACGTCTCACACTTTTTGACTTTCTCTTTCCTCTTTTTATATTTGTTTCTATTATTTTAATGTTATGAGATCATGCTTAAGACCCTCTAGTATCACCACTGGACATGCTATTAAGACCATCTCTATTGGAGATAATTCAAGATGTCTTAGAAAACAATTAAAAAAATATATTAATATTGTATTAAAAATTTATTGGAGACTGGAGAGGGTGAGACTAGTAGTGTCCAAAGACATTTTTACTGAGTATCGATCTTACCATATTTAAGATATCTATTATAAAATATTACTATTTTATGAATAAACCTATGTTAAGACATTCATACAAAGTTTTGGAATGGAGATGTTTCTAACTAATTTCTACTTTCAATAGTAGTTATGTGCAGGGGCGGACGTACGCAAATCACGTGCCCCCGTCTAATTCTTCATGTTGTATTCTTTAACAATCCAAAAATTATTTATAGTGAAAAAAGTGTTTGTGCTCCCAACCAAATAGACTCTAGATCCGCCCTGGTTTTTTGATATATGTAAAGAGTTTGTGGGTAATAATGTTAAGGTAGCTAGAAGAAGCCAGAATTTTAAAAGCACTATGTATGTGTAATAGAACATGTGGATCTGAACATCCATATGTCTCAGTCTTAGTAACTCATATCAAGATCATTTTGTAATTTGTGAGACAATGATACTTTGGTCATCAACAATGGTTCATTAACTTTGATTTTTAAAGTTTTTTAAACAGTTAATCGATTATTAATTAACTTAATTGCATTTATTTTTTGCTAAACAATTAAATTAATTGATTTCTATTTTTGAAACAAAAGTTTAATTATTTTCTTGTATATGAAATTACTATTATACTTTTTAAAAAATTGGAGATGATGGCACTCTAGAGAATTTTTATGTATATGGTGTACAAAGAAATTAGATAAGGCTCTGCATATATGCGGGTTTCTTTTAAGATTTTTGAAACAAAAAATATGAAACATAATCTGATCCATTATAAATTTTTATTTTTAATATTAGCTAGTTTCTTGATAATTATTTTGTGGGTTTTCTATTTAGATTGTTTATTTTTACAATTTTGTTTTTGCCTTGGACAATTATAAATTTTTGTCAAAGCATAATTGATATACCGTCAGTGCTCAAGAAAGAAATATAGCTTTATGGAGCACTCAGAGCCCTTACAAATCACCCCTAATAATTTTGAGATATTGTATATATCTGAGTTTCATACTTTTTACAATAAACTTGTAAAAAACATTCATGGAAACTTAGTTACTATATTTCTTTTTTTCAATTGCAATCTCATCACTTGTTTTTCTTTGTCACTAATTTTTGGCTATTTACAATCAATTGGCGTCCGTTTATTTTTACCATTATTTATCCATAGCTTTTTATTTACTCTTATTTTTGTATGCATTTTTCTCAACTTTTAAATTTATTCTTACAACAAATTATATATATGTTAACTATCAAATGATATAAGAACATAAAAAGTATATTATAACACAAAAATGCAAATACATTCATCATTTTAATTTGGATATATCTAAATACATTTTTTTGGTTAAAATAACTACATCATCCGTCTAAATAATTTGTTTCGAATTAATGGTATGTTTAAAAATTCAGTTAATAGATTAATTAAGAGTAACAATTCATATATTTTAATTATAGTTTAATGTTAAATTGCTGATATGGATAGTTTTAGAGAAGAGAAAAGTATATATTAGATTAGCAATTATCTTGTAAATATATCCATTTGAATTTAGTTGTCTAGACATTGTTGTCACATCAGCCGAATATAATTTGGATTTAAGTCAAAAATGAATTTCCGTACGCATCCTTATTCTCTCCCAATAATCACTTATTTTTCTTCATTTATTCATAACTATAACCTATGAGAAATTATGTTGTAAATTTGCATCTATTTGTCAGTTTGAATTTAGTCGTTTAGACGTTGTTGTCACTTCAGCCGAATATGATTTGGATTTAAGTCCAAAATGAATTTCTATACGCATCCTTATTCTCTCCCAATGATCATTTATTTTTCTTCTATTATCCCTTATAACTATAACCTATAAGCAATTATGTTGTATTTTCAGGAAAAAAAAATAGAAAACTTCATAGAGATTCAAAATATGAAATTTGTGGGAAAAATCATTGAATAAGAAACCTTTAGCAAATCATTAGATTTCTCTACAGAAGAATACTTAGCTTTATGAAGTTTACTTATTCCGAGTGCGATGATTTGATCGAATTAGTTAAGTTTGTCGAATCATATTTTTTCCTTCTTTGTTTAAGCTTTTAACTTGCACGAATGGTTCTCTTGTGGATGAACGGATCGGAATCTTTGAATTCAAATTAATTAATTAATAAAAAGACAAAACAAGATTCCATGTGTTTGATGAGATTATTTATTTTGATTATTTAAAGGTGTACATACATACTAGTGTGTATTAGGGACTTCAATTCCGTCAAAAAAAAACCAAACTGAATATCCAATACCACGTTTTGTATATCTGAAAGAAGAAAAAAAAAAGTCGTAAGCAAAACTGAGATGGTTGAAAATATGCAAATTACAGCTCTGGGCGAAAATAAAAAATAATGATCACAGAGAACAAATTATAATACGCCCCAAAAACAAACTAGATATAAATAATGCGTTGGCTGTTACAAAATATAAATTATACAATTATACAAATAAAGAGTAATAACCTTATAACCACAAAATTGTTACGTAACAACAATGTCCCGTGATTGATAATTTAGTTATTACGTATATGAATGTGTAATAGCATTACTTGTAAACTAAAAATACTTGTAAACCAAATTTGTCACAGTCACTTCATGGGAAAATTGCCAATAAGGCAATAACATCATACATTTTTCACTATAAAACCCCACTTCATAACCCTTATGGAATAATCAACTTAGTATAACCAATCCTTCAACTTTTCTAAAAAAATGTCTTTTAAACACACCAAAATCTTTCTCATATTCTCTCTAATTTCATCAATTTGTTTATCAATCACTCTTTCTCGTCCACTCGACGATGAACTCATCATGCAAAACAGGCACGACGAGTGGATTGGTAAACATTGCCGTGTTTACGCAGACGTGAAAGAGAAAAACAGTCGCTACGTTGTGTTCAAAAGCAACGTCGAACGCATTGAACATTTAAACAAGCGACGCACGTTCAAACTCGCAGTGAACCAGTTTGCTGATCTAACTAACGACGAATTTCGTGCTATGTACACTGGTTACAAAGGAGGCTCGGTGTTGTCTAGCCAAAGTGGAATAAGAACGTCGTCGTTTAGGTACCAAAACGTTTCTTTTGGTGCTTTACCGATTTCTGTTGATTGGAGGAAGAAAGGAGCTGTGACTCCTATCAAGAATCAAGGCAGTTGCGGTAATAACTCAAATCTTTGTGCATATTTAAACTAAACCGAGCTGAATCCAACAACTCTCATAAAAACTTTATATTATTGCCCAACTGTTGTCTATAACTTTCTAATTTTACTTGAACCTGTTATAATATCAAGTTTTTGGTTTAGTAGTGTTCTTGAAACCTAAATAATATATTAGATATTGCAGGTTGAAATTGTTTAGTCCACCGATGTTATTTTGTTTTGTTTAGTCCACCGATGATATTGCTAAACTAAGTCCAAACAAATGCTAAATTTTAGTAAAAATTTTTATAAGAAAATTCAATTATGATATTACCACATGATTTTTGATCTTTTTTTAATAGATCATAAACTTTTCTTTTTTTAAACATCATACTATTTTTTGATAAATTATTTATTAGTTGAGAATATAAAAAATGTGCTCTCAAACTAAATAATTTTCTGGATCCGCCACTTGTTGAGATAACTATATTCTATATGATGGTGACAACTAACAAGTGAGTGATTGTGTAGGATCTTGTTGGGCGTTTTCGGCGGTTGGGGCTATTGAAGGAGCAACACAGATAAAGAAAGGGAAACTTATCTCTTTGTCCGAACAACAGCTTGTTGACTGCGACACAAAGGATTTTGGTTGCAGTGGCGGTTTAATGGATAGTGCGTTTCAGTACATAATGGCGAATGGCGGTTTAACCACTAAATCAAATTACCCGTACATAGCCCAAGATGGTACTTGCAACTACAAGAAGGCTAAACAGAACACAACTTCTATCACAGGTTTCACATTTAATTCCCTGAAAAAAACATAAAAAGTAGTCAAACCGAACCTAAACTTACAGTAACTGAACATAACAAATGAAAATTAACTAAAAAATTAAATGAATACTATCTTATTTTTTAGCTAAAAAGGTTAATCTAAAACCATACCATACCAAACCGAACATAACAAATTTATGTAACCGAACTAATTTTTTAACAAAAAGAATCGATCATGTGTTTCAGATTATTTTGATCGACTTTTCTGTTAAAAAAAATTGGTTCGGTTAGATAAATTTGTTATGTTCGGCTTGGTTTGGTTTTAGATGAACCTTTATAACTAAAAAATAATCTAGTTTTCATTTTGATTTTCTAGTTAACTTTCCTTTGTTCAGACTATATCAGAATAACCAAACCGAACCAATATATATTATTGTAGATCGAAATGCTCAGTAAACCAAAACAACCAAACCAAATAAGCAATTGTCATCTGTAGATAATGTTTATGCTTAAAATATTCAATCTCTTGTACAAATTATCATCATGTATAGGTTTTGAGGATGTCCCGGTTAACAACGAGGCAGCACTAATGAAGGCAGTGGCACACCAACCGGTTAGCGTTGCACTTGAAGGAGGTGGTTTAGATTTCCAATTCTATTCTTCCGGTGTGTTCACCGGAGAATGCTCGACGGATCTTGATCACGCGGTGACTGCGGTTGGATACGGCGAATCTACAAACGGAACAAAGTATTGGATCCTTAAGAACTCTTGGGGTCCAAATTGGGGAGAAAATGGTTACATGAGGATTCAAAAAGATGTGAAGGATAAAGAAGGACTGTGTGGTCTTGCCATGAAAGCTTCTTACCCAACTATATGAAATCAAAAACCGGTTTAACATCCGGTTAATTAAGCTTTAAAATGTGTTAGTTTGTATGGGTGGGGATGATTTATGTTTAAAAATTGTAAATTTAAATAATTTGAATCGTTTATGTCAAAAACATGGTATGCATTTTGTAAATTGTTGCAAGCTTTGCAAAAGATTGATAAGTCCGTTTCTTTTAAATTCTACCAAGTTAAGTCGATAAAACTTGATTTTTTTTTTTTTTTGGTACAATGTAAAGATTTTATACTAATTTTCGAGATTGTGACAACGGTTACAAGGAAGACTAAGAAAACAGAAAAATTGAAAAAGTACAAACTAAAACTACGGTTTAACGAAAATTACAAGGTGGATCAAACCAAAGACAAGTTAGACACACATCGTCGCCCACCAAAAAAAACCAAGACAGAGAAACACCAATTTCTCACAAAAGTTCGGAAATTCATGTTGTTGCCCATCGATAAAACTTCTAACGGCATCAGCAACAAATAATCTGAAAGACATGCAAAATCAAATTCCACATCAGTTATAACTTAAACTGAAAATGTCTAGAGCGATAGGATAAAGTTTTTCGTTCATTATCAGGTCCGGTTCAACTATATTAACCGGTTTTGGTTTGCTTCGATTTGAATCCAGCCCGACCCGACCCGGATCGACCCGGACCGACCTTGTTCCTTGCACGACTCCTCTTTCTCTCCTCTCTCCGTCATCGTCTTTTCTTTTCCTTCTTCTACAGTCATTGATTGACTCTCGAGAAATTGCAATTACTCAGAGCTAAGATTCTCGGCCATGGATGAGAAAGAATCTCCACAAACGATACTTCAATTCGCTCCATTGAACAGCTCCGTCGACGAGGGTTTCTGGCACAGCTTTTCCTCTTTGAAACTCGACAAACTCGGAATCGACGATTCTCCGATTTCCATCACCGGTAAACACACAATCGCTAACTCACGAAATTCACCCAAAACACCGATTTCAATAAGAATTTCGATTCATTCTACGCATTCACATTGATTTCTGTGATCCGTTAGGTTAGAGAACCAAAAAAAGTTTTAGAATCCGAGATCAAAAGTTATCTTTGCCATTGGAGATTAATCTTCTGAGCTATTTGTTTCTTGGTATTGAAAAATTTGCAGGTTTCTACGCACCATGTTCGCATCCACAAGTCTCAAATCATCTGACTCTGCTTTCAGAGTCATTGCCATCAGATGACTCTATTCATGGAAACAGGAACAAGTGCCCTGTTCCTGGGATTCTGTATAACACCAACACCGTCGAAAGCTTCAATAAGCTTGACAAACAAAGTTTGTTAAAAGCAGAAGCAAACAAGGTAAGCTACTACAAACTTAATCTCTTGTTGCAACTTTAGATTAAGCTAATTGTTTGGTGAAATTTTTCAGATTTGGGAGGATATTCAATCAGGAAAAGCTCTCGAGGACTGTGCTTTGTTATCAAGATTCCTCGTTATCTCCTTCGCAGACCTTAAAAAATGGAGCTTTCGTTATTGGTTTGCGTTCCCTGCGCTTGTTCTTGATCCTCCTGCAAGTTTGATAGAGTTAAAGCCAGCTTCAGAGTATTTTAGCACTGAAGAAGCCGAATCAGTATCCGCTGCTTGTAATGATTGGCGAGACTCAAGTGCAACCACAGGTACTTAACAACATTCTCCTTCAGTTGTTCCTATTAGGATACAAATGTAATCGATCCTTGTGTTTGCTGTAGATGTTCCGTTCTTCTTGGTGTCGATTTCGTCTGATTCAAAAGCTACTATCAGACATCTTAAAGACTTTGAATCTCGCCAAGGTGATGATCAAAAGGTATGTGCAAGCTACCACTTTCAAATACGTTAGAAACCGCTACAAAGAATTCACCTTTATCAATCTATCTTCTCTGCAGTTGCTTTTCGGTTTCTATGATCCTTGTCACCTTCCGAGTAATCCCGGTTGGCCACTTCGGAATTACTTGGCACTTATTCGCTCAAGATGGAACCTCGAGAGCGTTTGCTTCTTCTGCTACAGAGAGAGTCGCGGTTTCGCTGACCTGAACCTTTCCTTAGTTGGTCAAGCCTCACTCACACTTTCATCAGACGGATCAGCTGAGACTGTACCTAACTCTGTTGGATGGGAGCTTAACAAAGGCAAACGAGTTCCACGATCCATTAGCCTTGCTAATTCCATGGATCCAACAAGGTACATAACACATTCTTGGCTCTGTATCAGTATCAATGCTTTGGCTAAAGAAAGTCTCGTCCTTTTCTGCTCGCAGGTTAGCTGTTTCCGCTTGTGATTTAAACTTAAAGCTAATGAGATGGAGAGCGTTACCATCTCTTGACTTAAACGTCTTGTCCTCTGTCAAATGCCTTCTTCTTGGAGCTGGTACATTAGGTTGCCAAGTTGCTCGTACTCTTATGGTAAGAGTAACGATTGATTCAAAACACAATCTTGACAAACTCACACCGATTTGATCAAGAAGTTGTTTATCTTCTTGAATTATAGGGTTGGGGAATCCGCAATATCACCTTTGTTGACTACGGCAGAGTAGCCATGTCTAATCCAGTCAGGCAGTCTCTATACACGTTTGAAGACTGTGCAGGCCGTGGCGAGTTTAAAGCTGTTGCCGCTGTGAAAAGCCTCAACCAGATATTCCCAGCTGTGGAATCTAGTGGAGTTGTTATGGCTATACCGATGCCAGGGCATCCGATCTCTAGCCAAGAAGAAGAATCTGTTCTCGGCGACTGCAACCGCCTCCGCGATTTGGTTGAATCTCATGACGCCGTGTTCTTGTTAACCGATACTAGAGAAAGCCGGTGGCTACCTTCTCTTCTCTGTGCTAATGCCAATAAGGTCGCTATAAATGCTGCTTTAGGCTTCGATAGCTACATGGTCATGCGTCATGGAGCTGGCCCTACCTCCCTTTCCGATGACATGAACAAGAAAGATGGACAGAGGCTTGGTTGTTATTTCTGCAACGACGTGGTTGCACCACAAGATGTAAGTTTATTCAATTTTTTTTGGTTTTAAGTTTGATGTTGTTACCTTTTCAAGTTCTTGATCCTCTTCTTGTTTCGTTTTTGGCAGTCAATGACTGATCGAACACTGGACCAGCAATGCACTGTTACACGCCCCGGTCTAGCTCCTATCGCAGGAGCTCTCGCCGTTGAGCTCTTAGTCGGAGTCCTACAACACCCACTTGGGTAATTTAAGTCTCTTACTCTCATTAGAAAGTTCAGTCTATATAAAGCTTTTAACTTTCTGCTCTTTTGCAGTATCTATGCGAAAGGAGACAATTCTAGCTCGAGTAATGATGATGGTTCGCCTCTCGGGATCTTACCTCATCAGATTAGAGGATCGATTTCTCAGTTCTCGCAGATGACGCTGCTAGGGCAAGCTTCCAATAGCTGTACAGCTTGTTCTGAAACCGTGAGTTTTCTCTTTACTTGACAACCAAGTTTCTAACGAAACCCTAAGATTTTGTGGAAACTTATGATGAATGATTTCTTGATTTCAGGTGGTATCGGAGTATCGAGAGAGAGGAAACAGTTTCATACTTGAAGTTATTAACCATCCTACATACCTGGAAGATCTTACCGGTTTAACTGAGCTTAAGAAAGCTGCGAATTCGTTTAACCTCGACTGGGAAGATGATGATGATATTGATGATGACGATGTAGCTGTAGATCTGTAAAAAATCGTTTCCACTGCTGATTTTTATGAACCAAATGACCATATACTATAGTTTACAAGATTTGTTCATTTATGGATTTGTAATCATTTTTTTTTTGTTTTTGTTTACCACATTACGAAAGAGAAACCAAAATTCTAATAATCAGAAGGATTAGTTCGAGAGACCAGCTTATTACTGTGTTTATGGGATGTTAATGTGTCTGGTTTTGGCTTTAATATTGAACATGATAACTATATCAGAGATTTGGGTTAAGGGATGTAAATATGTAAGTTAAGGCAAGGTTGGGCCAATTCACAGAAATGTCTAGAGACGTACAAAATGTATTATTTTTCCTAGACATGTAGTTTTTGGATAAATTTTCATAATTTATGATTGAATATGGAAAAATAAGAAAACACTTTACAAAGAAGGAGCAACATGAGCGGATTTGAAGCTTTAACGTATGTACTAAGTTAGGTAAATATATGAAATTTACGTAAAACGAGATCCATTCAAAACCACAATTTTTAGGAGTTATGTGTCTTAAAATAGATCATATTAGTATTTGCAAATCAATTTTCGTGAATATGAGAGCCACCACGTTAACTCTCAGCCTCGGAATTACATAACTACCCTTAATGAAAATCTTGAATAAATCTTTCAATTTGCTTATTATCTTATTTAAAAACGAATTTATTTTATTGGACGATGGATAACGAATTTTGCTTTCTTCCTAAATTATTTTTGGATATATACCGTATAACTAACATATTTTCGCGCCACATATATGGAAGAAATTAAAAAAATTGTAAAGAATTAAAAATTGGAAAACCTAGGTTTGTTAGCCGACTCTGTCTTATATATAGTTATAGCTACAAGCAAAATCAACCCAATTCTCATTACGATTTGCATATCTTCTTTCTATACGTAATCTTACTTCTTAGGTCTCATATTTCTTCTTCTCATGTATCTTTATTGTTTCACTTTGATTTAAGTTCTATTTACTGTAATGATTAACTGATTATTTGTTATCTACTGTCAATCATCTACATATACGCTTCTAACTTCTTCTTCTCTCGCTTTTGTAACAGTGAGTTCCAAGCTAATGGAATCTAGAAGATCAGATTTGGTCCCAAGCGAGAAATATTCAACTCCAGCAAAAGAAGGTATGAACATCTATCCTTTTAATTACCATCTTAATATTCATGAAACCCTAATTCTAATGGCGAATCTATAACAATTTTTTTTTTTAATATCCATAATATTTGCTTAATCATTAATAATATATCTTAAGTACTTACGTTAATGAATCAGGCACCTACAAGAAGCTTCTTACGTATGATAAGGTCTTGAGGAAGAGGTATACAGTTTCAGGACTAGGGCCGAGGACTCACGATTCTGAAATTTTGGTCAAAGTTTTGCGTTTTTGGCTAAACGATCACCCAAGTTCTGCTAAAAGATTAGAGCTCATACTATCTGATGAAGAGGTATCGGATAAAGCGAAAAAAAATCTATGATAGATAATATTAATACCTTAGTGATCTTTGTAACTATTGTATTATAATTATTTCAGGGAGAGAAGATTCAAGCAACTGTGCATGTTTCCGTTTATGAGGCTTATGATTGCAAGGTCAACGAGGGAGATTGGATTCTCATCAAGAATTTCGATGTCACTACTCAGACAGGACATTGTAGAGCTACTTGGCATCTAAATCGAATATACTTGATGCCAACAACAATCATCACAAAAGCTAAAAAAACAGATTAACATATAATTGTATTTAAATCTTTAATTAATAATTGTATTTAAAAAATATTGTACCAGCACAAGGTGCGGGACAACCACCTTGTTTGTTTAAAAATAAGATAGATCTAACTCCTTAAATACACACACAGAGACTCACATACACACTATTCTTTCTTTTAAGGTGATGATTGGTTCTCCCGCTACCACCCGCAAACGCAGCGTTTGCGGTTCGTAGCGGTTCTTAGCGTTTTATAACAATCACGACAACCGCTTTCAACCGCTCTATACCACTCTGTACCGCTCTATATCGCTGGAAATCAAAAGCTCCTTTCCGCAAGCGTTTGCGGTTGCGGGCGGTTGCGGTTTGAAAAAAAAAAAAAAAAAACATAATATCTCCAAATTTGGAATAAGGGTATATTTTTTTGAAAAATACCATAATTATGTTTAAAAATTTCGAAAATACCCTAAATTTTTTCTGTTTTGAAAAATACACTTTTAAAATGTAAAAAGTATGTTTTGACGTGATTTAAACAAAAAATAATAAATAATTACAAATTAAAACGAAAATTAAAAAAATAATAAATTAATAAGTTTTTTTTCAATAAATACAGTATATGTTAAATTGAAACAAATTTTAATATTTTGGATCTTTATATAAACAACTTAACCTCATACACATTCCAACCAAATGAAACTTTAAATAAATTAAAACTTTACATATATTTAAAGTTTATAAATTATTAAAAATTTAAAAGTGGAGAAATATATCTTTCATTTTTAATGTTTATCTTTTGAAAAATTTAAATATTTTTGAAACTTTATAAACAACTTTAATCTCACCCCATTTAAACTTTATATAAACAATCTTATATTTTTATTATTGTTTAAAAAAAAACTAAACAGGTAATTAGGATGGTTTAGTATGTTAAAATGATACAAAATTATTATCAAATCTTAATATTTTATATTTCTTATTTGAATTTCGTTTTTATTAAATTAGGTTCAAATTAATAATTTTCACATATAAAAAGTGTATTTTTCAAAACCAAAAAAAATAAGGGTAGTTTTCAAATTAAAAATTCATCAAAGAATATATTTAAAAAAAATTATTAATAATATGGTTATAAATGTTTTGAATAATTATATATTATGTTTATTTTAGTAACTTTTGGTTAAACCGCTCTTGCACCCGCTGGCTAACCAGTCAAAAATATCCCGCAAACGCAACCGCTATGAATTGCTATACCAGTCGTACAAACAGCTTTTAATCGCAAACTCCCGCTTCCGCAAACTCCCGCAACCGCAACCGCAGCGTTTAAACCAGTCAGGCCCAAAAGTGCGTTAAACACCATAATTTCTATTTCTACCATCTAATGATGAGGAAACGCTTTCAGCTCTCGTTCATCGTTCTAACCATTTTCATCGTCTTCGTGCTAGGTTTGTATCCACATTCAAAATCATCTTAATATATTACTAACAAAATAGTCAAAATAGTCGATCTAAAAATAAATTGATGTGCATACTACGGTATATTTTTTTTTTCAAATATCAATTCTAATTTACATATGTCAAAACATCATTATATTCATGAAACGGAAGAAATGTTATATTTTTTTCGTTTTAAGAATTAAACTTTTATGCTTTAAATTAACAGGAGTGGTGGGAACTCCGAAGTATGACTGTCAGGACACTATGTTTATGAAGAAAACGTGTGATCCCAAAGAGTGTAGCTCCGTGTGTGCATCGGAGAGGAAAGGGGTTGCTCTTTGCCATAAGGTCGTCGACAAAGTCGCGTGTCTTTGTGCTTATCAATGCCCTAAATAATTTCAGTCAACCTCACATCACATTTGTGATAGAGAGCTGATATGGAAACTCTATTATTTAGAGCTTCGATAAATTCTTCATGTTTTCCCCACTCTATAATATGCGTTTTCCTCAATCAATTTTTATAGATAAATACGGTTGTAATATGCTAAAAAAAATGTAATATGCGTTTACACACTGAAAAACTCGATTTTTGTTTTTTCACGTATAAAAAAGACTAAGTTTCTTCTCCATTCATGTTATCAATCATATCCAAGTCAAGAACCAGTTTGGGTTGATTCCAGAATCTTGGCTTGAGTTCTTGAAACTCTGGAGATCTCTGATAAACAATGGAGGCAACTCTGATCAGAATACCAGCAGTGAGTGCCCATATGATAAAGTTTCTCTCTTTATCTTCACAACAGTAATCGAAGTAATGAAGAAGATATCTTTCTCCTTCATGCTCTCGTTCTTCTGCTCGCCTGTTCTTGTCCTGCGTAAAACAACCCGGACAGAGATAAGGCATTTTAATTTAAAGATCAAAATTTGACTATTGAGATTGACCTCAAAACAGTGGATTTCAAGAACCTTGAGGAACATCTCTAACGGAGCATCAAAGATTTCTTCTACTTCAGCTGGATTTTGAAACGGTTTAAATGCTTTCTTGTCGGGCAAGAAACCGATAACCGGTACAACCGACATTTTCTTCTGCGATACAGTAAACCGGATAAGACAATAGACAACACAAAATTTTAACTTGAAATGGTAAAATCTTTACCTTGGTAACAAATGGTTCAAGAACAGAAACGATTGTAACAAGAGAAGGATCTAAACCGATTTCTTCACGAGCTTCTCTCAACGCTGTGGCTACATCATCTGAATCTTCTTCGTCTCTCTTGCCACCAGGCAATGCTACTTTCCCTGTTTTAACCATTTCAGACACTTTGGGATTGAAGAAGATGAAAGTTTCTTTTGTTGAGAAAGATATTTGATTTTACCAGGGTGAGAAGAGAGATTAGAGGAGCGTTTGGTTAAGATTACTCGTAGCTCGGTTTTGGTTTCTTCTTTGTGTTCTTGGTATAGACAAACCAAGACAGCTGAAGATTTTGCAGGAAAATGTTGAAGAAGATGAGGTTTGTAATTTTGAATGCGTTGGATAAGAGACTCCAATTCGGTAGACATATTGGAAACAGAGAGAAAGGAACAATGTTTCTTCTTCAGATCTGAATGTGAACAATGTTTCTTCTTCAGATCTGAAACATTGAACCAGAACTCTTTTTGCCTCTTTCCCGGCTATCGCCACTGCTATGGTCTATGAAAACCTGTCCGGTTTATCTAAACCGGAAGTCCTCTGTTTCTGCATGTGTGTTGTGAATTGTGATGGTTATGTGAAGAAGGTTACATGTGTATGTCAATAAAGACTTCAAGACACATTGGAAATTTTCAGCCCAATAAGACCAGCAGGAGCTCATATATGTTTGGACTTTGAGTATGAATTTGACGAGTGATCAAATGTTATGTTATTGATTAAACAGAGAATATTTATATCTTAAAAATCATAAACATAAACTTAAAAGTGACACATGTCGCGATCCTGAATTTTATAAAAATCATACGTGTCGCAACCACGTCGTGCGCATCCAACTTTATATAATAAGATATAGAACTATTCAGTTTTCTCGGTTTTTGCGGTTTGGTCGGTTAATATCCAAACCATATCAATATCCACGGTTTATATAAAACTGCATCCATGCGGTTTATACGGTGTATCCAAATCCAAACCACATGACCTATTTCGGTTCGGTTCAGTTTTACCAAATTGAACAGCCCTAATTAATCTTATAAATACTGTTGGTTGTTTAAACGTTTCATTCTCATTCTCACAACAACCCAAACGGCTACAACCTCTCCTCGCATCGCTCCTTCTCTCTTCCTTACCAGATTTTTTTTAATTTCAGTCGTTCCTTGTTCCTTTCAATCGCAAAACCCTAGTTTCACTCAGCCGTCGTTCATCATCGTTTCTTCTCCCACTCCAATATGAAATCTCACACTTCTGTAACTCTGTTTCCGCCTAGGTTCATCTTTCTGATCAGAAAACCCTAGTTCTGTGTTGCGGAGGTTCATCTTCCTGCTTTTCTTCTGGTGCTTCCTTCTCGGTTAGAACGGTAATCCTGATCCTCCCGTTTCTCTATTTCCATGGCATTTTCAGATTACTCACCTTTTAATTCTGTTAGGGCTTTTGATTCCGACTGGTTTTCTCAATTTGTCGTAGATATGTACGTATCAGCCATTGGTATAGCTTGACGCACAATATATGCAAACGCGACTTTGGCAGGACGTGCGACGATACAAACAGCAAGGACAAACAACCAGTTCAGATTCTTAACTATGTCATGGTAATAACTGTAAGTTATTTTCTGTCTCTCAACAACGATATAAAATTAAGGTTTTCAGTTAGTTTTTTTCCTGGTCAAATGTTTTTGAATGATTTTAGTTTTAGAACTAGAACATTATAGAAAAGATTTTATGAACTTTTGAGTATTTCAAAGAAATTGATCATTTTTTTTTTAACTCTTAGGTTATCTTAAAAATTTAAGTTTTTAAATTGGAGTATTTTAAAATAAACTTTTGATTGTTGGACTAATTTAAAAAATAAAGTGTTTGTTGGACTGGATTTCCCTCCAGAAATCCGGCCCATAAGGCCCATCACCTAAGTCCTAAGATCAAGATAAGTCCACTCAGGCCCAGTAAAATGACCTCGAGCCCACCAAGTATCCTTGTCCAAATCCAGCTGTTTACTGTCCGAGCTACTTGTGAAGACGAAGTCGAGCTCTAGCTCGACGGAGTCAAGTCCGCAAGCTGAGTTTGAACGAGTCAAACGAGAATCTCGCTTCGACTGTTCAGATCCGGAAATAGCGGGATCGGTAGTTGCACGTGGACGAGATACGCGGAGGAGGTTGCGATCTACTTCGGAGCTATAAAAAGAGGACGATTCTTGATCACAAGGCGAATTTCCTGAATAAAATTCTACAAAGTTTTCTCATCACTTTCTAGAAAACAATCTTGATTCTCACTTCTTTGTCTTGAGATATTCTCATCTTTTCTCTTCGATCTTATCCTTGGTCTTTGAGATAATCCCAGAAAGCCCTGATCTTTCTAGCCGGAAATCACTTCCGGCAGAAGTTCGACACGTAATCTTTACCTTCGGATCACTCCGATAACCTGAGATTTATCGTCATCTTCACACCCCTTTAGCTCTTTTCGTGGTCATTTCTCTTCAGAAAACGACTCGAAATAGAGAACAACTTACAATCGAACTACGTCCAGGCTTGATCCCTAAAACAGGGTACGTAGGCAGCTCGTTACACGAGCGCAGCCACCACCTCATTTCCATCTCTTTTGCTTAGTCGAATCCTAGTGTTTTACATGGTCTTTTAGGCCGGTTTTGTAACCACTTTATTCGATTAGCCTAAGTCCGATTTCGTCAAATATTTGTCTACGAATCATTCGACTTACATCAGAATCTAACCTCTGATTCCACAGCAATTTCTCCCTACAAAATACACATAAATTTTGAGTGTGGTTTTCCGAACCCACATTTTGGCGCTAGAAGGAGGGGAGACAATAGCTTTCTCTTACACAAGGGTCGAACCTAGACCAGTTGAGAACGAAATGGACTCAGTCCTATCAAATTCTCAGGGAGCTCGCTCCCAATCTCAGATCCCATCGGATCAAATCACTTCGGATGTCAGCAGTGCCAAAACTGCAGACACATCGAAAAACCCGATCACCTCGCCAACTGGCAGCAGCCAAACTGCTAGTAGATCGAGCGTCCTGATCGATCCGGTTATCACCTCCGCGGCAGCGAACTCGAATGTTCCAGCCCGCGTGAAACCATCGGTGATCAACCTCGTCACTCCTGTGATAGCCGAGAACTCGATTCTACCGAATCAGATCTCGCACGCAATTGAGAAACCTCATTTGCGAGTTCGGGAAATCTAAAGATTCCCGATTACCTCGACACCGATCAGTCGGAAACTCCGACGAACTGTGTCGTCATCGTTTGCTTGGCTCGACCGAATCCGGACGACCAAGCCCGAATCAAGCGAATGCTCACCGACCTGATTAACACAATACGACCAAAAAATCAGGTTGGAAAAATATGAACGAAGTCTTGCTGAGCTACGGACGATTATAAGTCCTCCTCCGGGAACTCAGCTGACTCTTCACCAATCCACGAACCTAACAGCTCTCGAAACGGGATGAGGCACCACTCCTGTCACCAGACTCTCATCCCACCGATGACCTCGTTAAAGAGCTCGTCGAAACGGGATGAGGCACCACCGCGTGCTCTTGTCATCCAGACTCTCATCCCACCGATGACCTCGTTAAACAGCTCGTCGAAACGGGATGAGGCGCCACTGCGCGCTCATGTCTTCCAGACTCTCGTCCCACCGATGAGCTCGCCAATGAGCAGCTTGAACATTCCAAATTCAAGCAAATCGGAGATAGGATCTCAGCCAACAGAGCGACTTCCATCTCCACCTCCAAAGCTATCAGGTGTCGAGCCAACTATATTTAGATGGCCCGAAACTATGGCTTCCAACTCAAGCTTGCAGGCGATGACTCAGCTCAAAAATCAGTCCATGAAATTTTGAGCTCGCAGCCTCCCTGCAACAGCTCGAACTGTTGTGAACGGAAACTATCAACAGTTTCCCGCAACAAATGATCTAGTCGATCGAGCTCAATTTCATAGAGCAAACGATCCGACAGATCTAGCTCGATTGACAAAAGCAAACAGCTCGTCAAATCGAGCTCTATCCCATCCGATTCCAGCTAATCGGATTCCTGTCGATCCGCGAAACCTTTTGGACTGCGAATCTTTCGAAAGATTCCAGGACCAAACAAACCTCGCATTCCGGCAAGCGAACTCAACGTTTAACCAAGCAATGAGTTCGATTCCGGATATCGACAAAGTAATCAGGGAGACACAACGAACTCCCTTCTCATCTAAGATTGCTAACCCGTCTGCGCGATACTACAAGCTATGTATCCCAGAATACTCCGGTAATAGCGATCCACGAGCTTATATCCGAGCTCTTTATCTCGAAATTCTTCGAGCTCAATTTTCCCGAAGAGATAGAAGCAGCTTCCTGCCAACTCTTTGCTGAAAACCTAGCCGGACCAGCTAAAAATTGGTTCGCAACGCTGGATGAAAATTCAATCGATACTTTCGACCAGCTCCTTTCGGTATTCATAAACCAATATTCGATCTTCATCGAACCAGAAGTTTCTGAAGCCGATCTCTGGACGCTTTCTCAAGCTCCAAACGAATCACTTCGATCTTACGTCAACAGATTCAAAGCAATCATCGCTAAGATCGAAAACCCTAACGAGGCAGTAGCTCTACTAGCCTTCCGAAACAACCTGTGGTACAAATCGAAATTCAGAGAAGAACTAATCGTTCGACCTCCTGTATCACTCGATGATGCACTTCGCTGCGCGTTAACCTTTGCTACTCTCGAAGAGGAGATTACTCTCCTCCTAGAAAAATATCGCAAAGGAAACTACCACAACATTCTATCTCCATTGCGAGCTCAGTTCTGAAATCGAACTCGAGCTCCGAAGTCGAGAAATTCTGCAAAATACACAAAAAGCACGACCATTCCACCGAAGAATGTCGATCTTATGTTAAAAAGCAGAAAAGAAAGGCCAGGTTAGCTAAACGCAACAAGACCTCATCCAACGATAACGACAAAGCATCCCAAAAACGGGAACGCAAGTCGGAATCAACCACCAAGAGTCACCTCTTTCTAAAAAGAAACGATCTGACTCGACCCAATACCTAGAGAGCTCAGCTCACGCAGCAGCTCAATGACCTCGCGGTCACCCACCCACCCGCACCAAAAAAGATAGCGAGCTCTAGCTTACGCAGACCTCACAATCTCGCGGGGGAGTGGAGCGTCTTCTCAGACAGCTAACCAAAACCTCAACCCGAGTCCAGAACTTTGTGAACTCATGCCTACACATGATTCACAAGTTTTCGGGGGAGTGGAGCCCCCACCCTCAAATGAATTGCATTCATTCGCGGAGGCTCTAACAAATGCTTAGACTCAAACAACTCGATCAAAGCATACAAAAAGGTCAAATCTTCAGGACGAACTCTTCCTCCAGACGGATCCGACCCAAAGCTCGTGATGTTTAACTTGGACTATAGCTTAATAACAGCTATTCCGAATTAATACACGTCACGACAAACACAAAGAGCCCGGTGTTAGGTAGTCCGGAACTAGCTGGGTAGATCCCTACCTCATCACTGGTGTAGCTCGCAACAGCGTCTACAAGCTCGCCAATCCAAAAAGGAATACATGGACTGAGTCATTTAAACGCAATGTACCTGAAACGGTACTTCGTTAAAACAATCTCATCTGAGGTATCTCCACCCCACGAACTACGTCCAGACTTGATCCTCCTTCCCTGGAGGTACGTAGGCAGCTCATCCATGAGTCCAGCCCCAATCAAATTCATTCCTAATATTCGAGACGACTTCAATGGCCAGCCCTTCAACAGGTTCGATTTGTATCATCTCAATATCAATACTTTTCTATTTTTCTTTTTACGAAATTGCTCGAACTCACCTTGCGAATCCTTAAGCGCCTCCTTAGACTCTTAAGCGTAATTAGATATATAGAAATAACCTGGTCCAGCCACGGAACAGAAAATCGCTTCCTTATTTCGCAGAAACCCATCAGAGTCAACCGCATCCAAGCATCTGGCATAAGTGTTACAGCCGAGTGCGAGTCGAACTCCTCAAGGCAGCTTGTAGTCTAACACGATATCGAGCTACTTTGACGGCACGTCCGAATCGCACTTGACCCGAACGTGAGCCGAGAGACCTCAGGCAGTTTGCATTATGATACGAAATCAAGCCGCTTCGAAAGGTCCCATCCGGACACGCTCGGAACACTATCCGTTGCGACAAGATCGTAGTCACTCCGCATGGTAAACCATCTCTCCCACAAAGCCGAATTAGGAACACCTCGTATCAACAACCGGGAAAACAACTTTGGGCCCAGCTACCCAAACAGCTAAAATTTCGAATTACTCCTAAGGACATCGAATACTTAGCAAAACGCCAGTCGAATCCGACTGAAGATCTGAAAGGTGATCAGCTCGACTCCGAGCTGTCCTCGAAGATTAAGCCCAAGTGCTGATCGTGTAGATCGATCTACGAAATCACGCAACTGGCATCAGTCAAATCCGATTGATAATCTTAAAGGGAATCAGCTCAACCCCGAGCAGTCTTCCTTTAAGCAACCCAAACCGGCTAAACATTCGAATTACTCCTAAGGACATCGAATACTTAGCAAAACGCCAGTCGAATCCGACTGAAGATCTGAAAGGTGATCAGCTCGACTCCGAGCTGTCCTCGAAGATTAAGCCCAAGTGCTGATCGTGTAGATCGATCTACGAAATCACGCAACTGGCATCAATCAAATCCGATTGATAATCTTAAAGGGAATCAGCTCAACCCCAAGCAGTCTTCCTTTAAACAACCCAAACCGGCTAAACATTCGAATTACTCCTAAGGACATCGAATACTTAGCAAAACGCCAGTCTAATCCGATTGAAGATCTGAAAGGCGATCAGCTCGATTCCGCGCTGTCCTCGAGGATTAAGTCCAAGTGCTGATCTCGTAGAAAAATCTACGAATCACACAACTGGCAAAAACTAGTCGAGCCCGACTAAACATCCGAAAGGTGATCAGCTCGATTCCGAGCAGTCCTCGAAGATCAAGTCCAAATGCTTACCATGTAGATCAATCTACTAATCCGCGCAATTGGCAAAACCCAGTCAAACCCGACTGAAAATTCAATAGGAGATTAGCTCACCTACGAGCAGTCTTTAACCATAAAGCTCCAGAGCTGATCATGTAGATCAATCTACAAAATCACACAACTGGATCCAATCGAATCCGATTGATAATCTTAAAGGAAATCAGCTCGGCCCCGAGCAGTCTTTCTTCAATCAAGCCCAACTGCTGATCATGTTGATTAATCTACAAAATCACGCAATTGGCAAACACCGGTGAATCCGACTAAAAGTCTGATAGGAAATCACCTCGACTTAAAGAAATCTTTAAAGATGAAGCTCGAGTGCTGATTGTGTAGAACCACCTACTGAATTCAGACGATCATCTAAAATCAGTCGTTTTCAACCGACAAAGGTTAGCTCAACCCGACGCAACCTTCCAAGTTGAAGCTCAACACGTTAAAAGCTCGAGCTGGAATTCAAAAAGAAACTAGCTCAACTTTATACGATTCTCAGAAGAGATCAACTGAGCTTCATCCGGTCCGACCAGTTAGCTGACACGCTAGGTCAAATCTCCAATCAAACCAAAACGACTAATGCTCGAACAATCGAGCTAACAGTCAATTGATCTGGAAAACAAAGATAAACTCTAAGACATCAAACGTCTAAGAAAAATTATCAAACACCAAGCTCATTCCGAGCAAACAAGTTTGAACATAAAAGGATAAAAGTCTTCCGAGGCACCAAATCCAAAAGGCAAAGCATAAAAACCTTGCTGGGCTAACTTGTTCAAAACTTAAACGAGAATAGAGCTCATCCTTAGCAAGCCGCTTTGACGAGCTACTCTATCTCACATATTTGAGCTTAGTATCGAGCTCATCTACCACCTGTTTCATCTTATCAAGCTCATCTTTGCCAAGACGCTTCATGTAACCTTTGTTCACAACGAGCAGAGAGCTTCATGATTCACCTTCAAAGCTTGATAAAGATTAATCGCAGATATTAAGTCCGAAGATATCAAATCATCGGCAAAAATTTAGAAAAGGTAAAACCATACCTTCTCATCCGCCGCCATCGCTGCCGCATACAGCTCCCTCTCGAGCGTCATATCCAAAACTGGAGATTGATTTGCAGCAGGCCCGCATTGGCGCAACGTGAATGTTCAAGGATTATCCAGAACTGGCACATCCTTCGAACAATCATTATTAAAAGGGATGACGGACTCGCGTCGAGTTAACTCGCTTTTTCAAGGAGCTCGACAAATTCGGAATCCGATTATCATCTCTTGCTCATTTCGAGCTCCATCCTCATTGTTCGCTATTCGATCTCAACGAGATAGTTCGTCTCAAATGAGTCGCTTGGGTATTATCCCCAATAGCAGCATGAAGATCCCGACCTACTATTTCATCACGAAGAGTAGATTCGACCGCAACATGGACAATCTCCACGACTCCATTAGCTTCAGATTGGATTGCTTGCTCACGACGAGCGGCACCGACTTTGCAGATCGTTCAGAAAATGTTAGCTCACGAGAAATCTTCTCTCTTCCAAGAGGTGGGATACTCGAAGTCGGACTCTAATCTGTAATAGATGGAACGCGATGAAAAAAACAGTAACAAACAAAATTTTGTTGCTAAAACTGGATGATGAAGTCCGGTTAAGTCATTACAGCGAAAAACTTTCTCTATCGCAGCATCGAGCTCGATTCGAAGTTCGCTCGGGACATATACCATCTTGTCAAGCTCGATTCTAAATAGATTCTTGCTTATCTTATATGATCCCAAGAAATCAACTAAGTCTCACCTAGTCTGATTTGAATGGCAGTCAAGCACTCAGCCAAATTCTCGAGTTAAAACTCGAGAACATCTTCAAGATCGAGCTAGATTCTCAATAGATTCTAACCCGACCTTAACAATATCTTCAAGGATATCGACTAAGTCTTTGTTCAGCTTAGCTCAATGATAAGCTCGAACGTTTGGTCAAAATACCATTCGAACCAAAGATTAGATTTTATTTAGCTCGACCTAAATAAAACAAATACTTAGTCGAAATCATGCCAAGTTTGACTCGAAATTTCAAAAAGAATTCAGTTTAACTTGAAGCAACTCTTCAAGAAGAGTTGGCAAAGTCTTTTCCGCTAGATTTCACGGTCAACCGAAAATCTTATGCGNCGAGTGCGAGTCGAACTCCTCAAGGCAGCTTGTAGTCTAACACGATATCGAGCTACTTTGACGGCACGTCCGAATCGCACTTGACCCGAACGTGAGCCGAGAGACCTCAGGCAGTTTGCATTATGATACGAAATCAAGCCGCTTCGACGGTCCCATCCGGACACGCTCGGAACACTATCCGTTGCGACAAGATCGTAGTCACTCCGCATGGTTGCGACAAGATCGTAGTCACTCCGCATGGTAAACCATATCTCCCACAAAGCCAAATTAGGAACACCTCGTATCAACAACCGGGAAAGCAACAAACTTGGGCCCAGCTACCCAAACAGCTAAAATTTCGAATTACTCCTAAGGACATCGAATACTTAGCAAAACGCCAGTCGAATCCGACTGAAGATCTGAAAGGTGATCAGCTCGACTCCGAGCTGTCCTCGAAGATTAAGCCCAAGTGCTGATCGAGTAGATCAATCTACGAAATCACACAACTGGCATCAGTCGAATCCGATTGATAATCTTAAAGGAAATCAGCTCGACCCCGAGCAGTCTTTCTTTAAACAATCCAAACCGGCTAAACATTCGAATTACTCCTAAGGACATCGAATACTTAGCAAAACGCCAGTCGAATCCGACTGAAGATCTGAAAGGTATCAGCTCGACTCCGAGCTGTCCTCGAAGATTAAGCCAAGTGCTGATCTGTAGATCGATCTACGAAATCACGCAACTGGCATCAGTCAAATCCGATTGATAATCTTAAAGGGAATCAGCTCGACCCCAGCAGTCTTCTTTAAACAACCAAACCGCTAAACATTCGAATTACTCCTAAGGACATCGAATACTTAGCAAAACGCCAGTCGAATCCGACTGAAGATCTGAAAGGTGATCAGCTCGATTCCGAGCTGTCCTCGAAGATTAAGTCCAAGTGCTGATCATGTAGATCAATCTACGAATCACACAATTGGCAAAACCTAGTCGAGCCCGACTAAACATCTGAAAGGTGATCAGCTCGATTCCGAGCAGTCCTGAAGATCAAGTCCAAATGCTTACCATGTAGATCAATCTACTAATCCGCGCAATTGGCAAAACCCAGTCAAACCCGACTGAAAATTCAATAGGAGATTAGCTCACCTACGAGCAGTCTTTAACCATAAAGCTCCAGAGCTGATCATGTAGATCAATCTACAAAATCACACAACTGGATCCAATCGAATCCGATTGATAATCTTAAAGGAAATCAGCTCGGCCCCGAGCAGTCTTTCTTCAATCAAGCCCAACTGCTGATCATGTTGATTAATCTACAAAATCACGCAATTGGCAAACACCGGTGAATCCGACTAAAAGTCTGATAGGAAATCACCTCGACTTAAAGAAATCTTTAAAGATGAAGCTCGAGTGCTGATTGTGTAGAACCACCTACTGAATTCAGACGATCATCTAAAATCAGTCGTTTTCAACCGACAAAGGTTAGCTCAACCCGACGCAACCTTCCAAGTTGAAGCTCAACACGTTAAAAGCTCGAGCTGGAATTCAAAAAGAAACTAGCTCAACTTTATACGATTCTCAAAGAGATCAACTGAGCTTCATCCGGTCCGACCAGTTAGCTGACACGCTAGGTCAAATCTCCAATCAAACCAAAACGACTAATGTTCGAACAATCGAGCTAACAGTCAATTGATCTGGAAAACAAAGATAAACTCTAAGACATCAAACGTCTAAGAAAAATTATCAAACACCAAGCTCATTCCGAGCAAACAAGTTTGAACATAAAAGGATAAAAGCCTTCCAGGCACCAAATCCAAAAGGCAAAGCATAAAAACCTTGCTGGGCTAACTTGTTCAAAACTTAAACGAGAATAGAGCTCATCCTTAGCAAGCCGCTTTGACGAGCTACTCTATCTCACTATTTGAGCTTAGTATCGAGCTCATCTACCACCTGTTTCATCTTATCAAGCTCATCTTGCCAAGACGCTTCATGTAACCTTTGTTCACAACGAGCAGAGAGCTTCATGTTCACCTTCAAAGCTTGATAAAGAAATCGCAAATATTAAGTCCGAAGATATCAAATCATCGGCAAAAACTTAGAAAAGGTAAAACCATACCTTCTCATCCGCCGCCATCGCTGCCGCATACAGCTCCCTCTCGAGCGTCATATCCAAAACTGGAGATTGATCTGCAGCAGGCCCGCATTGGCGCAACATGAATGTTCAAGGATTATCCAAAACTGGCACATCCTTCGAACAATCTATCATTAAAGGGATGACGGACTCGCCGTCGAGTTAACTCGCTTTTTCAAGGAGCTCGACAAATTCGGAGTACGATTATCATCTCTTGCTCATTTCGAGCTCCATCCTCATTGTTCGCTATTCGACCTCAACGAGATAGTTCGTCTCAAATGAGTCACTCGGGTATCATCCCCGATAGCAGCATGAAGAACCGACCTACTACTTCATCACGAAGAGTATATTCAACCGCAACGTGGACAATCTCCACAACTCCATTAGCTCTAGATTGGATTGCTTGCTCACAACGAGTGGCAGCCGACTTTGCAGATCGTTCACAAAACGATAGCTCGCGAGAAATCTTCTCTCTTCCAAGAGGTGGGATACTCGAAGTCGGGCTCTAATCTGTAACAGATGGAACGCGGCGAAAAACAGTAACAAACAAAATTTTGTTGCTAAAAATGGATGAAAACCTCACAGGTGTTAAATCCGAAGCAAAACATATGACTTGCCCAAGTCACTACAGCGAAAAACTTTCTCTATCGCAGCATCGAGCTCGATTCGAAGTTCGCTCGGGACATATACCATCTTGTCAAGCTCGATTCTAAATAGATTCTTGCTTGATCTTATATGATCCTAAGAAATCAACTAAGTCTCACTTAGTCTGATTTGAATGGCAGTCAAGCACTCTGCCAATTCTCGAGCTAAAATTCGAGAACATCTCCAAGATCGAGCTAGATTCTCAATAGATTCTAACCGACCTTAAGAATATCTTCAAAGATATTGACTAAGTCTTTGTTCAGCTTAGCTCAACGATAAGCTCGAACATTTGGTTGAAATAACATTCGAACCAAAGACTAAGTTTTATTTAGCTCGACCTAAATAAAACAAATACTTAGTCGAAATCATGCCAAGTTTGACTCGAAATTTCAAAAAGAAATCAGTTTAACTTGAAGCAACTTTCAGAAGAGTTGGCAAAGTCTTTTCTGCTAGATTTCACGGTCAGCCGAAAATCTTATGCGAGAATTAGTCAAACAAACCGACTAAAATTCATTTGGTCGTATCCTTTTTCGAGTTCGAGTCGGAAAAACAGTCCGACTTAAAGCGACCAAGTTCGATTAAAGAATTTAATCAACAATTGGTCGAACTCGAAAAATAATCGATTAACTCAAAAAGAGCTCGCGCAATGTTTGAGTTAGTTAAACCAAAAGCCTTCTCGAGAAACAATCTAAAAGAGTTGATAATCGCAAATCTTCTCCTAAGGTTTTCACTACTCTCGAAAAGCTCGACTCTTAAGATCATAATAGCTCTTCGATCTATTTTCGATCTTGATTGTCGATCTAAAGAATAAGTTATTACCTTGTCTTTCAAGGTGAAACTATCATTCAACGGCAAGATCTCAAAGATCTTTCGCCTTCCCGTTTGCGACCGTCGATCTCTAATGACTATTCAAAGTCATGATTTAGTTCGACGGGACTGCGGGACAATTTAAAACAACCTACCGCTCATTAAGTTCGATTATACTCACTTAATGAGCTGGGGGGCTATTGTTGGACCTGGATTTCCCTCCAGAAATCCGGCCCATAAGGCCCATCACCTAAGTCCTAAGATCAAGATAAGTCCACTCAGGCCCAGTAAAATGACCTCGAGCCCACCAAGTATCCTTGTCCAAAATCCAGCTGTTTACTGTCCGAGCTACTTGTGAAGACGAAGTCGAGCTCTAGCTCGACGGAGTCAAGTCCGCAAGCTGAGTTTGAACGAGTCAAACGAGAATCTCGCTTCGACTGTTCAGATCCGGAAATAGCGGGATCGGTAGTTGCACGTGGACGAGATACGCGGAGGAGGTTGCGATCTACTTCGGAGCTATAAAAGGAGGACGATTCTTGATCACAAGGCATCATTTCCTGAATAAGAATTCTTTGACATAAGTTTTCTTCCACTTTCTAGAAAACAATCTTGATCTTCTACTTCTTTGTCTTGAGATATTCTCATCCTTTTCTCTTCGATCTTATCCTTGGTCTTTGAGATAATCCCAGAAAGCCCTGATCTTTCTAGCCGGAAATCACTTCCGGCAGAAGTTTGACACGTAATCTCTTACCTTCGGATCACTCCGATAACCTGAGATTTATCGTCATCTTCACACCCCTTTAGCTCTTTTCGTGGTCATTTCTCTTCAGAAAACGACTCGAAATAGAGAACAACTTACAATCGAACTACGTTCTGGCTTGATCCCTAAAACAGGGTACGTAGGCAGCTCGTTACACGAGCGCAGCCACCACCTCATTTCCATCTCTTTTGCTTAGTCGAATCCTAGTGTTTTACATGGTCTTTTAGGCCGGTTTTGTAACCACTTTATTCGATTAGCCTAAGTCCGATTTCGTCAAATATTTGTCTACGAATCATTCGACTTACATCAGAATCTAACCTCTGATTCCACAGGCAATTTCTCCCTACAAAATACACATAAATTTTGAGTGTGGTTTTCCGAACCCACAGTGTTGAATTGCAAAATTGTAAAACTATTTTGGAGTTGGAATTCAGTCTTTTTGTATTGTAAGTGGGCCAATTTCGTTTTATTTTCATGGTATAATGCAATTTTACACTTCATTTTTGGTTAATTCAACAATCTAATACAAAATTGATCATTATTTTCATCTTTTTTTTGGTCGAATCTTTTCATCTTTCAACAATGGGGTTTTCTTATGAATTTAAGGGTTATTTTAGAATATTTAAGAATAATTATTTGATTGTTGGATTAATTTTTAAAAATAAAATGTTGAATTTCATAATTGTGAAACTATTTCGGATTTGGAATCCGATCTTTGTATTGTAAGTTGGGCCAAATCCGTTTTTTTTTTTCATGTTTCCGTTATCTTTTACCATTTACACCATTAATCAATTTATTAATGTTTCATTTGCTGGTTATCAATGCCTATCAATTTAAAAAATTGGAAATAAATTGAGCAGTACTCAAGGATTGGTTTTTCTTACAATTTATTTTTTTACTTTTTATATATGACGCATACAAATTAAATATTTATACCTAGATTTATGTAAAATTTTATATAATACCAAATTAGATTAAAGAAAAATTATCAAAAAAGACCAAGAAAGTTATTTTACTCAGAAAAATAAGAAAAGTAATGGTAATTCTTCATCATTTTATTCTTTAATAGTAATAGTATTAATATACTTTTTTGTTCTTAGTATTATTACTAGCATTACCATAAATTTTAAAATTAATTATAGAGCTGAATTTTATCCAATTTACCAAACCATAAGACTCAATAAAAAAGTAACAACAAAAGAAACACAAAAGAGCAAAGTTCCGCATCGGCAAAGAAGGGAAGGAAATGTCTCATACACGATTTTTATTATGTTCATTCAGTTTCCCCGGTTTGGATTTTTGAAGCATTTTAGAGGCTGTTGGCATAAAAAAGAAGAAAATGTCTAAGGTCACCTATAAATTATTACACACTTCACACTTTCATTTGCGACTGTAATTTTATAAAAGTTACAAATTCAATCTTATAAATCAGTAAACATCAATTTAGGTTTAATTGGCCAAATTAATGACTGCCCCACTAAGTTAAATAATAGGCCTTAATTGCGGTGGTGAGCAACCATTGAGCACTTATATTTGCCATTTATAGATAGCACGACCGAGTTTAAGAACACAAGTTGTAGTAAGATCATCTCTAATGTATTCCATCATTTTCTCTTTTATTTTAGTGTTCCTTTATAATAGTGTGATGTTTCTCTCCAATGAATTCACTTATTTTTTACACTAAAAATGAATATTGTATTATATATAAAAGACTTTTATTTATAAGTTTCACAAATTAACCCCACTTATTTTATTCTTTGGAAAAAAACCCATAAATTAATGTATTATTTAAACTAAATGTTTCTTATTTAAAGTAATTAAGCTACATTGTTAATTAAAACTATAAAATATGATAGATTTTAGTTTATAAAACTTTAATAATTATGATATAATTGAAATAAATATTTAAATATAATTTGTTTAGGTTCAAAATAAGAAAAAAATAAATTTGAGGGATCATTATGCAAATAAAAAAGTATAACATAAAAAATAAGGGAGAAATAAAATCATACAATATTTGAGGGAAAAAATAGTGTTCCCTTATTTTGATGGGAAATATAAGGATGGGTTGGAGAAGAGTTTTACACTAAAATAATGTCTAAGGGGAAATATAAGGATGGGTTGGAGATGCTCTAACACTAGCGTAATGAAAAAAAAATAAAAAAGCGATTAATCTACTAAAACATGTTTTCCAACATTTTATATAATTTTTTAACGAGATTTGTTTATCCGTTTATTTTAGATCTTTAGGATTACCTCGCTAACAATTTTTCAGTCGTTGCTATTCATCCAGCATACATTATATTTATAATTAAAAAATTCATACTCTACTAATTTACAATGGCTAAAAGAAAACAAGATTCTGCACATTTCATAGATTTTACGTTTCTACAATAATTGAATTTGGTAACTTATATATGATGGCTTCGTAATAACTGCAAAAGGTTAGTTTTATTATGTCCTAGGTTCAAACCTTGTTAAGAAAAATTATTTTGTGCAGTCTTATGATATTAGTATCAACCGTCTGATTTCAAATTTACGAAAATGGAAGGGTTTGGTCATAAACTTAGAGCTTATAAAAATAAAATAAAAAGTTCCGTAGAGTTACAAATTACAATTCCAAGAGTCAAAAACAGTCGATCGCGAGGAAGCATGAGCTGTACAAAAGTGGGACGTGTCTAATAAATATAGGTCACACAACCACCTAATCTTACGTATCATTCTACTACTCTCCTTATTATATACAGCAGTTAATGTCACCTACATTTCCTACTTATAAAATTATGATTTATTATGTTTTCTTTTTAATACGACACCAAAAAAAAAAAAAAGTCTTCAACTATTACTTCGTCATTCATACTGTATTAAATTTCTATAAAAGGGCAAAATTGAAAACAGAAATCAAATTTAAAAGAACGAGATTTCGATTTTGATTTCTCATAGCAGTGCACTGAATTAATGGACATGATCTTGACTAATACAGTATATTTGCAAGAAACTTTAAAAAAAAAATTACAGTATATTTGTACATGATGTGATCGAACATAACACAGATTTATTGTTTTATTCCATTTAGAAAACGATAATTTATTGTTTTGCTTTATCTCAAGTTTTTAAACAATTTTGTAACTATATTTCAATTATATCCTGGAACTGGATTAATATATAGACCCCACTTTGTGTTTATTTCGAGTATTTATGTGTTGTACTTGTATTTATAAACTTATATGTGAATCATGATATATGTGTGTGTAAGTGAACACTTATATATACACACACAGAACACTCATATAATTAATAGTTGCTGTTTGGTTTGAAAAAAAGAGAGGACAATAAATAATTAATACTACGGCAAGGATGGCTATTCTCTAACTGTTATATACCACACATGTAGGTGACCTAAACCTGCGGTATTTGGAAACTTTCATTTCAGTAACAAGGTTAAAAAGCTTAAACTATTATAAAGAAACTTAAAACTAACTTGATATATTCTGAGAGAGTATATGAGGAAGAGAAAGTGTTTCTCAATTATATTTTTTCCGTTGAAGTCGATTTTGTCTCGAATACAAAGAACAACCGTTCGGTTAATTAGAAGTAAAATTAACGAAAACAAATTCATACACTAAAAGACCATGGACATTTATTAAATTAGGTAAATGATTATAGGCCCTTTAATTTGCAAAAGTACAAAATAAATGTTATTTGTCTCATAATATGGTTATCTACTCTGGAACCATAATATGATAATATTAGAAGAGTTATTTTGGATATAAGGTCGCGAGTTTAAGAAAGCAGTTCATTTATTAATCAATGCAAAGCTTAGAGAATTACAATAAGATTGTCGTTTGCCAAGATGAAAAGAGAACGCTAAGAAAAGGACCAATAAACCTAAAGATTAAAGGTTTTGCTCTCGAGCTCTACGTTTAATGGATGATCTTCAAGTGATGAGAAGACTTCTATAGATATGGAGATGAAGCCGATTCTTTTGACTTCTTTTTCTTAATATTTTGGTTTTTTTTTTTTTTTTTTCTTGGAGGATGTCGGCTTAAATAGTTATTTGTAGACTATCTTTAATGGGGGAGGGCAATTTCAAGAATGTGTTCATTCCACCTCTAACAAATTAGCCATAATTTTGTGTTAGAAACCTATTAACAATTAACCTCGCGCTAATCATATGTTAAACGCGAATACATTAATTCTTGGTCTCCTCCCTACAAATATATACACACATACATTTGACAATGATCTTACATATGATGTGTATATAACTATGCGTTTTGTTAAACAACGAAACCGAGAATATAACAGATATTTACTAGATTAAGACATCACTAGTTACGTAAAGCCTTAACGACAGTCAGTTCAATCGCTAAATGGATTAGTGATGACTGATGAATAAGCTACCTTTTTAATGAAGTGAGGAACTAACGGTTGATATATATTTTAAAACAGAAGAAGGCATGCTTTTTACCGGGGTCGATATTCATAAATGGGTGTTATTACGGGGGTCAACATTCAGACATTCTCCTCAACATAGAGTGTAAATGTTAATAACACCCATCTTGTTCAGAAGAGCTTTGAAGTAAGAAGAGAATAATAGTTTAGTAAAGAGCATCAGCCAACTGATATTTAGTCCTCATATGCAAAATCTTGGCTTACCCCAATTGGTTACCGAATTATGTGTGATACCTTGTGTATTTTGTAAGATTAGTTTGAAATATTGCTCAAGAAGGCACTATTTGCCTATTCGGTGGGTAAATAATTCCTTAAGAATTTAATAAAAGTTGTTGTGATACTTATGTTTTCACCATGTTGTATGATAGTTAGATTTTCTATATATTATGATATATTATTGTGCCCGAATTCAAATCTGAAGAGAAGTACGGACATAAAGCCCCAAAAAAGTATTACTTAACGAATATTAATAATATGTCATGGAGCTCCATATATAAAAGATACCAAAAATAGGTGTGAGAGACCATAAAATCATAAAGATTTTATACATCACAACAAAAAACCAACTCAATAACCCAAATTGAATTCTCTGTTGCCCCACTTTACATTATATGTTTTTCAACCAACAACTGAACGCCAAGTTGTCAAAAAAAAAGAGAAGAAAAACCCTCTATATATATATATTACAACTCTCCACACAATCCATATGACATTTACATTCTCCGAAAAGGAACTTTCTAACTTAAAAAAGTCTTGCATTCCCTCTATCTACGAAAATGTTGCCTGTTAAGTTTCTGACTCTTTTTGTAGCACTGGCTTTGCTGCTGCCACTTTCGGTGGTGGCTTTGGATGTCCACCTCCTCCGTCAGCTAGCAGCAAAACACAACGTGACAACGATTGTTGTGTTTGGAGACTCTAGTGTCGATCCGGGAAACAATAATTTCCTTAACACCGAGATGAAAGGAAATTTTCCACCTTATGGTGGGAATTTCATAAACCATAGATCCACCGGAAGATTATGCGATGGATTGCTCGCACCAGATTTCATCGGTAAATAAACTTTATCTTATGGTATTCATGTTAGTCTTGAAGTTTGTTTATGTACACATGAAAACATATTTTTGATAAGTTTACATTTCTACGTACCTATATTACTCTTCAAAATTATATATGTGATTATTAATTCTGAAATTATGCTCACCTCAAACTTATATATATATATATATATATATATATATATATATGTTTACATTGTTAATAATTTTTCAGCCGAGGCAATGGGTTACCCACCGATACCGGCTTTTCTTGATCCAACACTAACCCAAACGGATCTACCTCATGGTGCAAGTTTTGCCTCGGCCGGTTCTGGTTATGACGATCTCACAGCTAACATATCCGTAAGCCTAAACACTTTTCATTTTTTATTTATTTCAAGAACAAAACATATAGGTGAGAGTTTCATATAATATTGAACTGAACTTAAATTGTTTTGTTGGTGGAACAGAACGTGTGGAGTTTCTCTACGCAAGCCAAATACTTTTTGCATTACAAAATTCACCTCAATAAATTGGTCGGTCCACAAGAGAGCGCGAAAATGATTAACAATGCGATATTTCTGTTAAGTATGGGATCAAATGACTTTCTTCAAAATTACTTGATCGATTTTACTCGACAAAAGCAATTCACAGTTGAGCAATACATCGACTTCCTCTCCTCCCGTATGCTTTACGACGCCAAGGTATGTATACGGCTTCACTAAACCTTCGTATACCGTTTACATATACGTATGTATTATGTATATATGATAACTATCTCTACATGTTTAGATATAAGATGTAGTTTAGTTCTTGGTTTCGTGTAATAGTTATACATGTAAAATACTTAATTATTTCTGTGAAGAAAAACAATTTCATTTCACTATTGCTTGAACTAATTGACTATTAAAAAAAAATGGAACGTGTCTTTCTGTGTAGCTGTTGAATTAAGTGCGCATTGAATTATTGGAATTGAAAAAATACGAAATACCTTGTGTATATGGGTGTGGGTCCTGATACTTAAATACGATAAAGTCATGAATTACAACAAAAATAGAGGGAAAAAAAAACACAGAGTACAAAGGAAATAATACGAATCCTATCTGGTTGTTGACAGAAATTAATTTTAATAAATATTGAATACCCTACAATGACATTTATTTTTGTCTTTTTTTTTACTGTCCGGTTTCCGGAACACGTCCACAATTCATATCCACAAGTATATAAAAATCACTTCTTTGTTTTTTTGTTGGTTGTATAAAATAAATTCAGCATTTGCTTTCTGAACCACTAAATAATAATGTACGTAGCCACTATATATATAGGACACCCCAATTGGATCCTTGTTCACTATCGGTAGAATGTTTCATTGAACAAAAAGTTTATGAATAAAAAAATTAGATAACTAGATTAGCTCACATTCAGTTGATGCCTTGATGGAATATATATTGAAATTTTTTAAATTCACAGCTTTTTAAATTAGTTTTTTTTTTGGCCAAAAAGCTTTTCAATTTGGTTTGAATTACTTTTATATATAGTTTGTGTTTAAGTTGGATAAACCGACCCAGATTAATAGTTAAACTGTAATAGACACATGTGCATACAAATGGACGACATTATTAATATTATATGAACTGTAACTAACTTTTATATAAATAACAGATTCATATCATATTCTGACTTTATTCTTGTTATTTTACAGATGTTGCATAGACTTGGAGCTAGAAGGTTGGTGGTGGTAGGAGTTCCTCCCATGGGATGCATGCCTTTAATTAAATACCTACGAGGCCAAACGACTTGCATTGATCAATTAAACCAAATCGCTTTCTCATTCAACTCCAAAATCGTCAAGAATCTCGAACTTCTGCAATCTAAAATCGGTTTGAAAACCATCTATGTGGATGCCTATTCTACCATCACGGAAGCCATTAAAAACCCAAGAAAATTTGGTGATCACCATGAATCTATTTTCTTAGAACATTTCTTTGAAATATAATTCATCAGTTAACAAAGGAAAAATTAGGGATCTCATTAATGTTCTTTTTCATTTTAATTTGTAGGTTTCGTCGAAGCTTCAAAAGGATGTTGTGGAACGGGTACCTATGAATATGGAGAGACATGCAAGGATATGAAAGTATGCAAAGATCCTTCCAGATACGTTTTTTGGGATGCGGTCCATCCAACACAAAGAATGTATCAAATCATTGTTAAGAAGGCCATTGCATCTATTAGTGAAGATTTTCTTGTTTAGAATATGCTATATGTCTGTATTACTGTCATGATGTATTAAAAACTACGAGATATAATTGAAATTCTTTTTGGAGATGTTATATATAATGTTTTTAATCGGTGAATAGTTATGCTAATTATCACTGAGAAAAAATGAGAAATATTTCGCTTTCAAAATAAAATAAAAAACTGTTATTGGTAATTTTAAATAAGTATCTTCGAACTTATATTTTTTTTTCTTAAATTTTACCTACATAACTACAAAACTTTTTTTAAGAAGATTATATATCGGTCATAACAAAAAGAAAAATATTTTACATAACCATATGTTCGTCAATATCTTTATATTATTAATTGAGAAGTACATTCTAATGTTTGGATACAAGAATTAGAGAAACATCTATTTGGATAGAAGAATAAATGGAAACAAAAGTTGTTTGGATATAAGAATAAGAGAAAAATCTATTTGGATAGAAGAATAAATGGAAAAAATTGTTTGGATACAAGAATAATAACTTAAAATAAACCGATGGTTTAGAAAACTTCCGTTTTCCATCTCTTAAAAATCTGCAAAAAAAAAACTTAACATAATCTAACGATAATTCCAAATCAATAGAATATGCTTTTTGGATTTTCGGGTTTTTATAGACAAGTTCGGGTTTGGGTGAAAATCTGAGACATAATTTTATAGAGATATATATAGAGATATAGAAATTGTTCGGGTTTCTTTGAAAATTTCTGTTCGGGTTAGGTTCAATTTTTTTTTTCAGTTTAGGGTTTTCCGGATTTTTTAGATTTCTGGTTTTCGGGTTTAGATATATTAAAAAAATTGAGTATTTTAAAATTTTGATTAGGTATTGGGGTCGGGTTCCGGGTGAAAAAGTTTCCAGATTTTTTTTGTTCAGTCAGGGTTTTCGGGATTTTTTTGATTTCGGATTTTCATGTTTAGACCTATTAAAAAAGTTTGGGTTTTTAAATTTTTTGATTAGGGTTTTTTGTCGGGTTCGGATTTAGGGTTTAAATTTTCTACACAAAACAACAACGTCACACCGCACAAACGTGCGGGTACTCTACTAGTGATAATATAGTTAAAAAAAAATGATTTTGCTCTTTCAGTAATTTCAATGACTAATATTAAAGGATACAGAAGATATAGTAAAACATAAATTTTATTTAGTTTCAGTTTTAGTTTAAATAGTACTACGCGCGTAAACCATCATTACATAACATCTCCAACCATTTTTTTTGATAAAGATATAACATCTCCAACCATGGAAGAAGAAAATCTATCAATATGTTAAAATTAACTTATCAGTTATCACTTAACTGATATCAACTATATAAACTAATTAAAAATCTCAGACACTACCGAGGAAGGAATCAATCATTGGTCGGAGAGACTTAAAGAGAAGGAAATAAGTCTTCTCACTTGGATGGACGGAATCAAAAAAGACATAAGCAGAAGTATTAGGACACACATATGACTCTGGATTACACAAGATCGATGCCTCTAAGTATCCACTTCCACAACATCCACTGCTCACTTCTTCAAACCCTATAGCATACAAACAGAGGCAGGTTCAAAAAATTAGTTAATCTGGGGCACTTTTTTTTATCTGTTAACTAATAATGTAATTTATCAAAAAAATAGTACGATATTAAAAATAAAAGTTCACAACCAAATAAAAGATAAGATAAAAGAAGTATTATGTGATAAAAACACAATTAATTTTTCTTATAAAAATGTTTACTTAAATTTAGCTGTATTTTAGACATAATTTAGCAAAACATGAGCAAATATTTCTTATGTTTTAAATAATTTTCTGATATACGTCTCTGCACTTACATGAAACATATTAGAAAGAAAAAACAAACAGAAAAAAAACTATTTTAAACAAAATATGTAACAAACTAGTAAAGATAGTATATATTTCACACATAGATGACTATCAATAGAAAACAATATCGGTCGATTAAACAATTTCAATATGTAAATACGTAATGTATTGTTTAAGTTTCAAGAACACTATTAAAATAAGTAACCAAAAACTTGATTTTTTCTTCTTTTGTTTCATGATTATCTCAATATCTGAATTATCAATTGTTTTGTGTACTGACCGAATTTTTGATGGTCATGAATGATCTCATAGACTGGGTTATAGACGTCGAAGTAAAAGATTTTGGACCCAAGATGGGCCAAACTCATTTGCATGAGGCTCAGTTCCTTTTGTAAGTAGAGATTGTAGTTTATGGCCACGGTGGAAAAACGGTCAATGCAACGACGGTTTGTCAAAGCTTCGTCGGAGAATAAAGTTATCGCAACTGGTAAACATCCAATTGGTGGCAAACCTGCCACCGTAATTTTCTTGGCTCCTTCTTGCCATAAACCCTAACCAACGAGTTGCTGATTCAGAACATCACATAGATATCGTAAAGTATATCAAAAGCTAGAAGAGTTCACCTGGATGAATTGCTTGAGATTGTAAATAACGAACTGCTGATAAGCTTCGATAGTGAAAGTCTTTCTTCGTATGGGAATCATTAAATAATTAATGATAAAATCGTTGGTCCCTGCACTTACACAAAACACCGCATCTCCTATGTGTTTTTCCATTTGTTGTTTTCCCATTTTAGCTTCCAATTTTCTCTTGTATTCTCTGAAATTCTCTAGCTGGGTTGGAAGGTCTATCACGTTCTACCTCCCCACAAATGAAAGCAACGACACATGAACACACTTAATTAAATTTACTCCAAAAATAGACGCATAGATAAAAGAGAAAAGTATCTCAAATGATATTTCATTTTCATCACTCTATAGTAGTACAATGTATCAACATTTTTCAGCTATTGATAAATTGAAATAAATTTAAATTTATGAAAGGGATAATGTATCTGTGAAAGAGGCAACTTTTATCGTAATATTAAAATTTTGTTTTAGAACTCACACATATAACTTGATACTATTAACCATAAACTTGATAACTGCTTTTTTTTTAGAATGGCGCACCTACAAAATTTATGAGTTGAATTAATTAGTTATGGCAGAGGAATAGTATTTTAGTCCAAAGTTATGATTTGATAGACTAAGAGCATCTCCAACGGGGTATATTAGAAGTCTCATACCTTGGTATCATAGCATTAAAAAAAATAAAAACAAATAAAAAGGAAGAAAGAGGATGTGAAAAGTGTGAGACGTTCCTCCTTTACCATACGGTATGAGAAAAAGGAAAGACTCTACAATGAAGTGGCATCACATAAATGGTTGATTTCTTTTAGTTATTTAAATTTAATTATTCTTTATAATTATATTAATTTAATATTTATAACATATTGATACTATAGTTTCAGCGATGGAGATGCTCTAAGCACTATAAACTGAATAATTTAGTCACATTAATTTTTTTTATTTTTTATCCTGTCTCTGTTTATTCTTTGAGTTAGCAAGCTCTATTTACTTCATATTTGCCATTAGCTTCAACGCTTAGTGCTAGGGATAGTACCGATTGAATATGTTTCCATGGGTTTTTTCAATCATTTTTCTCAAAGTGTATAAAGTTTTAACTTCTTGTTCAAACCGTTTCATTTCATAATGAATATTTACAATTTAGACAAAATAAATTATTAATACTAACTTAATGAGTTAATGAAATACTAACTTAATTGCTAAACTGAACATATGCACTTAGAGAAAAAGGCTACAACCACTAGATAGTTGATAAGTGTAATACTCCAGACTTTACTATTAGCTAATACTAACTTAATGAGTTAATGGTTAGTTCTCAAAATAACAACTCAAATCTGGCCTTATACAGAACTTCTATGTGGAGATGCTACGACTTCAAGGTAAGGTAGAAATGAAAAAGGTCCAACTAAACTCGTGTCATTTTGTCGTGCATGTCAAGTCGTGACAATGTCTGATATTAAACTGTTATTATTGTCTTCAAGTAATGATTGATCTGAGATAGTGTTTTATTTTATTCACTAGGTTTGAAGCCCGCGCAAGCGCGGGGTTGTTTGCGATAGTTTTCTGTTTAGTTTTATTTATACTTTATCTCACATCGCATGTCCTTTTATTTTATTTTATTAGGATGTTAACACCCACTTTATCTCGAAGTTTTCTATTTCAAACATTTTAGCATATTATAAATATTATGTTTGTTTACTTATGTTAGACTATAAACATGCATATGTATTTGACTCAATGTTAAAATTTGTAAGTATAATGTAAAATCGCATTTGCACCGAAATAAGATGAAAAAAATAATATATATATTTTTTACATATCTACTTTGTTGTGGTAGCATATGAGTCTCATGACCATTGATTATTTTCTATTATGTTAGTTTTGTAAGTGAATATATTTTAAAACAAACATATCACAATCCTTAAAAAAATTATGTTTTTCACTGCAATTAAATTTACATATAAAAACTCGACTTCTATTTGTTTAAAAAAGCAAACTCTAACTCTACTTTGTCATTGGTTTTTTATTATTTTAATTAATTTATATCCAACTTTTTAATTTGTAAACACATTATAACATTTAGAAATAGGATAAATCCTTTTAATAAAAAGGTAAATATATACCATTTCAAGTTAAATATATTTTTACTTATATTTAAACTTTTTCATAACTTTTAACATCAAATTATCACATAGTTTATATTAATTAAGTAATTTAGTTGTGTATTTTTCTTAGTTTTATTTATATTTAAAATATAAATATATGTAAAGAAATATGAATAGTCATGTATTAAATATCTTAAAAACAATTTAATGAATTTTTTTGCTGATGTGGATAGCCTAGATGGAGAGAGCAACTCTCCTATTATATATAAGATTTTCCTTAATTTTATTTGATCTAGTTGTCATATTCTAGAACGTACTCGTGAATAAACATGAGGTTTTATTATCTCTTACGAATAGAATATATATATATATATATATATATATATATATGAGATATGACGTTTCAAAAAATGTAGTTGCAATCTAAAAATATAATGTAATAGGCCCCCCAACCATTTTATGAATGGTTTTCTTCATATAAAAATATGTTTATATATTTGTGTACGTGTGTGTGGTATCTTCGAATTTGAAGAATGCACATATTGGATTTAAAAAATAAGTATGTAACCCCATATTTAAAAAAAACAAGATAAAAATTTGACGTAACTTATCTTCTACAGAATCCTCCTATCCGAAATATATATCTTCTTTGCTTTTTTATTTATTTGAAATTTAGTAATAGGTAAATAACTAATAACCATCTCTAAATATTAACAAACGGTTATATATAATTAAGCTTAAATCGGTTTGGAAGTTTCACTAGCACTCATATAATTAACTATTTCGTACGTATTTAATTATGTCTTGACATTAAAATAGAGAAAAATAGATGGAGATTGAATACTAACACCAATAGTTGGAGTGAGAGGATCAAATCCAGAACCAGCTGAAGCAAAGCTAACCCCACTCATCAACTCTTCTATTCCAAGATTTGGATCCAAATATGGTGGCACATTCTCCTTCACTCCAATATATGAACCTATAGACACATAAATATGTCGACAAAATAAAAAATACATAAAAATATGATATAGAGATTAACTTTATATAAGATCAACACATTTTAACTTCTATATATATATATATACTAACCAATAAAATCTGTCACAAGTCGGCCGTTGCAAAATCTACCAGTGGGAATGTTGTTTTTGAAATCGAGGCCATAGGGAGGAAAATTGCATCTGAATATTGTTTCAATGTAGTTGTTATTGCCTGGATCCACGGTTGAATCTCCAAACACAAGAATAGCTGAGACTGGTTGGTTTCTTTTCTTGTATGGTTTAGGTTTTACGGGTTGGAGTTTTGGTGTAGAAAATGAGAAGGGGATGAGGAATAGGAAGAGCAGAAAGATGAACAAAGGGGAAGAAGATTGTTTTCGATGACTTCTCATGTTGTGAACGTTAAGAATGAGGACAAATGAGAGTTTGGTTGGTACCTAGCTTGCAATGTAAGCACCTATTATATAATAAAATATCTGACCATATCTATTTCCTTTTTTTTCCAAAAGAAATTCCGTTTAATTGATCCAACCGAATAAAATTAATTTTATTTAAGAAAAAATATTCAATCGAAATCTACTAGAGGGACAGTAGTATTCATGTAAAAACCAATAAGTAGCATGTGTATCACACTGTGATGCATCTGGTAAAAATAATAGATTTTGGTCCATCACATTTATCCATGTGCTTCTTTGTTGCGTAGATAAAGTCTAAGTCCAACCACTTTGGAAGGACTCAAACGAACTTCGCGGTTATACTCATATGTGATTGTCTTTTATTTGATTTTAGAAAGTCTTGGCTATCGGTTTTAATCTGTATGATCTAGGGAATAAATACCTGTATTGTTTTTGTGTTTAAAACACAAGGTAGAGAGAACTGTTTTAGTTTGAGCATTACAAGATTCGAATCTCCACCGTTACCTTTCTATAACGTTCACCACAATCTCAAATAAAGGCATGGATAATGACATGAACATCAATGATGAGTAAGAGCATGTATGTCCATTGAACATCAATAATTATTATTATTATTGTTGCAAGAAAAGAAGATAAAAATAATAATGGAAACGTAAGTGATCGTGAAAGATGAATTACCGTGGCCTTGTGGGCTACTAGAACAGCCTTCAAAACAAGGCAATTTGTGTCTTGTAGAAATTGTGTCGTGTAAGAGAATCATAAGTTAAGATTATGATAATAATCAGCTGGTTCGAGACTGGGAGATGGTGTTTCACTTCGTTACAGTCTGAGAGACAAAGAAGAATGGGCCTTGAAGTTGCAGCTGCGTGATTATACAGAGGACGCGCGGTGAGAACGACGACATATATTATCAAAAGAGCTTATGCTATGAGGAACGTTTTTGGATGATTTGAATTGATGCTTGATCTGTAAGACTTGAATGTATATGCTTATGCTTGATTTTGTAAGATTTGAATTTATATACTTCTCTTTTTAGAGATTCTAACTAATCTCATTTCTCAACTTATGTTAGTTGATTATGATACAACAGCATTACGTATGTAAATACGTATATAAATGGGGGCACTCTCATTGCAGCTATAGTATATCATGATTATTGACTTGACTTCTTTTTTTTTCTTATCTAGTTAATCAAAAAAATTTGTTGGTTATAATTGTTCATTTCCCAAAATAATATGCTACCGGTCAAAGTAGGTCCTCTAGAGAGTTTTTTTTTTTTAATTAGGGCTGGGCACGGGGCAAGTACTTGCCATTTTAGATGTATTTGCTACTTGCCCCATCTTGTGTACAAATTAGAAATTTCGCCTTGTTACTTGCCTTGCTTTATACAAGTACTTGCTATTTCAAGTACTTGTCAATATTTTCATTACTTGCGGGTTACCTGCCTTGCCTTATTACTTGTAAAAACACAAAAACAAAAGTGAAAATTTTATAATTTTGGGTTATAATTAGAAAAACATCAATAAAATTTCTAATATTTCTAATATATGGTTTTTTAAAAAGCTCTTATTGTTAGAAACTAATGAGAATGGTTCTTTTATTTACAAGAAAAAGCTTTAGTTTCTATTATATGTGATTTTGTTTTGTTAATATCAAATATTTATACAAAGCGGGTCATAACAAGGTGGGTATTGATTTTTTATTATGACTTGATACTTGCCTTGTACTTGCAAATAATTGAAAAATGCGACTTGTTACTTGCCTTGTTCAAGATAAGTACTTAGTTTGACCGGGCAAGTACGGGGCAAGTAGCGGCTTTTGAGCAAGTATCAAGTACTTGTGCCCATTGTTTTCGTTCATTTTTGAAATCGTTTGTTTGTTTAAGAATAAAACAAGACATTCATATTACCCAAAAAAAAAGACATTCAGATTTTTTATTATGAGTTTAAACTTTATCTTTTTTTCTATCAATAATATTTATATTATGAGTTTTTTTTATTTTGAAGATGGTCTCGACAGCAGAGGAGTGACCGGCTTTCTCGACACTATTCAACCAGATAGAAAAATGTAAGCAAGAGTTTTTCTCTTGCCTTATCATGCATATCCCGAGGAAAAGTAACACGAAGGCGGATAAGCTACCATGGAGTGCTCGAAATCTACCTTACAACTTGTATTTGTAAATTTTATTCCGCCCGTTTGGATTTCCAGACCGGTTTAGGAGTAGTTGTTGTTGCCAAATAAAAAATATTTTTTTTATTTAAACCAATACTACATTAGAAATATATATACAGTCAAAAAATATAGAACTTAATAGTAATTTTTTCCATGTTTTGGCTTGTTTTTTTTTTTTAAATCGAGAATACTAAAGCTTTTCTTTTATAATACTACTTAATAATAATTTATTTTCTTTTTTCTTTCCCATGAATAACTGAAATGACTTTTTTAAAACTGTAAGGTAACACCAATCAGCCCTTTAGTTAATTTTACTTTAGAACTAAACTAAATACAAATTTCTTTTGTAGATTCGTTTTATATTTCCAGAAAATATATAATTCAAAAACCTAACTCCAGAAACTGAGCAGCTGCTAGCAATCATGATATATAATTTTTGAAATATAATTTTTCTTTTATTGAATCAAGAATTTTCACAAAACAACATTTAGTTTACTGATAGTACTAAAACGGAGACCACCTATTTGGATGAATAATCACGTGGACCGATTAGTTAATGCCGGAACTTGGATCGGAAATAGTTTAGGTGAAGCTTTAAATGTTGGACCGACCACGGCCTTCGTAGTCCAGCCGTATTCCGCATTATAACTCATACCATAAAAATTAAAAGTTTTGTTTGAACGATCTAAGAATAGTTGAGATTGGTTGGTGTAGAAAATGAGGTTTGGTGTAGAAAATGAGGAAAATGAGGAAAAGATCGATGAAGACTTCTGCTTGGCAAAGGAAAATAAATAATGGCATGTGCTTCTCATCTCGGAAAAGAGAGACATGTTTGTGATGAATTCTCATGTTGTGAACGTTTGGGGTGATAACAAATGAGAGTTTGGTTAGTACCTTGCAACGTAAGCAGCTACCATAATATATTATTTAAAAACTCTATCCTTCAGCCAATTTATTCGGGAAATTTAATGAATACCCACAATTTGGTTGGGGAAAAGATTAGATATGGATGTCGGATGTCGAATTCCATTCGGATTGAAGACTCTACCCACCAGCCAATTTATCATACCACTAAACAGAACTTCAGAAGGTTCTATATATTAATTGCATGTTTTGTTTGAACGAACAAAACCACAGAATCATAAATAATCGCAGTAAAAATTTATAGGCGATATATGAGTGAATTTATAAAATTCAGATGAGAATGTAATGAGGTACAAAAGGTTTAAAAGTATTAGCACACATGATTATTGTTAAAATGCACATCGTATTATTTTTAAGTCGATCCTATCCATTTTGTTGAAATGTGATCAAGTAAGACAAATATTAAATATCCATACAACTTAATTTATTTATTTTGTTTTTAAGTAAAAAGTTAAAGAAAGTAAGATGACAGGTTCCTTCTCCAACACTTAAAAAATGCACTCACAACCAACACTAAATAGCTACATCACTTTCGCTGACCACACGATCTTGCACTTGAAGTAAAAGAAATACTCAATTGCTCATCATTTTGAATTCATTAAATTAACCAATAAGATAGGCAAAAGGTGAGAATTTACTTTTTGGTTTGATGTGGTTCGATTCGACTGAAATTTATTCTGTTTCATTTTTGTTCAATTTGGTTAGTGAAATCGGATTTAAAAGTAAATACTAAATAGTAACAACTGAATAACGTTTATGATAAGAATTTTAATTTACTAAATTACTGTTTCAGTGAGACTTTCTTGGTTTACTTGATTTAATTCTTCGATTTAAGGATATATGAAATTATGAATAAACCCTACAAATAACCAAATACTTTAAAAAACCAATAATAGTTGTAATCAGAATCATCCTCTTCACCAATAATCAGTTATAATCATCACAAAAGCTTCTTAAGAACCCTTCACACTTCTCTTCTCTTCTGAACATAAAAGTCAAACACATACACAAACATAAAAACAAAAGAAACCGGAAATAGAAGAAAGAAAATGAGCACATCAAGATTCATCAAGTGTGTGACTGTCGGAGATGGAGCTGTGGGAAAGACTTGTATGCTCATTTCATATACCAGCAATACTTTTCCTACGGTAATTAATTTATTGTTAATTTTTAACATTTATTTTATATATTTAAAAATGTTTCAAGTTGGTGCCTTAAGAGTTTTATGCTAGTCTCTTGAAGATTTTTGCTGATGTCACGCAGTTTCCCTGTGTAGTTTTAAGATCGGTTTCGAGTGCAGATTCATGTTAGTGGAAATATCATTGTATCCAGAATTCAACTTTTCTTTGGGATTAAACAAAACAAAAGTGTTTTCTACTATGTCATATATATTAGAAAAAATTGTCAATGTGACATTTAGTATTATTGGACCTAAATCAGAAACCAAACCTCCTGTACTTTTCGATCTGTTTACTTGTTGTTAATTTTAATTTGCGGATATGAATGGTTTAGAAATGTAATATACAGGATTATGTTCCAACAGTTTTCGACAATTTCAGTGCAAATGTGGTGGTTGATGGGAGTACGGTGAACCTCGGCCTCTGGGATACTGCAGGTACGTATAATTACTTATTATTTTTTCCAAAACTGATAAATTGATAGATACAAATTATAACGTGGAGATCACAGGGCAGGAAGATTATAACAGGCTAAGGCCTTTGAGTTACAGAGGAGCAGATGTATTTTTATTGGCATTTTCTCTAATTAGCAAGGCTAGTTACGAGAATATTTACAAAAAGGTAATTAATGAAACTTTGCAGCTTTTTGAAAGAAAAAAAAATGACTATAGTAAAAAAAAAATCTAAAATTCAATTATTGTC